GCAGCGGCTCCCGCGGCGGCGGCGGCGGCTGCTGCGTGTTGCTCCCCGTTGGTAAGTAACAGTCTCCACGGCTACAGTCTCTATGGCGGCGGCGGTGGCGGCGGCGGCCGCTCCTCCTCCGGCTCCCGCCGCCAGCCTCGCGCCGCCCGCCCGCCCGCAGCGACGGGCGGGGCGTTGTTATCGGCAACGGTTACCAGGTTCCACGCCCCGCCCCCCCAACGGCCCGCCCACGCCCGCCTCCAACGGGCGCGAAGGGGGCGGGGCTCCCAGCCCAGCGGCGTCCAATTGATTGCCAGAGATGCCTGTCAGAGAGGGGCGGTTCCTGGCCAATCACAGCGAAAGAGGGGCGGGCTCTGCTGCTGGCGCGCGCTGCTCGGCGGGTTGGCGAGCGCGAGGCGCGCGGGGCGCGGGCTGGTGACTTGGGTGCGACAAGGCCGAGTTTGGGGCGTCCCGGGAGGGGCGCTGGTTCAGTCCGTAGATGATCACCGGGCATCGGGCACAGACTGAGTTCGTGAGCAGCAAACTAGGGCCTGTGGGCCAACTCCGGCCCGCTGCCTCTTTTTCATGGCCCGCCAAGTTGAGAATTTTAAAAGTATCTTAATGGTTTTAAAAAAGGCAAGAGAAGACTCATTTGTAATATAAATAAATTTTAACGTTGTTTTCTTTTATGGCATGCATTATCTTCAACTTTTTTTAGTATGGGCAAACTGGCCTATGGGCCATATTCCTACCTGCATGTGTTTGTAAATAAAGTTTTATTGGAACACTGCCTAGATACAAGGACTTAGTTGTTTCATAAAAAATGAACTGACAAAATATTTACTATGTAGCCCTTCACAGAAAATGTTTACAGCCATTTTCCTTCCCATTTCCCTTCCCAGTAACCCCCCCTCACCTTCAGCTATAAATAAGACAAAAACAGGACCAGCATAGAGCCTTTATTACAGATACACCTTCATGAAAGGGAGGTGCCATTTTCCACACACCTATTTACATGCAGCCATCTTGGATTATAGGTCCCGTTATGCCATGAACCTGGCTTCTTGAATGGGGGAGCTACTGGGAACTAGGGTCAGAGCTGAGTGGCTTCACTATGTATAGTGAAACTACATAATACAGAAGGCAAGTGGACTCTTGCACTCTTGCTTCTCTGACTTGGACTTGCACCCAGAGACTTAGGGGGACTTGAAAAGAGACACGTGAGGACAGATACCCTGAGACACTTCAGAAAGGCACATGAGTGAGAGATAAGTAGGGAGATTGTCCTTGGCAAAAACAATTGCACCTGCTATCTTCTTTCATATTTTTGTATATCTCCAATCCAAGCCACCCCTTTCTGTGGTTCTCTGCTGGAGGATTCCTTGGATTTGTGGCATTTCAGGCCTCAGCAGTTCTGTTTTAGGCTGACCTGTAACTTGGGGTGTTTTATTGGGAAGCTATTAGGAAAATCCTTTCTTATTCTATACATACTAATTCATTAAAGGTGTTTCACACTAAGAGTGTGCTTTCTTTGCCTTTGTGTACATGCATGGCTAGAGCACATTAAAGTATACACCCCTAAACAGTTTGGTGTCCCTAAGTTGCCCCTTGGTCATGTGCTAGCATGTTGTGAGAGGGACATTGGCAATAATCAGAATCAATAAGTAAACATTGTTATAGAACACTAGAAGAAAAAGCTTGGTTGGGGAAACGCAGGCAGAACCAATTCAAAGGAAGATTAGCCCTCACTCCCATTCACTTATTGATTAATTCAACAAGTAATCGTAGTAAATTGTTCTTATGTGCCCAAAAAGTCATTGCAGTAGTTTATACATGTTAACTTAGTTAAATTTCACAAGCACCTCATGAGAAATGTTCCATGCATTATCCCCATCTTATAGATCAGAGGACTGAAGCCAGGAATGAATGAATGAATTTGCCTCAAACACTTGTAAGGGCTTCAAACCCTAGCAATCTGGCCCAAATCCCCTAGCCTAGCCACTCAGGGGGTGGTTTTCAAATATTTTTTACCACAACACAGAGTAGGAAATATATTTTACTCCAAGGTCCAGTCCACACAAATACATAAGTAATGAAAAAAAAATGTTGATGATATGATGATACTTGGGTAATCCTCTCTTTTTTTTTCTTTCTTATTTTCATTGAAACATTGATGGTGACTTGTTAACCTGATTCTATCACCTTCTAAAGGGGTCGCTTCCTGCAGATATTTTCATGTGACAAAATCTTAAATTTAGGACTGCAAGAATCAGTTATTAATTTAGTCCAAAATATTTATTATGTGCCCACTATTTGCCAGGAACCATTCTAGGTACCAAGGACACAATTGCCACATGTACAGGAAAAGTGATGTTGTAATAGCTCGAGGTGGGTCTTATTTTAGCTATGACAGCGAGGGATGGTCTCTCAAGGGTGACCAACAATCCTGGTTGTCCTGAAACCATGGGTTTTTCAGACCCTGCAACTTTCAGTGCTAAAACTGGGAAATTCCTGTACAAAGTAGGAAGAGTTGATCACCACAGGCCTCTCTGAGGTAACATCTAAGGTTGGGATGATGAGGAAGAAAGGAAGAAAAATTCAGGAATTCAAAGTCCCCAAGATGGAAACCGGTGTTGAAGAAACAGAAAACAGATCCTTGGGTGAGGCTGGAGCCCAATGAATAGGGAGGGGCTAAAGGGGGGTGGTGACTCACAGAATGGAGGGGGTTATTTCATTTGAGGCTTCAGAGGCCATGGAAAAAGGTCGTTATCATGTTGGGAAAACACTGAAGAGTTTTAAGGTGGGTGGGGGGATGGTGGGAGATGTGACCCAATTTGTGTTTTTAAAAGCTCAAGTGACTCACTTCATGGAGTATAGATTGTAAGGGACAGAAAGACATAGCGAGATCTTGGGAACTGGCTACAGTTATCCTGAACTAGTAGTATGGTGGCTTGGATTAGATACCTGGTAGTAGAGTTGGAGATGAGTGGGTGGATTGGAAGTACATTTTATTTTTAAAGATTTATTTATTTATGCATACAAGAGCTGGGGTACAGGCCAGATGCGCAGAGACAAAGCGGGGAACAGAACAGGCAGACTGACTGAAATATACTGCTGAGGGGAGCAGCAGGTGATTCAGGAGATGTCTACAGCGCCATGTGGGTAGCTCCCTGGTTAGCCAGGAATCGAACTCATGCTGCAGTGGCTGCAGACAACTTCATAGATTGAGTCTTAACCCTTGCACCACCAGGGAGGCCCCTGGTGAACATTTTGGAGAACATTCTCATGAGCTGGTTGTGGGAAAGTGAGGGATCAAGTTTTAGGGTTCCAAGGGAGGTGTCTTTTAACCACTTTGTACAGTCCATTGTCCTACAACTCCTGTTTTGAAAACAGAATTTGTCCCAACTAGGTGCTATAGTTATAGTAGTAACTGTGTATTTCTTAACCGTTTGACAATGTAAAACTGAGATCTCGAAGAAATCACGAGGCAAATTAGAAAATATTGTGAGAAAAATGCAAATGAAACAGCACCCAAAACTTATAGGATGTAGCTAAAGTAGAGGAAAATGTATAGCTCTAATCCATGTTAGAGAAAGATTAAAATCAATAATCTAAACTTTCACCCTCAGAAACTGGAAAGTAAGGGTAAAGTAAACCTGAAGGTAGCAGAAGGAAGAAAATAATAAAGACTAGGGTAAGAATAAATGAAATAAGGAATAGAAAGGTCAATAGAATTATCAAAACCACAAGTTAGTTCATTGAAAATGTCAATAAAATGGACAAATCTTTAACTAGATTAAGCAAGATTAAAAAGATCAAATTATTGAAGTCAGGAATGAAAAGGGACATTACAACCAGCTTTACAGAGATAGAAATGATGGCAAAACAATAGTATGAAAGATGGTTATGCTGACAAATTAGATTTCCTAGGTGAAAATGACAAATTCCTGGAAAGACACAAACTACAAACCCAGAGACACAAACTGGAAGAAAAAGAAAATAAGTGGACCAATAACAAGTAAAATTGAATTAATAATCAAAAAACTTCCCATGAAAAAAGCCCAGAACTAGAGAGTTGCACTGATGAATTCTACTAAATGCTTAACTAAGAATTAACATCAAATTCTTCATTAGTTATATTTTTTACAATAGAAACTGTTAGGCTTTTATTTATTTATACTTGTAATTTTTTTAAATTGCGTATTGTCTGACAATACTATGTATGACTCACATGTATAGGTTCACACCTCCTCAGATGTGTTTTACCACACCACCTTCAACCCAGGGCAACCACAGTCTTTCACATAGTCTATGGGGGCCCCTCCCCCCTTTCCTAGTCCATATCCTCCCCCTCTGGGGCCCTCGATTCTATAGTCAGATTTCTAAGGATTGGTTTGGTTTGGTTTTGTCTGTCCATTTGTTTTGTTTCTTTATATTCCACATATGAGTAAAATCATCTGCTCTTTGTCTTTCTCCTCCTGACTTAATTTTCTTAGGATCATCCGGTTCCATCCATGTTGTCCCCAGAGGCAAGAGTTTATATATATATATAAACTTGAGGATGACTATAATTTCTTGAGGATGACTATAAACTTGAGTCATTCTTGAGGATGACTATAATTTAAAAAAAAAGACAGATAATAACAAGAATTGGCAAGGATTTGGAGAAATAAGAACCCTGTTACACTGCTAGTGGGAATATAAAATGGTGCGATCATTTACAGTAAACAGTCTGGCATTTGTCCAAAAGTTAACCGTAGAATGATCTTAAGACCCAGCAATTTTACTCCTAAGTACCCCCAGAGAAATGAAAAAAAAAAAACACACACATTTTAATTGTGGCATTAGTCATCATAACCAAAGTAGAAACAATTCAAATACCCATGAATCAATGGGTGAAAAAATAGGGTGAATCTATACAATGGAATATTACTGAGCAATAAAAAGGGATAGAGGATTGATACGTGCCACAACATGAATGACCTTGAAAAACATGATGCCCAATGAAAGATGCCAGTCACACACAGTCACCTATTGTATGATTCCATTTACATAAAATGTTCAGAACAGGAAAATCCACAGAGACAGGAAGTTGGCTGGCGTCTGCCGGGAGCTGAAACAGGAGAACAGGAAGTAGATGCTAAAGTGTAAGAGGTTTCATTTGGGGGATGATAAAAATGTTCTGAAATTGGTTGTGGTCATACTGCACAACTTTGTGCATACTCAAAAAACCACCAAATTATATACTTTAAAAGGACTAATTTCACAGTATGAGTATCATATCTCAATAAAGTTGTTATTTTAAAAACCCTGCTACCACCTTAATGAAGTTCCTTTTTTTAAGTGTGTAATCCACTAAAGAAGTGTTTGAGTATTGTTACCCTAATTTCCATTTTACCACAAGCCCTGTGTTTCTTGCATAATTTTGCCCAAGGCATTAGTTTTTCAGGAAAGCACCTATGGCATTATAACCAAGATGACTCTATACAGTAAGATATTTCAGTTTGATGTTAGTAAGCAGAAAGTTTAGGCTGGTTGAGTGACAGTTCCTTGATAGAGAAGGCAGGACTGGGTGGGGAGCCTGCCTGTCACTTTCCTAAGGAAATCCAATTACCCTTAGCTGTTAAGTTGAAAGGGAACCACCTGGGAAGTTTAGCAGGAACCCACAACTTTACAACACTCCACACACAGACCTGCTTTCCATGGCTGTCTAACACTGCCGCACATTTCAGCTCTTCTTGCTTAGCCCCTGGAAGAAGGAGGCAAAGATGGAATACTGAACTGCACCCTGCCTCGATCAGACCATGGTGCAGAAGGTTTTATGTTTAAAAATTAAGAATTTCAAGATGGCGACAACAGAGCATTAGACCAATAGCAGGAGACCTGGCAAAGCTCCCTCCTCACCCCCCCCCCAACACCTTGGTCTAGCATCTGCAATTCCTTTTACCTGGCCAAATACACGAAGTACCAAGTGACCATCACTTCCTGTTCGCCTAGTCTTCAGGAATTCAGGAACCACCTCTTGTCTTCTGAGGAGGAGAGCCAGCATAGGCTTAAGGATAAGATCTAAGCTCTCCCAGCTTCCCCCTGCCAGCAAGCCTATTCACAAGCCAGTCTAGTCCCTGAGAAACACATGCCTCTTTGCAAACACGTCAAGCATTTGCAAGCCTATCCTGATTTTGCAGCAACTTGCATTTGCTCAAGTGCCAAAACAGACAAGAAACCCATCTCTGGCCCTATGTTTCTGGCAGGAAGCAGATAGCTGCCCAGGGCGCCTCTGTGGCATCTCATCCACCCCGCTTCTCAGGGGTCTCAGCAGAGATGGGGTGTACGCTGAATTCCTCCCCCAACTGGATTAGTGGGAGGGACAATCAGACTCCTCTGGCCCCAGGGAAGTTCTCTGCTGAGACATTCTCTTAAGAAGTTCCTGTCTATGTCCACTCTCCCACTTCCATACCTTCACAGCAAGGAGCAGACTTTAGAACTGGGAATGTTTCTGGGTGATTTCCTCTGAACACCTACCCATCAGCTGGCGCCTCACTAGAAGACTCCCATAACCTTCCTGTCTTGGTGTCCTGGTTGAAGTTTCAGTTTTGCATTTTGCTTCATTTGCTTTCCTGGTGTTGCTGCTCCGGGGACTGCCAGTCTAAGGATGTTGCAATAAGGCGAGGACCTTTCCTGTCGACTCCCACAGACCCCCGTCCTCTAGAGCAGAGGTTTTTAACCATGAGTGACTTTGCCCTGTAGGGGACACCTGGCGATGTTGGGGACATTTTCAGTAAGCGCAGCTGAGGATTACTGCTGGTATCCAGTGGGTGGGGAGCAGGATTGCAGCTCCACAGAGCCCTGGACGGCCCCCCACTCCTACCCCTCATTGTAATGTCAAGATTTCTCACTTTATAAAAGGTTATATGATGTTAAATGACGTTAGGGTAGGCGGAAACAGGTCTGGATTTCTGCAAGAAATTTCAGTTCAGGACCCCTGCTCTGTTCTGTCACTGCACCCCCTATCCTGACCCAGGTAACCCCTTATTAAAGAAGTCCTGGTCCCGGCTGACAAAGAACACCAGGGGCAGAAGGGGAGGAGTCTGATGAATTTCTGTTCCCACTAAAAGTTCCTTTAATGGATTCCAATTCCATCCATCCCAGAGAGAAAGCTTCACCTGGTTGAAGAAGCCACTCCAATTTGGGGAGGTGGAGTGTAGGACACAGTGTGCAGGGAAATGACAGAGCCAGAGTTTGAAGAAAAGGAGGTAACAGAACCAGAAAATCTGGGCTGCAGTGGAGGGAAGGAGGTGAACAGGAGGAGAATCTGGCTTTGATTTTGCTTTACCCTCTTATGAAGGCCACAGAGCAAGCGACGTCAGGAGCCATCCTTCCCAGGACGGGGACGCCTCAACCGGTTTCCTTGGAACTCTCTCCCTGTTGAAAGCGAAAGACCAGGTCTCCTCAAAAAGTTAAACAGGGTTACCAAGGACCCAGCAAGATTCTACCATCAGGCGTTGCTTGGCGATGAGCGGCAGCCCAGCTGGGGTCCCAAAAGACCGCGCCGTCCACCCCCGGGCGGTGGCTGCACCGTCCAGGTGTGTGTGATGACAGGCCGGGCGCTCACACGAGGAGGAAAGCCCCGGACCACATGTTCCTTGGGACGTATTCCCGTCATGAGGCCACACGTCACTGTAACTAGGTTTACACCCCAAAGCGTCAGACACATTTCTCCCCACAAAAACTTGCCCACAAATGAATGTTTGGAGGAGCATGACACCCAGCAACTGAAAGTGGAAATGACCCAAATGCCCACCGACAGATGAACAGATAAACAAAATATGGTGTGTTTACCATGGAATATTAATCAGTCATGAAGAGGAGGGAGGGTCTGACAGCTGCTACCAAGTGGAGGGGCTTTGAACACCTGACGCCCAGGGAGAGAAGCCAGATCAAAAGGTAACACTGCGTGGGTGTCCACTGAAGAGAAATTCCCAGAACAGGCACAGCCACAGAGACAGAGAGTGGGTTTGTGGTGCCAGGGGCTGGGGAGGGGTGTGGGGTGACACTGGTGGGGACACTGTTTCTTTTTGGAATGATGAAAATGTTCTGGAATTAAATTTGGGGATGGTTGCACAGCAGTTTATCTAAAAACACCGAATTCCGCACTTTGATATGATGAAGGTGATGTTGTATGAATTATACAGGATGATTTTAGTGTTTTTTAAAAAATGGAAATTTCCATATCTCCAGGAATCACTTCAGCCCTGAGCAAACCAGACAGTTGGTTAAAAAGGGGCTCAGCAACCAAGTGATGAAGAGGCCCAACAGCTTATTAAAGACCCTGAGAAGTTCTGCAACCATGTCAAAATTGTGGTCACAGGTTCTGAAATTGTTCAAACTTGATTAGGATCTGCTGCAAGCTAGCTTCCTGCTCTTGGGCAAGTCATGTGGCCCTATAATCATAATTTCCTCTTCTGCAAACATGGTTTTCAATTAATAAACAACTCATGGGATTGTCAGGAGGATTAATTAGGATGAGCTCTGTACTGTGCTTGGGATACTGAAAGCACCCAGGAGACGTTCCTATTATTAGTAAATGAATCTAGTTAATCCTGTTTAACTGCTTTTCCCAAACCTATTTAGCAGCATGTTCTATTTCCCCTTTTTAACACCTATTAACACCCTTTACCTTGGGAAATGCATTTTACTATTAGGAATTATCCTAATAATTCCCTGATGTATTCCCAAAGAGTTGTCTGTCATATGAATTTCTTTGCCTCAAATTATCCCATGACAGAGTTTAGGATCTGTTCCCTTGGAAGGCTTGTGAGGTATGGAGCAGACACTGAATTAGGTATCTGTAGGCTCAAGTTTGGGGTCAGATTAATGAAGAGAACAATTATGATTAAAGACAGGAACACCACAGAGAACTTGGACAGAACCACAGTTTGAAACCTCAGCACCAAAAAATTCCAAAGATGGCTCCCTTCCACCTTGAACAGTCCATGAATAAGGACAATTTAAGATGGGGCATTAAGACAAAATGAATAAAAAAAAATGGGAATATCACAAGTCAGTCATCATAAATGACTGATTAAATAAAGTAGCATTCAACTAAACAATAGAATATTATACACCCATGAAAAAGAATGAGATGAATTTACATGGGCAGATGTAGAAAAATTGCTATGATCTTTGCATTCAGCAATAAGATAAGTGCAGAACAATGTCTGTAGTGCTTTCCCATTTGTATTTTTAGAGGAGGATATGTGTCAAAAGAGGATCAACTTATACACGCACACACATACAGTCACGTGTAAATCACCAACACTCTTGTCAACGATGGACTGAATACATGACAGTGGTGCCAATGGGCTGTACTTAGGTATGTAGTAGGCTGTACCATTCAGGTTTGTATAATTACACTGACATTTTGCACAACGACAAAATCAGCCAATAGACAAATTCTCAGACTATGTCCCCATCATTAACTGATATATAGCTACACTGCCCTTTATTTAAAAACACATTACTCAAATACCCCAAAATAGATGACTGTATCAAGAAGATGTGGTATATATACACAATGGAATGTTATTCAGCAATAAAAAAAAAAAGATAAACTCATGCCATTCACAGCAATGTGGATGGAGCTAGAAGGAATTATGCTCAGTGAAATAAGCCAGAAGGAAAAAAAAAATATCGGATGGTTTCACTTATAGCAGGAATATAGGGGAACCAAATAAGACATCAGTGTAAAAAAATAATAACAGTACAAAACACAACAAAGCAAAACAAACAATTCTATATCAGAGACATCCTGAAGGGGAGGGAGAGGAATCAAAGGGAGGGAGGGAGGAGCACAGGGGACTGAGGTGATGGTGCACAGGTGTATTGGTGAAGGAAATGCTATGGGGACTACACGGGTGGGGGGAAGCAAATAATGTTTAAAAATGAACAATGATGTAAAAATAAAAATTTACAATGATGTAAAAATATATGACAAAAAACAAAACAGAAAAAAATAAGAGTTAAATAATTAAAAAAATAAAAACACAATAATACTTATTAAGTGCTTACTATGTGCTGGGTAATTTTTCCATCATTTCTCAACATTAACTCATTTCATCTTCCCAATAACTTGCATTATTAGCCTTATTTTACAAATAAGGGGACCGAGTAGAGTAGTTATCTAGTATTGTGAAACAAATTGTCCCTAAATTGAGCAATTTAAAGAACAACTATTCTTTATCTGAGATAGTTTCTGTGACTTAGGAATCTGGTGCCACCTAACTGGGTGTTTCTAGCTCAAGGTCTGTCATTCATGCAGTTGTGGGCAAGTTGGGATGCAGTCTCATCTGAAGGCTCTATGGGGCAAAGATTTACCTATTTTTCCTTTTCGTTTTTTGTTATAGTAAGGACACTTAACATGAAAAATACAAAATTTTATTTTATTTTATTTAAAAAATTTTATTTTTATATTCCCCATACAATTGCAATCCCCTTATTTTGACCCCAATCTCTCCTTTCCCCGCCCCCCCCCATTGTGTGTCTCTGGTTCACAGTTGTTTGTTGATTTTGATTTTTTCTTTCCTATAGTTATTGTTTTTCCTGGTCCCTTATTTAGGTTTTCTAGATTCCTGCTATGAGTGAGACCATCCGGTATTTTTCTTTTTCTTTCTGGCTTATTTCGCTGAGCATGATCCCTTCCAGCGCCATCCATGTTGCTGCAAATGGCATGTGTTTATCTTTTTTGATTGCTGAGTAATATTCCATGGAGTATATGTACCACATCTTCCTGATCCAGTCATCTATTTTTGGGCATTTGGGTTGTTTCCAAAGCTTAGCTATTGTAAACAGTGCTGCTGTAAACATAGGGGTGCAGGTGCTCTTTGGAATTGATGTTTCTGTGTCCTTTGGGTAAATACCTAGGAGTGGAATTGCTGGATCCTATGGAAGCTCTATGTTTAGTAGGTCCAGAAATCTCCACACAGCTCTCCATAGTGGTTGGACCAGTTTGCACTCCCACCAGCAGTGCAGGAGAGTTCCTTTTTCTCCACACCCTCGCCAACATTTGTTGTTGCTAGTTTTTTAATATGTGCCATTCTCACTGGTGTGAGATGGTATCTCATTGTAGTTTCGATTTGCAGAAAAATACAAAATTTTAAATGCACAATACAAGCTGTCAGCTGGGGTAGACAGTGTCAGCTCAGGCATGGAAATATTCACATATTTGTCCTCTCTCTCTTCCATTCTCTCTTTCCCCCTCTTCCTACTTCCTTCCCTTCCTTCCTGAATTTCTTTCTAAAATTGTGGTGGGAACACTTAACATCAGATACTCTTTTAACAAAGTTTTAAGCAAACAATGTAGTGTCAACCAACAAAATGTTTTGTGGTAGATCTTGAACTAAAATTCCACAGGCCCTGGTCAGCAACTCCCGATGGGAGAGGAGTCATTTGTAAACTCACTCATGTGGTTGTCAGCATGCTCGTGTTCTACTGGATGTTAGCAGATTTCTCCTCCTCAACAAATGGGCTTTTCAACAAGTTGCATGAGTGTCCTTAAGACAAAGCAGATGGCTTCTCACACACACTCAATACAGAAGCCACCATCTTTTTATAACCTAATCTCAGTGGAGATGACAACTCATTGATTTTGACATTCCATGTTGACATCTAACAACATTTTAGAAGAGAAACAGTAAGTCCAGTACATACTCGAGGGTGAAATTATATAAGGGTGTGAATACAAGGAAATAGGGATCATCAGGAATCATCTTATTGGGGGGCATCTTAGAGGCTGCGTACCCACTTGGGGATACAGAAGAGTTCTGCCTCTTGCCTAGCTAGTAAGTTGCAGAGCTAGGATTTGAACCCAGGAAGTCTGCTCGGACACACATGTGCTTAGCCTCTATCCTGGAGTACATCTTCTCGGGGATCTTTTGTCCATTCCTGTCCATGCAGAGAATATTCATGGAAAAAAATCGTAAGTATAAACTAAAAATATTCATAGGTGGTATAACAGGCTTAGCTTCTCGTTATCTATCCTGTCACTCTTTTCTGACCATCCATATATCTGTATGTTTTGTGTATATTTTCCAAGAGCAAACATACTTTTCTAGTCAATGTTTTGTCAACCACCCAAAGCACAGTAAAATGAAAAGGTATATTCTACTAAATATAAAATAAAATGGAACAAAAAAAATTTAACTATATGTTTTCAAGGGAAGAATTAGGCAGTAAACCACAGGACCACTGAAAAAAGAGTTTGAGTATAAGAATGGTACAAAAATACATGCCTCTGGGAGCTTTCCAAATCTCCTTGAGAGGATTTACCCCCAGTGGGTATTAAAACTTTTTTCTTCCTCCTGGACAGGCTCTTTCCTAATTGACTGTTTTTATTTAACTAATAACTGTTAATTAACCAGTGCTATTAGAACTGTAAAGCCATTTATGCATTGGTCGACAATTTTAAGAACCACTTATCTGGCACAGATCTGAGTGTGAGGGTAGCATAAAAAGACAATTTCCATGATGATGGGGCTGCTGAATAGTGGATTTTGTGTGGAAAGCACCTGTGTGCCCCCAAGATCTTTATTTTTCTCATGGTTTTCTCGCCATCCACTGCCACATTTTTCGGCAACACCGAATCATTTCCATAGCAAACTGTTGTGACCTCGGACAGCCTTGGAAGGGGCAGGCTGAATACACGTCAAACACATTTTTTTTAATCCCATTTTTTTCAGCCAAATGTATTAACCACTTCTAGGCAACCAGGCAGTGGGGGATTAGAATGGCTGTGCCTATGTTTTATATCGACTGCAAATGAAAGGAAAAGGAAAGAGGGAAAAGAGAAACAGGAGAATGAGAGCGAAATGAAAGAGAGGAAGGAGAAGGAAAGGTTTTGTTGTTTTTGTTAAAGCAGGAAGAGAAAGAATTCAGCCACAGAAACTGGCAAGCCATCTTGCTGGTCGCTTTACAAGAATGAAGCTCAGTCCTTTATCATTAGTGTTGTATGCAAAAATGTTCTCCCAGTCGGTGGGGTTTCTCTTTGTTTTTGTTATTGTAACTGGTCCAACCACCATGGAGAGCTGTGTGGAGATTTCTGGACCTACTAAACATAGAGCTTTCATAGGATCCAGCAATTCCACTCCTAGGTATTTACCCAAAGGACACAGAACATCCATTCCAAAGAGCACCTGCACCCCTATGTTTATAGCAGCACTATTTACAATAGCTAAGCTTTGGAAACAACCCAAATGCCCAAAATAGATGACTGGATCAAGAAGATGTGGTACATATACACCATGGAATATTACTCAGCAATCAAAAAAGATAAACACATGCCATTTGCAGCAACATGGATGGCACTGGAAGGGATCATGCTCAGCGAAATAAGCCAGAAAGAAAAAGAAAAATACCGGATGGTCTCACTCATAGCAGGAATCTAGAAAACCTAAATAAGGGACCAGGAAAATGAATAACTATAAGAAAGTGAAAATCAAAATCAACAAACAACTATGAACCAGAGACACTCTATAGGGGGGAGGGGGCGGGGAGGGGAGGGATTGGGGTCAAAAAAAGGGGGTTGCAATTGTATGGGGAATATAAAAATAAAATTTATTAAAAAAAAAAAAGAATGAAACTCAGAATGCTTGAGTCTTAGCCTCAGTGCAGCCACTCTGGTTGTAACGGCGAACGGGCACTGCCTGGTCAAGACCCACACATGACATTCAGTGGCTTTGATACTTTTTAGGGTGCTGCCCCACACTCTAGCACCACTCCACAGGGCCACCAGCCCCAGAACAGCCTCGTCTTTATTAAGGACACATCCATGTTACCAGATGAACTTTGCCACTGTCATCATTAATCAGAGAAAATCCCAAATAGGAGAAAGAATATGAAATATCATAAACTATGCAAATGGATTTACGGAAGGAGTTGGCCGTGTGGATTTGGCATTTCTCACTCAGCATTTTTTTATGCACATCTCTGTTTGTGTCATTGCTTTTCCAGACCTCTGTGGTTCCAGAATACTCACTTTTCATTCTAAAGGCAGTCCACCCTGCAGAGGTGAAGTGGAAAAACATGAGTTCCTTCTGTCCACCACCAAGTATTTAATGGATCCACTGAAGGGACTTTGAACATATGCCCTGGGCTTTAAACACAGACAGAAGAAATTTCCTAAAATTGTTAAGGCTATGGTGGATTCTGGTTTATTTGAAACTTTCAGCTTATGAAATGGACAAGTAGAAGGGAAAGAAGCTGCTCTCTCAATTCTTATGCTATTAGAGGATAAGCAATAAAAATATTAACAAATACAGGGCCTCCCTGGGGTGCAGGGGGTTGGGAACAGTGCTGTGAAGTTGTCTGCAGTGTGAGTTTGATCCCCGGCCAGGGAGATACCCACATGGTGCAGCAGACCTCTCTTGATTCACCTGCTGCTCCCCTCAGCAGTGTACTTCGGTCTATCTGCCTGTTCTGTTCCCTGCTCTGTCTCTGGTGAGTCCTCTCACCTCCCATACCTCTGGCTTGTACCCCAGTTCTTGTAATCATAAATGAATAAATCTTTAAAAAATATATTAACAAATACAAAGGTATGGAATAAAATATGAAACTCAGCCTTGAAAAATCCCTGGTCCAGGGCTTCTGCAAGGTGCATGCAGAAAATAATATCCATTTATTTCATTAAATTTCCCCATAAATTATTTTTCAAAATTTTAATAAAAACATGAACTTTTTTGCATGATTATGACTTTTTAAATTAACGTATGCTTATAGCACCATAAACAACTTCTGATTGAGAACTTTAGCTAATGGTCTCTTCAAATGCCTTTTTAATGTTATGAAATGCTTATAAATATTTCCATGATATTTTTCCCTTTTATTGAACTATCACATACATCAAAGTAAAAAAAATACATATGTATTACCTTTTACATATGTCTGAACTGTCACCATCTACACCTAGGTCAAAAAATATCTAGTTTTTTTTTTTTTTAAAGATTTATTTATTTATTTATACAAGCACTGGGTACAGTCAGAAGCGCGGGAGGGTGAGAGAATTCACCAGAGCCAGAGCAGGGAGCAGAACAGGCAGAAGGACCGAAGTACACTGCTGAGGGGAGCAGCGGGCGGCAGGAGAGGTCTGCGCGCCATATGGGACCCTCACCTGTTGGCCGGGGATCAAACAGGCGCTGCAGAGGCTGCGGGCAGCTTCGCAACCCAGCGCTCAGCTGCTGCACCACCGGGGAGGCCCAATATCTAATTTTTAATATAGAATACCACTACCCATCACTCTTACTTCTAGCACCACATTTATTTTGCTTATTCTCGAACTTCACATTGACGAAATTATACAGAATGTACTCTTCTGTGTCTAACTTCTTTTGTATAATATTATTCTGTGAGGTGATTCATATCACGGAGTGCAGCATTTCTTCATTCTTTATTTTAGCTGTTGAGTACTGTGCCTATCTATCCCTTCTCTTGTTGATGGGCATTTGGCTTGTTTTCAATTTCCTCAAAATTCTGATAGGCATTTTTGCACATCATCCTAAAATTACAGCAGGCAAGATGGTATTTGACAGGTGATAGGAAATTAAAAATCACTTTTTATAGACCCTTCCCCAATCTGAGTGAAGTTACATTTCACTCTCTTTCTTTTTGTTCATTGACAAAGATAAGCTTGAAAATAATGTGAATGGATTTCATATCCAGTTAAACATTTTACCAGGCATTTCAAATCATCACGATGCCTTCATTTTCAGGATGTGCTTGTATTGTTTGAGTTGTCACTCAGCTGTTGGCACGGTCTCCACCAAAAGGGCACACCAGCTGCATATTGACAGAAGAATCTGATACATAAAGATGGGGACTTGGGCATCTTTGCAGCTGTCCCCAGCAGGAACCCCCTACTGGTTCCCTGTGAGTTTGTCTCTCCCCAATTTAGGGCCCACCCATAGCCAGTGTGACCTCATCTTAACTTATCTAATTCCAACTACACAGATTTTATTTCCAAATGAGGTCATATTGTGAGATTGTAAGTGGATGTGACTATTGGGGAGGAAGCTATTCAACCTAGCACAGTATCTTTGCAAACCCTGGAGCACTACATGTTAGGAGAATGAAACAGACAAGGAGAGAATGCTGACTCTTTGGATGCAGCTACGGTCCTGATATAAAGAACAACCAGGTTGAAAGATTTGAACTGGGAAGACAGAAGGCTCAGAGATCAAGATTCTCTGTGTCAGAGGTTGGCAAACTTTCTGGTGTAGGGCAGAGAGATTTGGATCCATGGTTTCATATGCTGTCTGTCCCGACTAAGCAGTGCAGCAGTTACAGCATATAAGCAGCCAGAGCAACAGCACAGGAGGGTATGTGTGCGCCAGTGAGACTTTATAAAAGCACCTGGGGAGGGCCAGATCGGGTGTAGTTTGACATCCCTTGCCCTCTATGTTTGAGCAGATGTGGAGGAAAAGTATGTGTTAGCCCAAAGCAAATTCCATATAGTGTGGAGAAAGCCAAAGACACTTTATAAAAGCACCTGGCGAGCGCCAGATCGGGTGTAGTTTGCCATCCCTTGCCCTCTATGTTTGAGCAGATGTGGAGGAAAAGTATTGGTAGGACTATGGCAAACGTAATGGGAAAAATATTAACGCACATAGGAAACCATCAGAGAGCAAAGCCATAGCAGGAAGCCAAAAGATAATGTGTGAAACTGAGGCTATACCAGAGGAAGTAGTGTTGGTAATGGCTGGCTCTGTGGGAAGGATATTCTTAGTAGACATGGGACAGAAGATCGTTAGGTTCTTACAAGCCTTTCTGATCTTTTTACTACTCAGGCAACAACCCAGTAACAATGTGTATATATTGCCTTAATAAAAAAGGATAAACTAAAAAAACAAAACCCATTGCTGTCATAGCCTCCATCTTTGCTGCCCGGAGGTGCAGAGACCCCAGAAGGTGCTGGCCGTGAGCTCACGGCCCCTGTGGGAGAGGGAAGGTCCCACCAGGGGGCGCTGCGAGAAAAGGTATAGATTCGCAGAAATTCAAAAAAATGGAAACCCCCTCACTGGCCTGCAGTGGGAACCGCGAAATCAGCTCCCCGTGAGCCAATCTAGCCTTCTGCCTGTATTGTCTTTGCGCATTTGTTTCTTGCTTTGTTATGTTTTTCAATGAGATTATAATTGAGATTATAATGGCCATAACATTAGTTTCCGGTGTGCAGCGTGATTCAATCTTTGTATACATTGCACAACCATCTCCACATCAAATATAGTTAATAGCTATCACTACACGTAGTTACATTTTTTTCTTGTGATAAGAACTTCTGAGATCTCTCGTAGACACCTGGAAAGATACAGCTCTGCCCCACATGGCTGCACTACGAATCGCAAATGCCTATCAGCTCCCAAGTGCTTTTGTGTGGTTTCTGATTGTTCTAACAACCTCGAGTGGAATCATTCCATTCCCAGGAAAGGAACTTGAAGGGGTGGCTTCAAATGCCCCAGGTTGGTGCGAAAGCTGAGATTCAAACCCTTCTTCATTTTTTTTAGAATTATGAGGTACAGTGTTATTAACTATAGTCACCACCTCTCGCATGATGTTCCCAGGACTGACTTATTTTATAACTGGAAGTTTGTACCTTTTGACCAACTTACCCATTTTACTTACCCCTGCGCAGTGCTGAGGTCTGAGCCCGGCCCCTGCCATCCTCAGTGAGGGGCTGCTGGGAAGGGCGTGGAGCTGAGGGGCCATTTTTGAAGAGAGCCTTTCAAAGGGAGAGAGGCAGGTGGATTTGCTCTTTTTCATCAGAGCTGCTGTGGAGGGCTGCCCCGCAGGCCCCGGTGGAGGACCTCACACCCTTCCCTTCCCCAACCCTCTCCTCCCCTCCCCCACCCGCCCCACCCTCGCCTTCCCCAGCACACCTAACCTCAACATCCCCTCTCGACCCCTCCCTATTCCTTCCCCCCACTCCTTCCTACTCCTGCCCTCCCCGCATCTCCCCTCCCCTCCCGGTCCCACCCACGCCACCCCAGGGGCAAGCCCTTAGCAGCAGCAGGCCTCTGCCACCCCCTTCCAGCTTCTGTGACTGAAACTCCTAAACACCATCTCTGGCTATGTGGACCTCCTCCCTCTACCCCTACCTCTACCTCTATCCCGCTAGTTCTTAGAATAAATTGGTTTTTGTCTTGTTTTGTGCTGCACCAAAGGCCCTGGGTGGCCAGACCCAGAACCTGTGAGAAGTTCTCACCCAGTGACAGTTTTTAGAGACTTTACCCAGTGACAGTGGCCACTGTGGTTTGGATTTGCCTTTCCCTGAAGGCCAGTGACATTGAGGGCCTTTCACAGACCCGCTGGCCATCTGTATGTCATTTTTGGGAAAATATTCAATTCCTCTGCCCATTTTTCATTTGTTCTGTTTGTTTCTTCTGAGCCCTTCACATCCATGTACATGAAGGAGCCTCCTGATCGCAGCGATCAAACCCTCCCGACACACCTGGGGTCCTTCTGCATAATTATTTGCCAATTGTTTGCATGATTGGAGCTTTTGCTCTGTCTCCCTAAGCAGACCCCTCCTCTGGTTTTGCTCACCTTTATTTCCCCGACATCTAACATAGTGTTTGTGGCGACACATAAATTTCAGGAGCACGTGCAGGAGAGAATGTCTGCTTATGCGCCATGAAAGAAGGAGAGACACAAGTAACTTTCCTGCCCTGGGAGCAGCTTACTCCAGGGGTGGGGGGTGGGGCTGGGAGAGCTAGTGATGTCATAAGAGGTGACAGGGACAGAAGGTTCTGGAAGGTCGAATGGGATATTAGGCCTGTCCGGGAGGGAAACAGCTCATCCTCCTGCCTTCCATCACCCCCACCATCCAGGCAGACCGTGACAAGGAGCAGTGAGTGCTCAGTTTTCCAGGAGGGGTCAATTGTTTGTCATCTTTGTGGAAGAACAAAACATCTTGAGCAACCAGATGACTCAGCTCCCAAAGCCTCGCTGTGATGGGCAGAACCACAGCGTCTGGAGAGTAGGCAGGTGCCAGTATAGGGGAGGGGGTGTGGGGTCCTTTAGGGTTCAGCCTCTCTCATTCAGCAGCATCTTCCACCAAGAGTTGGACTCACCACAGACATACATCTTGGACTTGGACTAGACCCTCTGTATCTTTTTCTGTTGCATTTTCTATTTGGCGACTGCTGTGGTACAAGAAAGTTATTGGTTTTTTGAATATGAATCATTAATCTAGTCACTTTATGCAACTATTTTTATTTCCAATAGCTTTTCAGTTGATTTGGATAATTTGGGTCATCAATCATGTCATTTGCAAAATGACAATGTTGTCTCTTCCAGTCTTTTTGCTCTCTTTTTTCTTATCTTATTTCATTGGCTAAGAACCTCTGGATCAATGCTGACTAGCAGCAGTGAGAGCTGATATCTCTTATTCCTGACTTCATGGGGAAGTGTTCACTGCGTTTGCTGCTATTATGATATTTGTTGTATATTTGTGGTAGATAGACTTGACTGAGTTAAGGAAATGTCTTCCATTTCTTATTTGCTAAAGATTTTCACTGAAAGAGGAAATTATAGCAGGTGCTCAAGAAACACCAAGAGAAAGGCTGAGACCCAAAACTGAGAACAGGCTTTCATTTTGAGGTGGTAGAAATGTTTTGGAGCTAAATAGAAGTGATGATTGCACAAGATTGTAAATGTACTAAATGCTACTGAGTTGCTCACTTTAAAATGGTTGATTTTGTGTTATATGAATCTTACCCCCATCAATGAGTATGTAAGAAAGATTCCTGGTGGCGGTTCAGCTTGAAAGAGACCAGGGCAGGTTCCCAATGGCCACAGGTGCTGGGGACATCATGATCTGAGACATCTCACCTCTCAATCCATCTTTCTATTCTCAGGCATCAGTGGTCAACTTTGGGACCAGAGTGCTTGCATTTTGCTTTATTATTCCCAATGAGGTAATGACCTCAAACAAGCGCTTAGACCAGAAATTTTTTTTGAATCATAAATCTGTCCACATATCCATTCACCCTCACAAATGGTCACCTTTTTTATATGTTAGCCTGCACCTCGCTTTTTCAATTAAGCATTATGGCTTAGAGAACATTCCCTAACCTTGAGCATACATTACCTTGAAACTGTAAACTTCCAGGTATTCTTTTTCCTAATGGAGATAAGATTCATAAAACATAAAATTAACCATTTTTGAAAAAGATGTATTTATTTTTGCATAGAAGAACTGGGGTGTAGGCCAGAGGTGCAGGGGGTTGGGGGTGAGAGACAGAGACAGAGTAGGGAGCAGAACAGGTGGATCTAATCCCTGAAATACACTGGAGAGAGGGGAGCAGTGGGGGAGACAGGAGAGGTCTGCTGTGCCATATGTGCCAGCACCCTCACCGGGGAAAGAAATCATGCTGCAGTGGCTGTTGCTGGCCTGGTAGCTGAGACTTTAACCCCTGCACCATCATGGAGGCCCAAAATTAACCATTTTAAAGTGAGCAACTTGGTAGCATTTAGTACATTTACAATCTTGTGCAACCATCACCTCTATTTAGCTACAAAACATTTTATCAGCTTAAAAGGAAACCCTATTCTCATTATTGTCACTGTCCACTACCCCCTCCCTGGAAACCTTCAACATGCTCTTGAGCTACATGGATTCACCTGTTCTGGATATTTCACATAAACAGAATCATACACTCTGTGACCTTTCGTGTCTGGCTGCTTTCACTCAGCATCATGTGTTCCAGACTCATCCATGTTGTAGCAGACATCGATGCTTCATCCCTTTTTATGGCCGAATAATATTCCATTGTATGGATGGAACACATTGTGTTTACCATTCATCCGCTGGTGGAGGTTTGGATGTTTCCACCTTTTTGCTATTGTAAATAATGATGCGCTGAGCATGGGTGTACATTTCTGGTGTTTTTCTAGAATATTTCTGGTGTTTTCTAGAATATTTCACCCTATAGACGTTCCATAACTTAAATTACCAGTCTCTACTGCTGCATATTGACATCTGCTCCAGTTCCTGCTATTCAAACAGAGCTGCGGTGGCCTTCCTTTGTATGTAGTTTAAATAATTGGTGAATATTTCTTTTGTGTTTATAGCTTCATCTAGATAAGTTGTATTTGATGGCTTGTTTTGTTCTACTGACTGATACACTCTGTATATATAAATTCCATTGAGACTCATTCAAATTCATTTTCAAATGTGCCATCCTAGCTACCCGTATTCACTAAAATGTAAAACCAGCGTCTGCTAGTATAGAACTGGGTAAATATTGTAGAGTTTCATTCACCAGAGTATTATCATCAGGGTTTCTCTGCTGCATGCCAGATTCTGACAGAAACATTTGGTGTTGTAGAACATTACTGCAAATCTAGAATTTAGAGCAATCGTTGACTTCTTGTATCATGTACATTGTTCATTGGAAGGAACAAATTCAATTTTCCTCTATGAAAACCACTGAAGCACTTTTTTTTCTTTCTTTTTAAAGATTTATTTATTTATTTATTTATACAAGAACTGGGGTACAGGCCAGATGTGCGGGAGGATGAGAGGATTCACCAGAGACAGAGCAGGGAACAGAACAGGGAGACTGACGAAATACACTGTTGAGGGGAGCAGCGGGTGAGACAGGAGAGGTCTGCTGCGCCTTGTGAGACCCTGGAGGGTCGGCCAGGATCGATCCAGCGCTGCAGAGACTGTGGACAGCTTAACGGCACAGTTCTCAACCGCCTGCGCCACCAGGGGAGGCCCTGAAGCACTTTTAATCAATGTCAAACAGCAATTTTGCCCCCAGAGGAACAGCTGAAAATGTCTGGCGACATCTTTGATTGGAATGAACTTGGATTTGTGCTTTTAGTTACACAAATTTGATAGGAGAATTTGATTAAGGAAACGTGAATGACTAATGTTTAAATGTTTGGGAAGATGGATTTTTTAAATTTAAAAACTTATTAAGCAACATTCTTCTAAATATTTATATAACTGTATTAATCTGCTTAGGGTTGCCATAGCAAAATATCACACAAAGGATGACTTAATAGAAATTAATTTTCTCTTGGTTCTAGAGACTGGAAGTCGAAGATCAAGGTTATCAGCAGGGTTGGAGTCTGGTGACTCTTTTTTCGTTTGCAGATGTCTGCCTTCCTGCTGTGTCCTCACAGGGCGGAGGGAAAGCAGGACGCTGCTTCTTTTCCTCCTCCTATAAGTTCACTAGCCCTATTGACTTAGGGCCTCACCCTTATGCCTCATTTAACCTTAATCACCTTCCTAGGGACCCCAACTCCAAATACTGTCATATTGTATGTCAGGGCTTCAACATATCAATGGGGGGGAGAAACAACTTAGTCCATGATGATTACTATTAATTTATGTTAATTTTTAGAGGGATGTTACTTAAGAATTAACACACTGGAAATCAAACTAAGTTAAGCCCCTGTGGATGGGCTCATGACAATGTGATATTGCATCTGAGTACATACTGACAAATGTCCTCCAAAGGGGCTGCATTTGTTTTTATTACAAGATATGAGAATGGTTCCCCACAGACATATGTATTTTAAAGTCGCCCTTATCTTAATCTGATAAGTAAAAACTGCATCATAATATTTTCTATTGCATTTCTGTCATGACTGAGATGGGGCATGTTTTCCTGCTTTTATAAGTCATTAAAATTTTTCTTTTCAGAGAACTGTCTATTCATGCCTTGCCCATTTTCCCACAGGGTTACTGGTCTTTTTATTGACTCATCAGAGTTCTTTACATATTAAGGAAATCAGACCTCAATCTATCAGATGAGTTTCCCCTATTTTTATTAGATGGGTTTTCTCATATTTTCTTTGTAATTGATGTTTTGTTTTTAGTATGCTTTGCTGTTTTTAGTATGCTTTGCCATGTGGGAAATAATATAGCAAGATTTACTCTCTTTTTTGCATTTTCCTGTCTTAGTATCTTTAAGGCAAATAAGCCAGATGAGAAATCTCCTCTGAGAGTTTCTTTTACTTGGGAGACTTCAAAATATTTTCTCAACCACAGGAGAACATAAAGGCCTGGTCCCTACGTTCTATCCATTTAAGAGTCTCTTGGAAACTCACAGACTGAAAGGCCACTGGACTTTATGGCCTGGCCTATGAATCACTCTCCTCTACTCTGAGGCCCAGGACAAGAGTGATTCATTGATCCCAAGATGGTAGACAGACATGACCAGTGAGTGGGAGTTGACCTCAGTCCTGAGACATTTTTGCCAGGCCTGCTAAGTCCATGCTTTGTGCCTTGCAGTGCTGTGAAGAATGATCTCTGCAGACCTGGAAGGGTTGATCCCCAACAACTCAAGAAGAGGTGGCTGAGGAACTTGAAGTAGATATGAGTGATACAGATGGTAGGTTATGGGCAAGAGAACACTGAATTGGCCAAGGTTTTTCATAATCTGGACTTAAAGAGTCATTACTCGGTCATTCCTTAGCTGAGGGGCTGGAACCTGAGGGGGTGGGTGGTGAGGGGGTGTTTCTACACCTGCTAAGGCATGGAGGTGTCACAGGTGAGCAGTTGACAGGTTATCTAACTGAGAACTGAAATCTGTTAGCTACGTGACATTGGCCAAGCCACTTGCTCCTTCAAAGATCCATTTGTATTATTTGAAACACGTAGGAATCGATATCAGCCCTTCTCCACTAGGATGGTAAACATGTGTGGGTTACGTGCCCCGGAACCACATATAAACACAGTGCAGATCTAATTTCAAGGTTGAAAGGGACAGACAGAAGCAGCTTACTTTGAAATGCATCAAGAAATCAGATGGAGTGATGGATGGATGGAGGAGGGTGGCAGAGATGTGCTAAAGTAAATACAGCGAAATGCTAGAAGGTGTGGAATCTAGGTGGTAAGAGGGTATTTTCTAATCAGTCTGTTCAACTGTTTTGTACGCTTGAAATTTTTTTCTCATAATAAAATAGTTGAGAAAGGGGTGAGAGAAAAATAAGAAAAGGAAGCTGGAATAGAGGCGTGTGGATCATGTGATTTCACCCAAGAATGGGAGGCGCTCAACTTTCAGCACTTTAGGTCCAAAAAGATACCCCCCCCCCCCAAGTAATGCAGCGAATAAAAACATTTGCCACCCAACCTTGCTGACTGTTTGCAGTTACTCCCCGGCTGTGGACCGTTCATCAAGACAGGGAAGTTCTTCTGAGGCTGTCAAAACACGGTCCAGGCCACGAGGTCCCGATGACCGTGCCTGAATTTTTCCAACAGTCAGTGAAACGATTTGGGGCTTATCCAGCCCTTGCATCAAAGAAGAAAGGAAAGTGGGATCTTCTGAGTTTCAGCCAATACTATGAGGCTTGTCGGAAGGCTGCAAGAGCTTTGATTAAGGTAAAAGATTCTTCCCTCCCTCCCTTCTGTCCTCTCCTTCCCTCTTTCATTCTACACATACATGCATGTGATGCAACATATACATGCATGTGATACAACATATATAAGGCACCACGAGATACAAAGGTTAATTGGTGAACATTTTCCCTCCAATCTTTAATCCCTCTCTTATGGGGGAAGTCGTGTCTATTTGGAAAATAATTACGTGTGCATAGGCTATCATTTCTACATGTGCTTCTTTTTCTTTTTCTTTTTTAAAAAGATTTATTTATTTATTTATACAAGCACTGGGTACAGTCAGAGGTGCGGGAGGGTGAGAGAATTCACCAGAGCCAGAGCGGGGAACAGAACAGGCAGTCTGACAAAACACACTGCTGAGGGGAGCAGCGGGTGGCAGGAGAGGTCTGTGCGCTATGTGGGACCCTCACTGATGGCTGGGGACCGAACCGGTGCTGCAGAGGCTGCGGGCAGCTTCGCAACCCAGTGCTCAACCACTGCGCCACCAGGGAGGTCCTACATGTGCTTATTTTTACACGTGCGTTAACATACCACACTCACAGTTCGGCGTCTGGCTTTTCCCCTTAGCATACTATCGTGATGTATTAGTTAGCTACTGTGGCATCATATTTATCCCACGCTCCAACGTGGTCATTCAAAATGACCAACACTTATTACCTCATGGATCATGTGATCCTGCCATTCTACTTCTGTGTATATGCTAAGAATAATTGACAGCAAGAACGCAAACAGCTATTTGTACATAAACCCAAGTTCACAGCAGCATTTCTTTATGCCAATAGGTGGGAGTAATCCAAGTGCCTATTGATGGGTTAGTGGATAAACACAATGTGGTCCACCGAGACAACGGAATATTATGCAGCCATAAAGAGGAAGGGAATTCTTATACATACTACACCATAGGTGAACCTGGGGGACTTTACGCTCCATGAATGAAGTCAGACACAAAAGGACAAATACTGTTGATTCCACTTACAGGAGGGCCTGAGAGGAGTCACATCCATAGAGACAGGAACTAGATGGTGGGTGCCCTGGGCTGGGAGAGGGGAGTTAGTGTTTAATGGGACAGAGTTTCAGTTTAGGAATCTTAGAAAGTTTGTACTTAACGACACTGAACTGCACACTTAAAATTGGTTAAAATGGTACAACTGAACTATCTAGAGTTCACCACAATAAGCAATAAACAAAAGGGGTGTTGTATAGAGAAAAGCAAACCAGTCTCCCAATAATCCAAAAAAGATCACGCCCCAGATGTCGGTCTCAATACCGGCGTTTTCCCATGTGACTTCATTGGGCTTTGGTGTCCGCTCTCACACAGCCCAAGGTTCAGGCCTCAGCTGGAAACAAAATATCTCCTTATTTTTCTTTTCAGTTTATCTGTTTGTTTTTTGCCTTCCCAGCTGGGCTTGAGGCGCTTCCACGGAGTCGGCATCCTGGGCTTTAACTCCAAGGAGTGGTTTATTGCCTATCTTGGTGCCATCCTTGCAGGGTAAGACCACGCTGGGGTTTGCTGGGGAGGTGGGCAACTTGGGCTGGCTCCCACGGGGGGTTTCAGAAGAGGCCTCAGGTTAGCAGGCTGCATAGAGCACAAACAAAGGACTAGCAACGTTGTTACAGAGCATCCCTGATATAAACATGGGTTGCCTGGCTGTGGGTCCTCACCCAGGAGCTTAAAAGGGACTTATGAATACTCCACTACAGGCATACACAAAAGGTTAATAAAAGGTTTATTTACAAGGGAAAGGGAATTAAGGAAATGTACAACTCAAGGAAAAAAATAGGGAAATAAAGTCTTTAATGCGTCCTACCCGATCCACCAACCTGGAAACCCAAAGGCACTCTCCGAGCTGGCCGGACGCTGCAAGCTGGCGGGGAGCCAAAATGAGGGATTTCCCCCCCAAAGCCCAGGTGTCTGTTTTATAGTTTTATACCCAACCTGGCTGCTTAACCCCACTCTCAGGTCCCAGCCTCCTTCCCTTGGGTGGTGATGGGATGTGGAGTTCCCAGTGTCTTTGGCTTTGGCCTGGGGTGGGGGTGGAGTCCACAAAGCCTGTGTGGAATTAGCTTTAGGACAGCCTTTCCCCCTAACAACTTCAGTATAAGCCATAAGGACTAGTGTCTGTGAGGTGCTTCTATAACCTGGTAATAACAAGACAGGCAGAGTTTAAATGGGTAAAAAGCTCAAACAGAACAGTCGCCAAGGAAGCAGCCAATAAGCCCTTGAAAAGATGCTATTTGTCACTATGCATCCGGGAAATGCAAAATGCAGCCAAGATAGAAAGGTTAAAAGAAGGCAACACGCTGTGGATGGAGGGCACAGGAGCTTGGGGGGGATCCAAACCCCCGCTGTCATTTACTGGCTTTGGGACCTGAATGAGTGAGCTCCCTACACTGAGCCCCATTTCTGCCACCTGTAAGTGGGGCCATGTGAGGGCCCCACAATTCAGCATCTCAGTGACATCGTGGCTGGGACACCTTTTTCTTGTCACTATCGGGGTTTTTTTGTTTCTTTTTTTCCCTGCTGTTGTATGTGTTAAGCTGTGAAGGGAGGCAGTTGTCACCTAGGCTTGCCTGCAGCCCATTCCCCTCCCCCACCTTCCAGAACACGCTAACCTTAAGGTGTGTGTTTTCTTTTCCCAGGGGAATCAGTGTTGGCATTTATGCCACCAACTCTGCAGATGCTTGTCAGTACGTCATTGCTCAAGCCAAGGTGGACATCCTGCTGGTTGAAAACGACCTACAGCTAAAGAAAATCCTTTCGGTAAATCCCGACCCAGACCCAGGGCTTCCCTCCAACCACCCAGGGCGACTTCTGGGCTCTGACAAGGTGTCTTTTTGCTCCCAGGTAGATGCTAATGATAAGCTGGGGTGATGGAGCTTGCCCCAGGCGCAGGTTGAGAATTGTCCAGCAGAGCAGAGTCCGGCCAGGTGGTGGCTGTCTTCACCTGCCTTAGCTGGTGGAGGCTCAGAGACTCACTGCAAAGAACCCTGGAGTCCTAAAATCCGGTGGTTTCACATCAGTCAAGGTCACTAGCAAGGTTTTTCACTGGGCAGGGAAGAGAAAAGAGGCCGGTTGCTGTAGGAGGGAGTTCAGGACGTGCATCCAGCTTTCGTATTTCCCAGGGCTGAGGTGCTATGTCGACCACGCAACACTTTGTTTCAGAATGCGCGGCACATGATGCAGACCCCGCTCAAAGCAATCGTCCAGTACAAGAACCCGTTGACGGAAAACATCCTGAACTTGTACAACGTAAGCGTGGGAGGGGGGCAGTGAGCAAAGGGTGGGGACACAGCCTCCAAAGGGAACTAGGCGGGGACTCCCACAGAAAGTGGCAGGTGAGCAGGGGGGAGGGGCCTCACAGGGAAGTGGGTGGGGCCTTGAAAGGGTGGGTGGAGCTTGGCAAGGAGAGTGAGCTGGGGCTTTTGGAAGGCATTTTTTAGATGATCTGGAAATGTATGTGTTCTGGTTATTTATTGCTGTGTAACAAATCACCTCCAAAATCAATGTTATAACAATAATCTATCCATTTTTTCAGAACATTAAAGTAATCAGGAAAAAATACTGCATCATTGAAAATTAGGCGTATTAAAACTCACATTTTAGAAGTATTTTATGTATATCCAAACCAAAATGTATTATCTTACTTTTGATTAAGACTATTGATGATTTTAATATATATAAATATAGATATATATAAAGGTGCACATTTCTGTTATGACTTGGAAGGACTATTGGAACCAGTCTTTATTTAAAATTGTGATATTTCATTCATCATGGATTTTTTCTTCGTCTTGATCGCATTTGCTTTGTTTTTGCATGCCTTTCAATCTGGCACAGAGGTGTAGTCCCTAGTCCTCATTCTGGTCCCCACCCTGCAGCTGGGGCTCCTCTGGCCTCCTCATCTCTGTGATGGAGAAACCTGTCTAAGGGGGTGGCCCTAAGACACAAAGAATAGGGGTAGATGGGAGCAGGCTTCGCCTGTTATTGAAGGAGGAACTCCTGGGGAGAGCCAGAAGCCATAAATGTTGCAGTCGTGTTTTGAAAATACACTCTGCCTGGGGGTCTTTTATAATGGGGGGGGGCGGCGGAGAATGTTCGCATGTAAGCAACAGAGGCACACTTAGGCCAAAGGAAATTTTTGGGTTTGTGTCTAGGATTATTTTTTTTCTCAGAAGCCAGGGCAGGCAGCTCGAGAGGGACCAGGACAAGTTCATGTTAATTGCCATGGAATTAGACCCGCAAACGCATGAATCAAATCAGAAACCCTACAAAGTCCTGGAGTTTATTTGGTTTGCCCTCCGTGCCAGTGGGAGTTGTAGGTGGTGCCTTCTGGCCTAACCACTGCACTAGACCAGGAAGATGGCTCACTGCGAAAGACAATGGAGCAGAGCTACAGGCTTTTAAAAAGTTAAAAGTGGCCTCACAGCACGTATCTCCCGGGACCTTTTGACAGCGGCTTTGGGGATGGTGCCTGGTGGAGACAGGTGGAAACCGCTGCTGTCAGACCTGAAATGCAGGAGCAGACCCTGCCGCTGGGCGAGCTCCCTGCCTGAAGGCTGGCAGGCTGGCTCACAGCCAAAGCCGGGTTTGCATCTTTTATGATTTAACGTAGAATTTAAAACTCATGTAAAGTTTTTTCTTTTTTAAAAAGTAATGAAACAGGCCTGTTTTCTACTGAATTACTTTGCAGATAAGTTATACTGGTTGCTGTTGAGGAAAGGTGGCATTTCCACGTTTGCCTTAATGGCAGTGTGTGCAACTGAGAAAAGTGCTTCGGGCAGCCTTGCTCTCCTTGTTGCTACGGACCTTCTGGACCTTCGGCTCGGATAATTCTTTGTCGTCAGGGACCCGACCTCATGGCGGGTGTGGACCCCGTCCCCAGTCTCCACCCACTGGCTGCCACTAGCAGCCTCCCAGATGAAATAGCCAGAAATGTCGTCAGGCATTGCTAAGTCTCCTGGGGGCAAAGTCACTCCTGGTTGAGGAGGGTGATTTAGAGGGGACAGTTTTGTGACATCAAATAGTATCTACTTCTCTGCAGCGGGGAGGAGCGCCTGTGATTCCGTTTAGGAATACGATTGTTAGATCTGAGAGAACAAGAGTCTGAGAAACTGGACAGGTGGGGTGTGGCCGACTCAGGCAATTAACTGAGCAGATTGTGATACTTGGAATGGGACTTGGGGCCAACATCAGGGTTCCACAGAGAGGACTGGAGGAGACCAACTTGGGTCCAGTGTCTCCCAATCTAATAATCTGTGACCCTGCAAGGACCGGGTCCTGGACAAGCCATTAGAGGACACCTTTGGGGGGCGGGGGGCTTGGGCATCTCTCAGACAAAGGACAGGGACCCCAAAATGTTTGGGTGTTGCAACACACTGGCCAGTTCTGGAGGACTTCAGGTGCCCTCCAAATTGAACACAGGGCATCACCCTCATCCAGAACTTTGAGGGCTCTGTAGTAGAATTTTTGCAGGTCCAGTGCCATACTCAGTTCCCACAACCCAGCCGTTTAGGCAACAAATTTCGATGGTAGTTAAGGGCACAGGTCCTGGAATGGCACCTTCTTCGGTTCTTCTCTTTACTTGCTGTGTTACTTTAGCACCTCAGCCTCAGTTCCTTCATCTGTCATAGGGAGACTCATGTGCCTGTTATCTGTAAGGATGTCTTTGGTCGCAAGTGACAAAAGCCTGATCCCAAATGGCTTAAGAGAAAAAGATAATTTGTTGATTCATGTAACCACAACCCAGGGCATGGCATTCAGGCATAGCTGGAACCAGGGGTTCAATTAATATGACCCAGACTCCATTTTGCTCTCGTGATTCCACTTCAGCCTTGTTTCCCCCAAAGTTCTGAAATGGTCGAGCATTTCATGGGACTACAGCTTGACTCATTCATGGCCAGATGACCCATTCCTATCCCTGCACTTCCAGCAGATGCCCTGAACTCCACGGTGCTTGGACACCTTAGGTCACATACCCAGACATGATACAATCCCTGTGACCCAAATAGATGGATTTCTCTGACTTAAACCCATCGGGGTTGACTCTGAAACTGGGGTTGGAGACTGCCCCATCAATCTGTTAAGACATTTGGAGTGTGGAGAGGAATCTGGGAGTGCAGAGAACAAACGATACCCAACTCCACTGTTCTAAGCACCTTAAATATATAAACTCATTTACTGCTTAGAACCACCCAAGGAGCTGGGTCCTGATATCATTCCTGTCTAACAAACGAGAAAGGGAAGTGCAAGCAGCCACAGTAGCCTGCCCAGGAAGCGGAGGGGCAGAAGCAGACATCTCAGGGCGTTCGTAAGAGGCACCGGGACTGGCACAGCCTAAACCTCTCCTTGCGCTGGGGATCAGGCCTCAGGAGTAGCCGATGGAACCAGACCTGGGTGGAGCCAGGCAGCTCCTGCCAAGCAGAGGATGGGCCCCCAGCCTCTGTCTTTTCTTTCCATAGTGGGAAGAGTTTATGGAACTCGGCAACAGCATTCCTGATATCCAGCTGGACCAGATCATGGAGAGCCAGAAAGCCAACCAGTGTGCTGTGGTCATCTACACCTCCGGCACTGGGGACTACCCCAAGGGAGTGATGCTTAGCCATGACAACGTAAGCACAGTTTCTGGTGGTGAACTTTGTAGTAACCAGATCCCTTTACTCTGGGACACTGATGTTCAGGCTGTTTTAGTTTTGACCCCCTGGGGCCGGGTGGCATTTAGGGATCTAGCCACAGCCAGGTCCTTAACGTGGGCTTAAGTCCCACAACCTCTTCAAAGGGGGAAGCATAGTGCAGGTTTGAGATCAAGGACTTTGGAGCCAACCTCGGTCCAAGTCCCAACTCTGTGATCTTGGCCAGGTTATCCCCAAGTCTCAGTTTCTTCATCTGTAAAATGGGTGTGATGTAATAGTCCCTGCCACAAAGACTGGCTTGGAGGTTGGATGGGTTAATATTTGCAGAGAACTTAGAACTGCATTTGATCATAAAAATAAATACATTGAGGAGCAGTAGATGCATTCTGTGTTCAGGAGGTAAAGCAGAACTTGATGTTTTGGTCACTCAAGAAAAGCAGGGTGCATGGGGAAAATGTATGTATGTCTGGGTGGAGTCCCCCACTAATGGTAATTTAGGTCACTCTTATATAGGAGGAACAGATGCTAAAAGATTCCATTCCAGCCCCAGAAAAATGCAGACTTAGCAACAGAGACAGAAAGCAGATGGGTGGTTGCCTATGAAGCAGCAAGAAGCTCCACTTGCATGGATAGCTTTCCAGCTGCCGGTTCCGTGTTTATGGACTCAGCTAATCACCGATGTCACTTGATTGAATCCCCAGATTTGGAACCCAGGGCCAAGTAAAAGTTATATGTGGATTTTCGACTGTTTTGGTGATCAGGGCCCCCAACCCCTGTGTTCAAGGATCAGCTGTACTAGCTAACATTGCATGGCTTGCCAAGGGAAACAAGGAAACTTCTAGGGGAGATAGAAATGCGAGGATGATGATGGCTTCACGAATGCAGACACGTATGGATATTTAACAAATTATATACCATCACATACCACTTCATGATGGGGATACACACTTGTGAAAAATGTCATAGAGTGTCATTGTACAAACCCAGCCCACTCCACGCCTGGGCTCGATGGCATAGCCTACTGGGACCCCTGCCATGTATGTAGCTCACAGCTGATCAGAATGGTTAACTGGGGGCATGACCAGGCCTTAAATATGTGTGGTGTATTGTATGTCAATTACACCTCAATGAAACTGTTTTAAAAAGGAATGAGAAAGAAGTGTTAGTTAACTTTTGCTGCAGGCTCCTTACACCTCATTTCACACTGTTCTAAAAGTTTTACACGCAGTAAATCCTCACAGCGATTCTTTTGATTTTATAAGGCAGGTGTTATTTTCACAGGTGGGAAAATCCAAGGCCAGAGAGGTTAGATCACTTGGCCCAGATCACACAGCAAACAACCTGGTAGGGGCAGGACTTGGACTGGACATACTGACCCCACAGTTCCATTTTAGCTACATTGTAGCTCTATGTGGCTAAGGTGTGCAGATGCCCAAAGATACAATATAAAAATTTAAAGCTGGTTGTGGAACAGTATGCAAAGGACACTGTGGTTTTTGCAAAAATTTTAAAATGGTAGTGAGTGATGGGCATATGTTATCATTTTAGAGAAAAATATCTGGCAGGTTACACACCCAATTGACAAGGGTACCTCCCCTATAGAAAGATCACTAGTTCTTAAGTGATGCGTTTCTACCTTGTACGAGTTTTTCCCTGACAGCCTGGCTTAATCCTTGCCAGCAGACCCTGGCCTTTGCACTGGCTGTTCCCTCTGCATGGGGTTCTCTTTCCCAGAATGCTGTGCGGCTTGATCCTTTGTCTTCTTTCAATCCCTGTTCAAATATCACCTCTTCCATGAAGCCCTCCCTGACTTTGTTGTTTACAATAGCAAACATAAGTAAGCCACCCATTTGCACCTTAGTCCCCCTTTGGCTGCTTTTTTCTTATACTGACATATATAGTCACTTGTTTAAATAAACATCGGCTCCTTGAGGGCAGAACTTGTCTGTTGTGTCTTCTAGCATAGGATGGTTCAATCCACTTTTGTGGAATGAATGAATGAAAGTAATCTGATTAGACCTCCACCTGACCCTGGTGCTTATTATATTCCTAGTGGCTTCATGTGTGGTGAGATATTAACTCTCCCAGAATAGGGGTGACAAACATAAACCCTGGAGTGAGACTGCCTGGGTTTGACTTTGGATCTCCTACTTGCTAATTGTGTCTCCTGAAACAAGTTCTTCCATTCCCTGGTGTTCCCCCGTCTGCAGAATGGAGACAAGAGTGGTTTCTACCTCTTAGGTAAAAGGTTAAATTATTCAACATACTGTATCCATTAGCTGTTGCTCCTGACAAACCTTTCTTGAACATAGTAATTTAAAACACCAAGAGTGTGTAATTTCTGGGTCTGCAAATTGGGCATGGCTCTGCCAGGTGTTTCTTCTGCCCATGTGGTGTCAGCTGGGATCACTCAGCCATGTTCAGTCAGTGCTTGGGTTACCCTGGAAGGTCCTAGAAGGATTTTACTCCCGTCTCCATGTCTTGGCTTCCACCCAGCATGACAACATCAAGGCTGACCCTCTAAACAGTGCCTGGCTAGCCCCAGAGCAAGCCTTCTCGAAGATGAAAGCAGAAGTTGCAGTCTACCAAGGTTCAAAGTCAGGCAGCTGCTCTGAAACTTCTGCTCTATTTTGCTGGTTAAAATGGACCAGCCCTTTGAAGAGAAAGAAACTCCAGCTCCAAATAGGAGAGCAGGCAGAGAATCAGCAACTGTCTTCGAACCACCACATTTATATGCCTGGTATTGTGTGTCCTGTCACGCAACTGGCCCTGCGCTAGTTAACACGGTAACTTCCGGGCACCTGCCACCCCACACAATTGAAAATCCACATAGAACTTACTGTCAACCCTCCTGATTCTTGAATTCAGCATCGCTGGTTGGCTGAATCCATGTATGTGGAAGCTGAGGATAGAAAACAAAATGCTCTTATAACTGGACCCCTGAAGTTCAAATCCATGTCATCATCTTCACTGCAAGAAGTTAAAACTAGACCAAACTTCCCAACATACATCAACAGCTCAGAGTTTCTCCCGAGTAGGGTGCTGTGTGTCCACGGTGATGCATACACTAACCTCTTAGGAAACTGAAGCTCGGGGAGGGGAACTGATTTGCTCAAGGTGACAGACCAAAGGGAGGCATGAGCCAGGATCTGAACCCAGGAGTGTGTAAACCACTGTGCATCACTGTCTACACATGCCACACCCCTTGGGTGCTAGGAACCAGGCTCCTTGAACTACAGGCTATAGCAGTGCTTATGGGGGGCAGCCAGGAAATTAACAAATAAAATCACTAGAGAAATAGACAAAAGAAACTTCAGTTTAAGTGGCATGATAGGAGGGGACATTTAAATGGAAATTTAACATTTGAGGAGTCGTTGTGGGGAAAAGAGGAGGTGAACATTTCAGGTAGAGGGGTCAGTGCAAAGGCCCTGCGGCAGGACCATGGTTGGTGTGTTGGAGGAACAGTGTGGAGTCTGTGTGACTGGATTAAGGAGGTAACTGTTCACCCAAGATTCGTGATACCAGTTATAAACATAGATCACAAAATTCCAGATACATTAAAACATCAAGGTATGCATTGGAGGAAGAAAAAGAACTTGCTAATTTTGGGGGTGTTCATGTATTTTACCTTTCCTTGTTGGACAATATTGGTTCCATAGTTCTACTTCCATAGTAGCGAAGCCTCTGTACCCATTTTACAGATGAATAAATGGAAGCTGCAAGGGAGTTTAAGCAAATACCTCCCAGCATCGCTGCCATGCAACCATCCCAGGCCAGGCAGGTTCATGGGTGATTGGGGCAAATGGGAAAAGAATACTGGAACCTTTTATAGATCTGACAGGCCTTTAATACTGAAGCAGAGAACCAGGTATTCAGGCAGAGCAGCAGGCAGGAGGGCAGGCAGGTAGCAGCCAAGCCTCCCGGCCTGTGAGCGCCCCAAGAGCCCATTTCTTGGCCCAGGTGTTGGTATTTATAGGTGCGCGTGCCCGGTGTTGAGCTCCCAAGGCTTTTTGCAGTAACACCACATCACGTGTGGGTAATGAAACCTGGGTGGCAAACAAAGCTGCAGGTGGTGACAGTAGATGTTGGCAGGAGGCGAAAAAGCCTGAGCTACTCCATTTTCCTTGCAATCACCCAGTTATCAAATAATGGAACCAGAATTTAATTCTGGCCACTTAGTGAATCCTTCACCGTAGACATTCTAATGCTAGAGTCTGTTTTCTGCAGTTTGCCGAGTTTTACAGCTCCCCCTCGCCTTGGGCAAGTCAGTTCACTACTCCGTGTTTCTCCATCTACAGAATAAGGAGAACCAGAGTGATGGGCCCCCAGAGTATTATGATGAGGAATAAAGTACTCCGTGTTTGCAACCGACCAGAGCAATGCCTAGCACATCCCTTCCCTTCCTAATGTTTGCTAAATAAACTCATGAGCTGCCTATCAATATTCCGGTCAATGGCGGACTCATATGGTGGTTTCTATATAGAGTCCGGGTGGGGGGTGTGCTAGCCCATATAGGTTTGTATAATTACACTCTATGATGTTCACACATTGATGAGATCACCTGATGATGCATTTCTCTAACAACGCATTCCACCACTGAGCAAGGTATGACTACAGTTGCACTTAAATGACCCTCTAGAAAGGACAGGCACCCTGGATCATGCTGACTTCTGTTCTAGATCACATGGATGGCTGGGGCGGCAGCTAAGGACTGTGGCATGAGTTATGCCTCAGAAAGGCAGGAGTTGGTGGTCAGCTACCTTCCCCTGAGCCACATTGCATCTCAGATGATGGATGTTTGGATCCCCATGAAGACTGGGGCTCTCATCTACTTTGCTCAACCAGATGCTCTCAAGGTAACACCAAGGGCAGTCCCCGTGAAGGGACAGTTTTGTTAAAACCCAGATCTTAGGGGCTTCCTTCTCTGTCCTCATGTTTTGCACCCAGTTAGCGGTGTTAGAAACAGTTGACCACATTCTTTTAGTTTTTAACTCTATCCAAGTCAGGGCATCCGTGTATGGTTGTGTAGGTTGTACACTGAACAACCCAAGGCCGAAGATGTGCATGGTATTAAAAACAGAATGTGTATCTGGTATTGTCTTTTCAAAAGCCATTATTTCCAATTCCAAAAGCTTCCAAACCCCAACATTTTTTTGGCAATAAATAGGACCTTAACGAACACGAAGCTATTTGTAGTCTTCATTTTATCCCATTTACGGGAATATTCATCTATTGATGTGATGGGTTTCAGCATGTTTACCCAAGCACCACTCTGTAGCTGATGAAATATGCACTGTATAAGCATTCTGAATTCAAAATTCCAGAGGAAATTTAGAGAATTCTAAATTCCAAAATACATCTGTTCCAAGAGCTTGAGATAAGGGATTTTGGACCTTTTTTGAAGAACAGTTGTGTCCTGACTTACCCTTCAGAGGCAAATTTTCTCAAAATCTTCAGAGATTTCTTTTGGCATTTCCAATTTTTTTTGAATACACAATACCATTTTTCTTAATTTATCCACTTTAAAAATATTATCTATTACCTTTCTATTGTAGGGGATGAGAATTTAACTCTCTTATACCCCCATTTCCACTGCTTCCACTTTTTTCAATATAAATAATTCTTAGTTAACTGGGCTAAGCAGTTTACGATATATTTTCTGTGTGGTATTACTTTTTGTTTTTATCCAAAATTAATAGTTGCTTTTGTTTTCCAATTTGGTGAGGTTTCTGCATTACTTCGATGATAAGTAAGAGAAAGCCCTTCTTAAAATGGGTTTCAGGGAAACTGCTCACTCAAAACCAGAAAAGTCCTTCAGGTATGGCTGAATCCAGGTGCCAAAGTGATGTCACAAGGACCCTCTTTATCTTCCTGTTACTGACATGCTCTCTCTGTTGGTGTCATTCTTGAAGAGAATCTATAGATCATTTGGGAGGGAGGAATCTTGTGACTTAGGGGGTAAAAGTGTGTAATATTCCACAGCATGTTTGGGCCAATTTCTTAGCTGATCACCTATCATTGACCATGTAGCTGGTTTCCATTCTGTCATGAAACTTAGCTGTAAAGGACACCTTGTGTGTGCTTCTCTATCCACCCAAGTCTCATTCAGCTAAATTCCTTCAGCCACAGAAATGAAGTTGCCAAGTGGCATTTAAAATGTCCATAGTATCTTGATATTGTCTTCCAAGAATATTTTATCAGCAAGTGCTCCCCACCAAAGCCCTAAACAATGTGTGAAAATCTGCCTGCCCTCTGAGTAGCCAGCGGGTTAGTTCCCACAGTCATAGGCGCAGGCTGGTCCAATCAGAACCAAGAGGAGGTTCTCCTGGACGGAGCAAGGAAGCTGGGGAGGGGATGGTTACCTGGGGTCCATGGAAGGTGCCTGTGTGGCTCTGTCCCCTCCAGGGTACGCTGCTCAGGACTCTGCAGGAGGTAAAGCCTACTGTCTTCCTGGGGGTGCCACGAGTTTGGGAGAAGATGGAAGAGAAGGTAAAGGAAAGTAATGCCAAGTCATCAAAATTGAAGAAGAAAGTGTTTTCATGGGCAAGAGCTATTGGCTTAAGGACCAACATAAAAAGGATGTTGGGGTATGTGGAGGGTCCAGGGGGTCAGAGTGGGGGAAACAGTGAGCAAGGTTGCTCAGCCTTCACCAGCTGGTTCCCCTCAGCCCCTTTGGCCCCCTGGTCATGGACCCCTGCCTCCTTGGCATTCTCGTTCACAGGAGACAAGAGATGTCTATGAACTACCGCATGGCTAAGGCCCTTGTGTTTAGCAGAATCAGGAGTGTCCTCGGCCTCGACCACTGCCACTCTTGCATCAGTGGGGCAGCACCCCTCAGCCAAGAGACCGCCGAGTTCTTTCTAAGCCTGGACATACCTGTCCGTGAGATGTACGGGATGACAGAAAGCTCGGGACCCCACACCATAGGCACCCCAGAAAACTACAAGATTCTAAGGTACCAGCCCCCTGGGTGGTCCCCTGTTCCTAAACAATGTGGGCTCGCAGGGGTGAATATGGGAGGGTGGGCAAGTCTGCAGATGAAGATGCATCCAGACTTGGCATCTCCAGATTGACTCCTGTTCTCTGGCCTTCCAGGGGAAGGGCTCAGTGTATTTCATGGTCTCCCCCGATTGTCACTTGAGAGCTCTGTCTCCAGACATCCCAGGTGCTAGGTTTGCCTCCTGGGACCTGGGATCCATCATCTCGATGATGCAACATCCACAAGCCTCTGGCTTTTCCTCAAGCTCAGCTTGAGCTTGAGGCTGCATGACACTGCAGTGACTCTGCAGGCTGCAGTGACTGAAGCAGTAAGAAGACAAAGGACAGGTTCCTTCACAGAACCGTCTGCTGTGTCTCTCTCTGACCCCTTCCCGCCCGCCACAGTGCAGGTCCAGCTGCCCTCGCAGCCTTGGCCAGATTCCAAGTGCCTTTAAACTTAGCAAAGACTCAGCTTCATCTTCCCGCTCTAGCCAAACCATCCCCCGCCTTTGACTTCACCTTGCAAGGAGAGTTCTGTACTTCAGTTATCTCCCTGTCTCCACAACATGATCGCATCCGGGTCTGTTTCCTGCAGAACCCCAAATGCCCAGTAGTGTTTTTCCAAAACCAAAGAGAAGGGATACACTGTTCCTATCGAGGGGAAGGGTACAAAGTCCAGTCTGTGTTTTTACTCTTATTTTTTTTAACAAGAAATACATGCACATTTCAAAAAAAAAAATCAGAAGGTATAAAACGATAGAGTGAAAATCTCCCTCTGTCCTACCCCAACCTCTGGTTCATTCTGGGTGGGTTTGTTAGGGCTGCTGTAACAAGGTTCCACAAACTTAAATACAGAAATTAGTTTTCTCGCATGCATGAAGACTAGAAGCTTGAGATCAAGGTGTCAGCAGGACTTGTTCTTTCTGGAACCTGGGAGGAAGAGTCTATTCAGGCCTCCCTCTCTCCACTTCTGGGAGTTTGCTGGCCATCTTTGGCATTCCTTGGCTCATAGGAGCAGCAGCTGACTCTCTGCCTTCCTCTTCACAGGGCGTTTTCCCTGCGTGCGATCTGTGTCCAGACTTCCCCCTTTTTTAAGGATATCAGTCATACTGGAGCCACCCTACTCCAGGGAGAGTACTTCTTAATAGAACTAATTGTATCTTCAATGAAATCTTCAACAAATTCATATTCTAAGGTCCCCGGGGTTAGGAGTTCAATATGTGAATGGAGGAGGGAACAATTCAACTCACAACACTCTCCCAGAGGAAGAATAATCACACCATGCTCTTGAGTTAACCTGGCAAAAGCAATGTTTTGGCATCTATACTTTTATCCCAAATGGAAACATTTTCCATCGTATCTGGAGCTCAGGATCCAAACCAGCTCAGATAACATGGTATCCCCACAGTATCTGGATTTGTTATACAAACTTCCACTTAATCTTGATTCATCCCATCCAAGCTCAGAAATCAAATGGGTTTGGCTAGTAAGGGATCCTTATCTTATAGAGAATTTTCCATACCAGTGCAAACAGCTGTCTCATTTTTAATAGCTGCATAGTATTCCATTGGGTAGAGGTTCCATAATTATTTAATTAATCTCCTCACTGGTGGATATTTAGGACATTTTCCCCCATCTGTTGTCACCAGAAGTGAGGCTAACATGTGCATCTGATGCTAACAGGTGCTAACATGATGCTAATGTGAATGCCTTGTATATATACCATATATTTTGCTAAACCAGTTCAATTGGTAAAAAATGATATATCAATACAACTTCCATTTATATTCCTTTCTTTATGACTAAAGTTGAAAAAATTCTTTCATATATTTAAAATACATTTGTTTTTATTTTTCTCTGAACTATCTGCCCATTTTTATTTTTTTTTAACTTTTTTTTTAAGATTTATTTATTTATAACAAGCACTGGGTACAGTCAGAAGCGTGGGAGGGTGAGAGAATTCACCAGAGCCAGAGCAGGGAGCAGAGCAGGCAGACTGACGAAGTACACTGCTGAGGGGAGTAGCAGGCGGCAGGAGAGGTCTGCGCGCCATGTGGGACCCTTGCTCTTGGCCAGGGATCAAACCGGCACTGCAGAGGCTGCAGGCAGCTTCGCAACCCAGTGCTCAACTGCTGTGCCACCAGTGAGGCCCTATCTGCCTATTTTTAAAATGAATTATCAAACACTTTATTACTGATCTGTTGGCACTCTTTACATATAAGGAAAATCAGTCCTCTTGCTTTGATATGAGTTCCAAATATTTTACCCCTAGGTTTGCCCTTGGTAGTTTGGTTTTAAAGTGGTTTTTTTTTTTTTTCCGCTGTGCAGCAATATTTTATATTTCCATGCTTGAATTTATCAATCTTTCATTCCTTTTTTTTTTTTTTTTTACATTCTAGAAAGTACTTCCATGGGAAATCGTAAGGGGGCTCTGCAAATTTTGAGCTCTCTTACTAGCTACACATAACCCTAAAAACTTCTGATGCTTCTAACTGCCAATGAAACCAATCATCAAGTGAATAAGAAAAAGTTTCCTTTTCTGCATCCTAAAGCCACCCTTCCAAGGGTTCGCTCTAGAAAAAAGAGTCTTAGAAGAATCCAGATTCCCGAAAGTGCTGTTCTGTTTTGTGGCAGTCACTTTAACTTCTAAGGACGTTCTAGTTGGTTTTCTTAAAATCAGCTGCCCTGGTCTTGCGTACAGGTCGACATATCTGCTTCCTGAGGGATGAAGGTTTGGGTTGCTATTCTTAAACCAGAAGCATTTTGTCTTTTTCCTATATATGTGGAGATAGAAACAACCCATGACTTTGCTGGATTTCCCAAACAGACTGGGAATTTGACTCACTTGATAGAACAGCACCTCTGTCCTACATTTGGCAAACACCTCCTCCTGCTCACCTGGCCCAGGTCAGCCGATCAGTGCTGAGAGCCTGCGCTGCAGACCCCAGCCACCCGGGGTGGGTGACCGCATCTGCCTGAGCCTGTTTCTCCTCTCCCGTTACCTCTCAGCTGCGGCAAAACCCTGAGTGGGTGTAAGAGCATACTGCACCAGCAGACGCAGGATGGCACCGGGGAAATCTGCCTCTGGGGCCGGCATGTCTTCATGGGCTACCTAGGAAAGGAGGAAATGACCACGGAGGCCATCGACGAGGAAGGCTGGTTACACTCTGGGGACTTGGGGAAACTGGACCAAGAGGGTTTCCTCTACATCACTGGTCGCATCAAAGGTATACAGGTCTGGCTCTGCAGGGTGCCCTGCAAGTGGGCTCACCCTGAACATCGAGGGCTTGGTGTACCAGTGCAAACGAAGGCTCCCAGGCACCCATCTCCCCTGGGGGCTCCCACACAGATGTACAGGGACACCACTGTCTGCACATCCTGGCGCTGTCCTTGTGCCCAGCCTCAGGCTCTCAGCAGGATGCACCTGCAGGAGATGCCCATGCCAGCTCTGAAACCTGTTTCTTCCCCTGTAATCTGAGCATGAGCATAACGACAGATTGATAAAGATTTAGCAAAATGAGGTAGAACAGGGATGAGCCAACTTTGCCCATCAAGGGCCAATCACAAATATCTGGGGATGTCAGGGCATATGGTTCCTTTCATAGCTGCTCAGCTCAGCCGTTAACAGAACAACAGAGGCAACACATGGACGGGCGACGTGGTCACGTGCCCATACGAATGGCACCCACTTTTCCTGTATCACAATTATTCTTCTTTGCATTTCCTTCCAACCATTTAAAAATGTAAAAGCCATCTTTAGGGCACAGCCATACGAAGATAGGCAAAAGGCCGGATTTGGCTCACGGGCTGTGGTTTGTCTGATTCTGATGGCGTTTGGCACGAAGCCTCCCAAAGGCAGTTAACTAACAAGCGGGCTGCATGAGCATTGCTTGAATGATAAGTAAGAGAAAGCCCTTCTTAAATGGGTTTCAGGGAAGCTGCTCACTCAAAACCAGAAAAGTCTGTCAGGTATGGCTGAATCCAGGTGCCAAAGTGCTGTCACAAGGAGTCCCTTGATCCTCCTGTTAGCGAAATGCTCTCTGTTTCGGGGTCATTCTAGAAGAGGTCTCCCCATTTGGTGACAAGGTATCTGCCGACAGTCTAGGTTCATCCTGGCCTCCAAGTGAGAAGAAAGTATCCCAATAACTTCAGGGAAAGTTTTAGTCCTGACTCTCACTGACTCCTCTTGGCTCCATCTCAGAAGGGATCATTGGGTGGAATATGTTGATTTATCCCACCTGGGCACATGCCCAGCCTTGCAGTCCACGCCAGGCGGACTCAGGTGTGTAGGATGGAGAATAGTCCCTCAAAGAAAGAGCAGGATGTGCTTGCCCAAAGGAACAGCCACCATGTAGGCAACAGCATGGATGCCTGTTACATGACTGTAGTGATTATCACCATTGCATGACAACCTCAGTAGAGGTGACTGCAGAATCCTGGGGTGGGGGAGGGAGTTAGGGTGGATGGGGCAGGACCTAGCAAGCACCCCAGGATGAAAGATAAGGGAAGAATAGCTGGGCAGGGGGAGGAGGTCTTGAAGAATTTTCGAGACTGGGGGAGCAAGTGACACAATTTTTCTGAAGGTTGCCAGAATGAGGGATGCCACGCACACACCTGTGTTGAGACTGGACTTTGGTTCTCTGGGGCTTGCCAAGAGATGGGTAAAGCAGGAGCTGGAGAGGACATGGCCAGGAGCAGTTCACAGTCTTCCAAGCAAGACATATCGCGGGGCCTGGAACACAGGGTGTGGGGGACGGAGAAACAGGAAATGAGTTAATAAGGCTCTGACCGAGGGGAACATACAGGACTTGGGTGCTTGATGGGGACTCAAAGATATGGCAGGAGAGGCCAAGTGACTTTGAGTCCGTGGCTTGGCGAGAGTCCCAGCCCGAGCAGGGGCCTCTCCCTCTGTGATTGTCCAGGTAAGTGATTGTCTACGCCAATACCCGTCCCCTCTGGTCTTCGAGGGAGCATGAGTTCTGATGTCTTGGTTGAACCTCCAAGAAGCCATCCTTCGTTCCAGAAATCCTCATCACTGCTAGTGGTGAGAACGTGCCCCCAGTCCCCATCGAGAACAAGGTGAAGGAGAAGATCCCCATCGTCAGCAACGCCATGTTAGTCGGAGACAAGCTGAAGTTCCTGGGCGTCTTGCTGACACTGAAGGTAACATGGGTGTCGCGCACCGGGGTCTCCACCCCAGGGAGGGGGCACCCCTGCAGATTTGGGACCTGCTACTTGGTCCCGGGGGCTGGCGGGGGAATGTGTGTGGGTGCTGGGTGTGGTGACGGGGTGTCACGGGGCAGTGCGAAGTAGACGAGAGCGGAGAGCCGCTGGACAGGCTGACCTCGGAAGTCATGAAGTTCTGCCGGAAACTGGGCAGCCCGTCCTGCACGGTGACGGAGATCCTGCAGAAGCGGGACCCCCTGGTCTACAAGGCCATCCAACAAGGCATAAATGCCGTGAACGAGGAAGCCATCTCCAATGCGCACAAGATTCAGAGGTGGGCCATCTTGGCAAAGGACTTCTCCGTCCTCGGCGGGGAGCTAGGTGAGCAGCCCGGGGAGCCGGCAGCCATGGCGCTTGGAGGCTGGTCCTTCGCTGGTGTCCAGGGCCACGTGGGCGCGGAGATGTGCCCTTTTCCGGGAGTCAAGGGGCTGTGTCACCAGCCGGGCACAGCAGAGGCATGCTGCTCTTCCAGCAACTCGTGCCCCGCTCCCCGAACCATACACATACACCACACGCACGCACACTTACTCATACATTCACTCACACACTCAAACATAATCACACACACTCACGCTCAGTCACTCCCACCCACTCATCCTCACGCTTGCACAACATTCACTCACACATGTGCATAAACTCACACATGCCTGTACGCAGGGTCCCTTTTCTACAGGGCAGCCACACACACACCCCGCCCCGAAAATAAAAAATCTAAATTTTCTGTAGCCCCACATAATCCCCCTGCTGACCTCTCATCACTCATTCTACGACAACTGCATTGGCCTTCCTGAAGGTCCCCCAACTCCTCAGGCACGGTCCTGCCTCAGGGCCTTCGCACCTACTGCTCTTCTGCCGAGAATGCCTTTCTCGTCTGTTCTTTGCCTAGATGGCTCCTCCTCGTTGTGAAGGGCATTTCCCTGGCCCTCTGGGGAAAGTGGGTCACCACTGCCCTTTATATCAACTCGAGTCACCTCACACCCCCTGCATCATCCTGTATTCTTGCCTCTCTAACCACATCACAGTCTCAGTCAGTCTACAAATTATTTTTGTCCATCTCCCCTGTGAGGGGGAGGGTTCACTGCAGATGTGGGGTTCTGCTTTCTACTGATGTCCCCCGGGGAGGGCTTGCTCTTGGCACACCGCTGTCATCTGGGCGTGGATGCAGGGATTATTCAAGCATGTAGCCTGAACCGCCTGGGTTCAAATCTGTGACCTCCACATTAGGAAGTCAGTCTTTTCATCTGCCAGGTGGAAGTGTAATCCTCATGGGGCTGGTGAGGACATCTTGAGGGAAGCCCCCACCCCTTGGTTGTCTAGAGCCAAGGGCCATCTTGGTCTTGGGATCAGATAATCCTGGAGTTCAAGTCTTTACCTGGCCATGGACTTGCTGATTGACCTCAGGGTGACTGGCCCTGTCTGAACCTGTTTCCTCACCTGTAAATTGAATGTGTTTCTTGTTCATTGGGTGCATTGTCAGGGCGCGCCCCACCTACCAGCTGATGGGATTCCTACCACAGCACCAAGTGGGAGTTAAGCCCACCGCGCTGGCAAAGGTGGTTGCCCGGGATGTTGAAGGCAGAGCTGACCAGCAACCCAGCCTCAACCAGGAGACCTGTGGCCTTGGTCCTGCAAGGGGCGTATGGATTTTTAATTCATCCCCACGACTGAACTGGTTTCTCCTTTCTTGATAGGTCCAACATTAAAGTTTAGGCGATATTTCATAACCCAGAAATACAAAAAGCAAATTGACGCCATGTACCAGTGACCTCTTTGCTGGCGCTGCTCTCACCTGTCCCCATGGTAAGATTGGCCTTGCGGGTCTGTCCTGTGAACGAGTCCAGCAGAGACGGTCCCTGCGGCCGCGTGGCTTCTGGGTAGTGTCTCACTGAGCTCATGCTCTCTGCAAGGTCTTGAGGGCTGCAAACTCCTTTCCAGTCAGCCAGCAACGTTGTTAGCTGTCCTTCTGAACTTTTCTACCTGTCCCAAAGAGGGAGTAGATTAATTGTCCCAGCCAGGACCAGAGTTTTTCACTAAACTCACATGCTTCATTGTAGTTTATTTGGGGGAGGCCTTTGGTCAGAAAGTTTGGTGCAGGAGAAACTTGCCAGGAACCCAAGAATGAGGCGTGTTGGCCCATCACAGATGTTAAGGGATGGAGACATGTGCTCCTGTCTAGCCCTTTTCCTGTCCTTCCTCCCAAGTCTTGTCCACAGGAAGCTTCCATGACATTGAGTCACTGATAGATTTTTGAGATGGCAGCTAGCTGCGTGTTGCAGGTAGAGAAGAATGCATCTGCGGCACCCCAAGGGCCTCCTGTTTAACCCTTTCATGGTTAAATTGTTACCCTATGATGCCCCCAGACCACACACCGAGTTTGCCAGGACTGTTATAACAAAGTTCTGTAGACCAGGGCACTTAAACAGCAGAGACTGATTTTCTCCTGACCCTGGAGGCTGGAACTTTAAGATCAAGGTTTCTGGCTGGGTTTTTTCTGCTCCCCATGACTTGTAAATGCTGTTCCCCGCCCCCCGCCCCCGCCAAGTCTCTGTGCCCAAATTTCCCGTTTTAATAGGACACCCGTCATATGGAATAGGGCCCACTCTAATGACCTCATTTTAATTTGATTACCTCTATAAAGTCCCCATCCACAAATAAAGTTACATTCCGAGATGCAGAGGGTCAGGATTTCAACATACGAACGGGGAGGGGCAGGGGAGGCATAATTCGGCACCTAACACCACCGCATCCATTTTCTGTTTCCCCATCTTTAACTGATTTACTCCTCCACACCTTCACTTGTCAGTCTTCTGGATGGGCCCAGAAGTTAAAGACATCACTTTATTTGAAAAATGTCCAGTTTCACTTTACATTGGGTTTACAACGTCAAGAGGCCACTTGACGTTGATGAGCGCGTGGGAGGTGGCTGTGCTGCCCAATATGGCAGCCACTGGCCACCACGAGACCTGTCTGAAATGAGCAGAATACACTCTAGGTTTCAAATGCCTGGTATCAAAGGGAGACCCTGAACTATCATTAATATTTTTAAAATAGAGAATACCTGTAGATATGATTAATATTTTGGCAAACTGGATTACATAAAATATTTAAATCAATTGCTCCAGTTCCTTTTTTATGGCTACTCATAATTTTCAAACATCTAAGGGTTCATGTGATATTTCTCTTGGACTGTGCTGCTCTAAAGTTCATTGAAGAGATTCATTTTTTGTTATTTATCAATAAATCTGTGGATCATTTATTCCATTCCCATTCCAAGGATCAGTATCCCATTCATTTGGGAATATTTCCATCTTCAGATAACTCTGGGGTCTTGGAGAAAGAACACAAACTGCAAGGATCTCCATGCCTTAACGTAGCAATCTCTCTCTCTCTCCACCCCCCCCCCGTTACCCCACCCCCTCCATCCCTCCCCCGCCCCTCAGCCTCCAACAGGAAGGCCCCATTGTGACACACACAATTTACCTGCTCTGGGTAGGCTCTTTCTCTTCTCTTTTTAAGCAGCCTAATCCTTATGGGTAGGTCTCCTCATTATTCACCTGTTGAGAAAGTGCCCCCATTTGGACCTGCAATAGCCTTCGGAGGCGATAGGATCATCCTAAGCCTCTGGTTTCCTATGAACCTTTGAGGCATGATCCTGGGAAGCATATGGGGAGATCGATGAAGAACTGTCCATTTTAGAGGAAAGACCTGACCTTGTTGGTTCCAACTGGATTTTTTCCTCCCCAGAGGACTGACTCGGACATAAGAAAAGCCTTTGCAAGTTTGAAGAACTGGATCCCCTTCCAGGAAGCAACTTGGACATCCTTCCAATAAGTTCTGATAATAAAGCCCTTCAGCCTCCTGTGTGCTGGTTCTTGGCGAGACACATACAGTTTCTTCCTTGTTGAGAAACTCAGACTCTGAAATCAGTTTTTAGGTCAAACTGAGCTATTGTGTGTGAGTTCAACCTTTGAGTCGTGTGTGTGAGAGATTATCTATAAAAAAAAATAGACACCCCCCTACCATCTCACAGGGTGGCTGAGAAGGGGGAGGTGACAAAGCCTCAGTAGGTAGTGACAGTTGTCATCCAAGTACCTTGTCAACCTTAGTCATCTCACTGCAACTTTAGGGATGCGTTTTGCTGTTATCATAGTTAGAACTAACAGCAGCTCTCTCGTGAACAGCTACAATGAACATGGGGTGCCCAGCAACTCTCTCATCCACAGGCGGGTGTAGGGAGGCCACAGCAGATGTCTCCTGACCAGCACACCAGGCCCTCAAAGGGTATCCGTGGGATGGGGGGAGCGGGGGGAGTATCTCCCCACTCAGAGAGGGACAATCTCTCAGGACTGGAGAAGCGAGAACTCCCAGTGTCCCTTGAATACCCACGTGCAGCCCTGGACCCCTTTCCTTTCCGCCTTTGAAAAAAATTGGACACTACACAGGTTTCAGGGGTTACAGCCTATAAATCAACATCCATCTACATTACAGGACACCAGCCACCAAAAGTCCAGCTTCCATCCATCACCATACAATTGACAATTCTTTTTTTTTTTTTAAAGATTTTTTTTATATACAAGAGCTGGGGTACAGGCCAGCGGCACTGGAGGGTGAGAGGATTCACCAGAGACAGAGTGGGGAGCAGAACAGGCAGACAGAACAAAATACACTGCTGAGGGGAGCAGCGGGTGCGACAGGAGAGGTCTGCCACGCCATGTGGGAACCCCCCTGGCCGGCAGGGAATCGAACCGGTGCTGCAGAAGCTGCGGACAGCTTCACAGAGCAGCGCCCAACCCGCTGCACCACCAGGGGAGGCCCCACAACTGACAATTCTTAGTCTGTTTTGTTTTGGGTTTTTTTGGTATGTTCATTTATTTTTATCTTCCATGTGAATAAAATATTTTTCTTTCTGATTTATTTCACAAACCTAATAGCCTCTAGATTCATCCATATTGTTCAAATGGTAGGACTTCATTCTTTATAGCTGAGTAGTGCTTTATTATGTGAATCTACCCTCTCCTCTTTATTCACTAGTCCGTCGGTGGGCACACAGGGTATTTCCCGTGCTTGGCTACCGTGAATCATGCCACAATGAACATGGGGTGCACAGCTTTTTCAAATTACTGTTTAGTATTCTTAAATACCCAGAAGTAGAATAGTTGTCATATGGCATTTCTATTCTTAATGTTTTGAGGAACCTCCACAGTTTCCCCCTTTTTAAAACATAAGAGCTTAAATAGAAATGTGTAAAGACATTCTCCTTGCAAAAGATTTAATGCAATGCAGGAAGGCGGCAGTCATTGGATGACTCTCCGTCTAGTTGATAGGTTTATTTTTGAAATGTGTAAGTACAGTCAATTCTCTGTGTTTGCAGATTCTACCTTTGCAACTTTGCCTGCTCAATGAAACGTGTACCCCCAAAATCAATAGATCTGGTGCTTTTGTGGCCATTTGTGGCCATGCACAGAACAGTGAAAATTTTTAATGGCCACATTCCCAGCTGAGCTGGAAGGGGGTGCCCTCACCTTGCAAGTGCACATTCTTTTGGAGGTCATGCCATGTTTGGGCATTTTTTGGTAATTCTGCTGGTGAAAACAGCCCCCAAGACTAGAGCTGAGTATTCTCTAGAGTTCCTGAATGCAAGGCTGTGATGTGACTTATGGGGGGGTGGGGTTTGTGTTAGATGTTTCTGTCCGGTGTGCAGTACAGAGCTGACTTCAGTGTTAACAAATGGACATGTGTTACGAAGCTGTCCTTGAGTAGAAAGCACATGTAATACAAGGTTATGAACTGACTGGCTGGAAGAGTGTGAGCAGAGGCTGGGAGAAACCTAACTTTATTTCTTCCAAGCACAGTGGTCCAGGGTTTGCTAATCCAGCAACGCTAGCGGCGTAACTACCACAAATAACAGGAACCACTGCACACACATGTCGCTACCGGGCAACGTGCACGTGTGGGGTGGTGAGAATTCACTTTCACATATGAAAATACATAAATGTGCAGGTTTTCTACGTGAATGTAGCTTTGGCAAATTTTTTTTCACCTTTTCACAATATTTCTCACCAAGGAAACACAACTAGCTGATGGTCAAAAATGCTCCAACTCAGTGATGTATTTTCTACTGTGATTCTCACCCTGGCCTCAGGGAGGTTTATTGAATTTTTTAAATTGTGATAAACCAAAAATGTGCCATTTAATCCTTTAAAAACACCTTGGTGGTATCCAGGGTGTTACACTGCTGTGTACTGCACAACTGAAAGCAGACACAGGAAGAGCGCCTGGCAACTGCTGTTCTGTTGTCTGTTTCTATGGACTTGACTATATTAAAAATGGAAACTTACACTATTTCTCTGTGTCTTAGTTCACTGTGTGCAATGTCCTCAAGGTTCACCTGCCACCATGCAAAGCGTGGGGGAGCCAAACGTCACAGCCGGTGGGTTCTCACCCGCTTACTACCGCAACTGCAGAACAATTCAGGCCCAGGTTCAACGACATGAGAGAGGAAAGAGGCCATAGCAAGGGTTAAAGGTCACCAAAGTCTCAGCAACAGTAATGCGAGACCTGGAATGGGCAGCACCCCACACAAAACAACGGCACCAAAGGCAACAGCACCAGGGTGGCGCCAGGCGTGGCAGAGGCAGAGACGCTTTCAGAGATGCTGGTCATTAAGCCAAAACCAACCAGCACCTTTCGGGTCACCAGGCACAGGCCAACGGTGTCACCAGCAGGCAACGTTGGAGGTCAGGTCTGCACAGACGCGGTGCTAGAGGACAGGGGTCCGTGTTACAGCTCAACAAAGGTCTTCCAGATGAATCTGCCTGCCTCTCCAACTACCTCTTCAAGCCCCCTTCCACGCGACACACACACACACACACACACACACACACACACACACACAGATTGGTCCTTTCATTTGGCACCCATGAGAGTTCAATCAGGTTGGGAGGCTATGATCATAAATTTGCACAAGTGCCAAAGGAAGGGCAGGTGGACTTCAGAACTGAATCCCAGCTGTTGATTGGTGCTGGCCACGTTCCAATAAGATGGTCCATAAGATGGTCCATTTTCAAGTCCATTTCCAATATCCTGGGTCCTGATATGAAAGGAAAAATCCCGCCCCCGCCCGGCCTGGACCCATGCTGAGGTCAGGGCAGGCTGCGGGCTGGAGGGCTCCAAGAACCACAGCCAGAGGCTCAGAGGGGCCGGCAGCAAACTGCACCAATGCCCTTGAGCAGGGCCGGGTTTAAAAAATTCAAGGGTCCTGCTTCACCTCCATGTTGTAACTTATGTCAGACTTTCCTTTGAAAGGCTGAAGAGCATTCCACGGTGCAGATGGACTGCATTTTTTTTTCACCCTTTCATCCACTGGTGGACACTTGGGTTGCTTCCTTTTGGCTGCTGGGAACAACGCTGCTAGGGACACTGGTGTGAGTATCTGTTTGTGACCGCATTTCAACTATTTTGGCTGTGTACCCGGAAACAGAATTTCTGGCTCATGTGGTAATTCTATTTTTAATTTGAGGAATCGGAGAGGATTTTAATGATTAGTTTATAATCTCAACAGCATCCAGTATTTGAAAACGCAGCTGTAACCACACCCGGGGACTATCTTCTCTACAGATGATGGAGGACAGCAAAGGAATAACCAACTCCCAGGCGCAGTGACTCAGAGGCCTTTCTGATGTCCTGGCTGCCCAGGTTCTGCGGACCTAACCTTGCTTTCTGAAACGCTGCTTCCTTGGCCTCCGTGCCATCGTCGTCAGCCTTCTGTGCCTGCCTCTTCCATCCCATTACTACTTTTTTAGGGTCCCTTGTAAACTGTCGCATTACGAGCCAACAATGCTGAGCAGTGAGTCTGGAGTCCCTTGAGAACCTGAATCCAAGATTTTCCTGCCACCTCCTCCCCAGGGACTGTCATCTTGGTGATGACCGGCTAGGGAGGCCGGAGAAAGGTCTTCTTGGGTAGATTCCTGCCCCTCCACTCAGTCCTCATGGCTCCAGGCTGCAGAATCTACAGTGATGTCATAAGGATTGGCCACAGCAAGAACATTCCAGGCATCCAGTCTGGAGAGTACTGCCTCTGTGTGGCTAGAGCAGGGGTGACCAAAGCTGATAAAAAGAAGCTGGAGGCAAGTGTGGCCCCACCTTTCTGACCACAGAGGAGGTGGAAGGGGCAGGGAGCCAGATATTTCAGCTCTTCCCAGGGACAAAACAGTCTGCACACAGGGTGCAGGATGGCCACAGAGGTACCAGAACATATTTCTTTACCAACACAGTCAAGACCCCACAGGACCTGGCTCTCGCCACCTGTTTGGTTCTATTCCTCTGTATTCCCCACTTTACCTTATCCTCAAGCCCCAAAGGCCTTCGCCAAGTCACAATGTCCTCTTAGATGCTTCCCCCTCCCTGTGCTTGGTCAGCTCCTACTCCTTCAGACACCTTCCTGGATGCTCCCTTGGTTGTGCCTGCCATGGATGGGCCCACCTGTCCTCCACTCAGCTGTCACTGTATGAAATCTGTCCACTACCAGGAGGCCAGACTCACCCCAGACAGTGAGAACAGAGGCGAAGGAACTCTGGACCCCTGTCTTCAGAGAAGATACTGAGTCCACGGGAGGAGAGCACCCACTGACCAGAAATGAAAGCTGGAGGTTGGGGGACCCTTGGGTCCTGGGTGTGATGGGGTGGTCCTCAGGCCAGTTTGAGGGTGGGGGCCTGGGCCCTCCGGAACTGCCAAGGGAGGCTGCACCAGGTTGGGAGTCTTGAGGCCCAGTCAAGACTGGTTTGCTGTTGGCTTTGGGGGGGCTGTCCCTCTGCCAGATGCTGAACTGGGAGTGAGTGCGATCAGGTGGCTCCGATGGTGAGCCGTGGCGGGTCCTGGGGTTCCACGGGCGGGACACAGTCCTGTTGCTGAGTTGCCTGCTTGGTTTGCCATTGTACTCTCTGGGGGCCGCGCATCTGTCTGTCCAGCTGTCCCTCTGTCCTTCCTGCGTCCCTGTTCACCTGTGTACTTTCTCCCTTCTAAAGCCTGACTCTTTCTGACTGTCTCCACGGCTCTCCTGTCTTCTCCCAACTTACTTCTGGCCCCCTTAGTGCCAAGCCCTGGCTGTGTTCCACCTCTTCCACAGCCCTCGCCCCTCTCTCTCTGCCGTGGGGTTCCCTCTCCTTACTCCCCCAACCTCACGTACCTGTGGCCTAGGCCGCCCTGTAGCCCCACCTGTGCCCCCACTAGTGCCATTGCTGGTGCTGTGCCCTGAGATGTGTGACCCATCTCTGGTCAACATCCGCCGAGTCTCCCCCTCCCCACCGCCAAGCCCTTCCCTCCAGTCATCCCGCCCTCCCTGGCCCGCCTACCAGGCGTCTCCCTTGCCTCAATTGTCCCACCGGCCTGCAGGCCACAAGTACTGGACCGCGCAGCGCGACGGCGAGGTGCGTCTGCACCAAGAGACGACCTCCTTCGCCAACAACATGCCCATCACCGTGCACGACATGTTCAGTAGCACGGCCATACAGTACGCCAACTACACCGCGCTCGGCTCCAAGCACGGGGACACCTGGCACATACTCACCTACATCGAGTACTACGAGCAGTGCCGGCGCGCGGCCAAGGCCTTCCTCAAGGTAGGCGCGCAGCCCACCCCTCCTGCCCCGCTCCTCCACTCCTGCCTGTGCTCCTCCACTCCTGCCTGTGCTCCTCCACTCCTGCCCGGCTCCTCCACTCCTGCCTGTGCTCCTCCACTCCTGCCCGGCTCCTCCACTCCTGTCCGTGCCCCTCCTCTCCTGCCCGTGCGCTCTGTCCACCTGCTCGAGGTCTTCCTTCTGCATCTGGGCACCACCGGGTCACGTCCTGCGCCTGCCCTCGGTTCGGGTCGGCCTGGTCTCTGTGGTCTAGTGTTTTATTTCTTTGAGGATGCCTGAGTGTGGGTTCGAATCCCAGAGCCGCCATTAGCCGCTTGTTCTTGCTCAAATTAATTAGTTTCGCTAATCAAGAAGGATACATTAAAGACGTGTGATTAAAAAAAAAAAAGTTTTTAGCCCCCCTGTGCCTTAATCGCCCCATCTGTATGATGAGGGCTTTGTATATAAATATGTGTATTAAAATATACATTATTAAGATATATAATTTCTGCATGAGCTTATAATTTTCACGTTGAGTAATTAAATTTGCTGTAAAATGTATCGTTTTATATTAAAATTAAATACATAATGAAATAGGATAGCGCCTAGCCCATTGGTTTGCACAAGGATGCAGCACGCGCACGTGCATCCCATCGCTCCGGCTAACCCTCAAGCAGCGCTGACAGTAGCTCATGTTCCTAGGGTTATTAACTTACTGTGTCTTTTCTCCACTGGGTGGCATTTCCTCAGCTAGGTCCTCTCTGACCACCGTGGCTCCCGGCTCTGTCACAGCTGCTTTTAAATTTTTCTGCCCAGTTCTCTTGCCCACCTGATTCCGTGGTTGTGTTGTATTTTTACTGGGTCCGTTTCATAAAGGTGAGAACCCCGCTGCCTTGTTCAGTGCAGGCCCCAGAATTTGGAACAGCACCAGCCCCTCTCTATGTGTTCAATGGATGAATGCGCATTTTTCAGATTAGGAAAGACAACCAGAGGCCTCAGAGAACTCTCCCAGTCAATGCAATAAACAAGGAAATGATGCCACAGGTAGAAACAGTATTTCAGAGACAACTAAAGCATGGAAGAAGGGAAGAGGGAAAATGAACCAGGGCTTTTTTTTTTTTTTTTTTTTTAAACATATGATGTCAGGGAAAGCCTCTCTGAAAGTGTTCTTTTTTTTTTTTCTTCTTAAAATGTATTGCTTCATCAATCATTTACATAACTATAATTTTGGGGGTTAAATTTCACATCTCCATATGTGCACATGCCTCAGTAAAGACTGATATTTCAACTAAAGACTGGGAGTGAGGATGGGCTGAGACCTCTATCTGGGGGGAAGATGTTCCAAGCAGCGGGAACAGCCAGTGCAAAGGCCCTGGGGCAGAAATACAGCGGCTATGTTAGAGGAACAGTGAGGAGGCCAGTGTGACTGGAGCAGAATGAGCCACGAGGAGAGAAAGAGGAGGTAAGAGCAGGTCATTCAGGGACCTGGGGGCTGCGGAGGACTTGAGCTTTTACCAAGAGTAAGGTGGCCCCACCTGCCTCAGGTGCTCACCGGTGCCCTCTGGCTGCTGCTGGTGAGAACAAGCCGAGTTGAAACAACAGTTGAGGCTGAGATGATTAACCTTGTGCTAGCAGGGGAGGGGAAGAGAAGTGAATTTCTTTTTTCTTTTTCTTTTTTTTTTTAATAATAAATTTTATTTTTATATTCCCCATACAATTGCAACCCCCTTATTTTGACCCCAATCCCTCCCCTCCGGCCCCCCACCCCCCATAGAGTGTCTCTGGTTCATAGTTTTTTGTTGATTTTGATTTTCACTTTCTTATAGTTATTCATTTTCCTGGTCCCTTGTTTAAGTTTTCTAGATTCCTGCTATGAGTGAGACCATCCGGTATTTTTCTTTTTCTTTCTGGCTTATTTCGCTGAGCATGATCCCTTCCAGCGCCATCCATGTTGCTGCAAATGGCATGTGTTTATCTTTTTTGATTGCTGAGTAATATTCCATGGTATATATGTACCACATCTTCTTGATCCAGTCATCTATTTTTGGGCATTTGGGTTGTTTCCAAAGCTTAGCTATTGTAAACAGTGCTGCTATAAACATAGGGGTGCAGGTGCTCTTTGGAATTGATGTTTCTGTGTCCTTTGGGTAAATACCTAGGAGTGGAATTGCTGGATCATATGGAAGCTCTATGTTTAGTAGGTCCAGAAATCTCCACACAGCTCTCCATAGTGGTTGGACCAGTTTGCACTCCCACCAACAGTGCAGGAGAGTTCCTTTTTCTCCTCATCCTCGCCAACATTTGTTGTTGCCAGTTTTTTTAATATGTGCCATTCTCACTGGTGTGAGATGGTATCTCATGGTAGTTTTGATTTGCATTTCCCGGATTACAAGTGATGTTGAACATTTTTTCATATGCCTGTTGGCCATTTGCATTTCTTCTTCAGAAAAGTTTCTTTTTAGCTCTTCTGCCCATTTTTTGACTGGACTATTTTCTTTGTTGTTGTTGAGTCTCATCAGCTCTTTGCTGATTTTTGTGATCAGTCCTTTATCATTAGTGTTGGGTGCAAAAATGTTCTCCCAGTTGGTGGGGTTTCTCTTTGTTTTGGTTATTGTCTCTTTTGCTGTGCAGAAGCTCTTTAATTTGATGTAGTCCCAGCTGTTGATCTTTGCCTTCACTATCACTGCTTTGGGTGATGTGTCTGTAAAGATGTCTTTGATGTGAATATCACGTAGTGTTTCGCCTGTATTTCCTTCTATGTATTTTATGGTTTCAGGTCTTATGTCTAGTTCTTTAATCCATTTTGAGTTGATTTGAGAAGTGAATTTCTTGATGGACTGAATCCTTGAGAGAACGAAAGGAACAGAAGATGACTTGTGCTACAGGAGTGATGGAACTACCTTTAGCAGAGGTTGTAGAGGCCGGGCAGGAGGGGATCTTGGCCATGTTGAGCCTGTTGGACGATGGCACAGGGAGTGGGCAGTTGTATCTAAGAGTTTGATGTGGAGAAGAGCTGCTCCATTTGGATCAGCTGAAATTACCTGGTTCTACCAAGACAATGAGTGGTGCGCCCTCTTGAACTTGAAGTTAGATGTGGGTGTAAATACAACTGGCCCTTGCACGATATGAGTGCTCGGGTCCACTTATGCAGATTCTCTTGTAAACAGACAATTTCCACTGCCAGTATGGAAGTACTGCAAATGTATTTTTCTCCTATGAGTTTCTTAACATTTTCTTTTACCTAGCTTTATTATAAGAGTATAGTGTATAATAATATAACATGCAGAGTATTTGTTAATCAACTGTTTACGCTATTGGTAAGGTCAACAGCACTTTAGTGGTTAACTTTTGAAGAGTCAAAAGTTTTACATGGATTTTCTACCATGAGGGGGTTGGCAACCCCAGCACCCCACCTTACACTGTAATCATGTGTGTAGTCAGAGCTTAAGCTAACAGGTTAGCCACCCAGACATTTCATTTAATAAAAGTGGAGGAAAAATTGAAACCCATGTAAGTATCAGTTAACCACAAGGGTTGTTAAACAAGACATTTTTGTTACCCTATCACAGATGTATTCCAGTTGATACCATAGAGAAATATTTAAAGGCTGGGATAAAAAGCCATGCAAATGCTTTTGTGAATAATGCAGGTTATGATAACCCATGAGTCAAATATTCAAATTATCGGGGTGCATATTTTGTTTATATTTTCTCGGGGTTTCTTAAGAGTAGTATTTGAGGTATTATCACTGCTCATGGTGGGGTCTGTCCTGTGCACTGGAGGTTGTTTCTCAGCATCCTTGGTGCCCACCCACTCGATGGCAGGAGTATTCCCTTCCCCCATCATGTCCCCAGATGTTACCCCTGGTGGAGGTGGGGTGGGGCAGAATCCTCCCGACTCCGCGGTCACTTAGAGTGGCAGGATGGGTTATTCCATCAATTCACAAAAGCACAAATGGCCAACAGAAAAGAAAGGAACCCAAGATTCTCAACCTGGGACCCCTGGGGAAGTAGGGGTGGGTAGGTGATAGCTAACCAGAACTGGGTGCCTCACACAGGCCTCTTCTCCTCAGCTGGGCCTGCAGCGCTTCCACAGTGTGGGGATCATGGGGTTCAACTCAGAGGAATGGGCCATCTCCAGCATTGGCGCCATCATGGCTGGGTAAGAGGTGTCTGGTTTCCCCCTGGGTTACATCAAAGCAGGAAGCCACCAGCCCAAGAGACCCATTCTCACCCCCCACCCAAGACTGTTGGGGTCTCATGGAGGAGTCCAAAGAGCAAAAACGTGGTTCTCATTTAATCTTGCTCAGTGGGATTTGTCAAGAACCCAGCTCGTCCTTATGGGTACACGCTATGCTGCAAACTCATATATATCCTGTGAAGCCCAGTTTCCATGTTCCCTCCTCCAGGAAGATTTCTTCACTCCTTGGGGTTCCCCTTCCCTCACTCTTTGGTAGCTCCCTCCCTCTACCCATCCAAACCATGGGGCAACATCTGGAGGGCAGGGCCCAGGCCCCGGCTATTCCTGGGTCTTACCTTCCAAGAGTCTCGCCTCCAAAGAGGGCACCTGTGTCAGGAGAAAACTGCTATAACCTGTGCCCTGCCTGAGGGACTAACTCCCCTTTGGGCAAAACAGGCCTCCCAGGAGCTCTGAAATTCTCTGGCAGGCCCTCACCTCTTGGGTTCTGATTCCAGAGGCTTCTCTGTTGGCATGTTGTCCACCAGCTCCCCCAAAACCTGCCAGGTCATCGTCGAAAACTCAGAGATGGACATTGTAGTGGTGGATAATGACAAGCACCTGCAAAAAATCATCCAGGTCAGTGACACCTGGGCCTGTGGGAGTCAGGAGGGCATTCCCGGTGGAGGCATAACTTAGAAACAAATCCAATAATTTTGCAACACATGCATGACCAGTAGGTGGGGGGGGATGGAGACCAATGAGCAGCATGCCCACCACCCACTGCTACCCACGGCCGGGAACTGTGGCTTCCGGGCTGGTACCCTGGGGCAGTTCCTGCCAGGTGAGAGTCGCCACTGGCTGCCTCCCCTGGTGCTCCATCCTGAGCGTGTCAGCGCCCACCCAGTGCTGGTTCTGGGCTGCCCCTCCATGCACCCCAAGTTGGACTTAGCTCTGCCTACTGCAAGCAGGGCCACTCCCACTTCATCATCATTGTCGTCATCATTATAAAATGCACAGAATATCCGCGTTACTATGTTAACTGTTCTAGTGGACATTTCAGTGGCATTTAGTACGTTTACAATGCTGGCGTCTGTGATCTCTCTCCACTTCCAGAAGATTCCTCTAAAAAGGAAACCCTGGCCCACTGGCACTCCCTCCCCCTTCCTGGTACCCATGAAGTGATTTTCTATCTCTCATGAATTTGCCTGTTCTGGACATTTCATCTAAATCGGCCCCACAGCAGATCCTCTTTTGGGGGGGATGCCGAATGTCCTCTGGGTCAGAGGTGGTTCTGGTAGGCTCTGTAACCTGCTGACCTGAGCGCCAAAGCCACCTTCCCTGACGCTCAGATCTAGGGCCAGTGGCTTGGTGAGAGGACCCACTGGATGGGTTTGGGGCTGAGAATGAACTAATCAGAACTGGAATGGGGAGCCGGCAGCCTGGCAGTCGCCGTGCCAGTGGTGTCACTGACAGGATCATCACTCCTGTTTGACCTCTGGCCCTCAGCCGCAGACCCAAGGTGGTGGAGGAACGGGGAGAGACTCAAGGGCACAGGGGATAGAGGTGAGCATAGGGGTCATGCCCGCCTGTATTCGGGCCCCCCATGCTCGGGCCTTCCCTTCTCCACCAACTCAAATTTTAACATGCAATAAATCCCATGTGCTGTTGAGGACATGGAGCAAGTGGGGTGCTCCTTCTGACGGAAAAGCAGGCTGACGCCATCACTGGAAAACACGGCGGCTTCTTCTACAGTCAGCGAATACCCGCTGTAGGGTCCAGCCTTCCAGCCCAGGGTACACGCCTGACGTCACTCCTCTCTGTGAATGTCCACGGTGGCTCGTGATTGCTGAGAACTGGAAACCACCCCGATATCCTGCAGTGGGGAGCCAGTCGTTGATCTCCAGGTTGCATGAACAAAGGGTGGTCCGTCCGTGCCATCCAACAGTAGAGAGGACTGGAGCCCTGAGCGCAAATGCCATGGCGGCATCGCCAACGTGCTGCATGAAGCAAGGCAGACACGAGAGCTTCGCTCTGCGCGATTCCGGGTAGAGAAGCCCGAGACAACGCCAGGCCGTGAGACAATCACAGCAGAGGTGTCAGGCTGGGAGGAGAGGCCTGGGGGAAACTCATCAGGGTGACAGATCGTCTGTATCTTGACTATGATCACTCCCCTGCGGCTCGGGAGCTCAGCAAGGGGTGTGTGTGTGTGGGGGGGGGTGTCCTGAGAAACACATTGTAGCTGATTCCGTTCTGCAAAGGTCCGGGTGTACTTGGACGAAGCCAGATGCTGCAGCCCCCACGCCTCGGCCAAGGGCAGCCCGCGGGGCCCCTGCCGTAGATGCAGCCCCTTGTCCGCTGAAACGCTGTTAAGCGATGCAGGATGGGGCATGTCTGTCCAGGCCCAGAGAACCCTCCCCCGAACAAGGTGGCCTTTACTGCGTAGAAATGATTCCTCGATAAATCCTAGATGCTGCGCTCTCGGCGGGAGCATGAGACGGTGCATTTCTAGTTCTCCAGCCAATAGCGCGGCCAGTCCTCAAAAAATTAAAAAACAGAATGCCCACGACCCAGCACCCCCGGTTCTGCATATATCCCCCAAAGAAAGGAAAGAAAAGCCGTGTTTTCCTCCTCATGTCCAGAGCAACATTATTCACTTTAGTCAAAAGCTGGAAACAACCCAAATGTCCACCCGGGGACAACGGGACCCACAGATGATGGTCCATCCGTACCTGGGGGTTATTCCGTGCTGACCCCTGATGCCAGGAGGGTGGGTGGGCCTGGGAAACAGGGCCCGTGACAGGGACACACGAGGCTGCGGGAGAGAAGGCAGACACACAAGCCTCACGGCGGCGAGGCCACTGAGAGATGTGAGCAGCACAAGCGCAGCCGCGGGGACAGACCAGCAGGTTGGTGGAGGCCACGGGGTGGGGGTGGGGAGTGACTGCTAATTCGGGTGAAGGAATGTTCTGGCACCAGAGAGCGGTGACATTCGTACAGCGTTGTGAATGTACTAAATGCTTCGTTGAAAGGATTGAAACAGTACGTCTGTGAGGGTTTTGCCGTGATAAAAAGAACCCTGGGGCCTCGGGAGGAAGTGCTGCATAGGTGGGGCTTGGGGCTCACTGTGTTCTGCCGCTGGCTTAGCGTTGGGGTGTCTGGCAGATAAATGGCTTCTTGGGGCGCTTCAAGGCCATCATCCAGTACAAGGAAGAGACCCGGACCCAGCTGGAGAACCTGTATTCTGTATGTCCTCGCGGGGAGGGGAGGGTGGAGAGGTGTGTTCCTCAGGATGGCGGGGTCTGGCTCTAGGGTGCCATGGATGGTCCTCCGGGGGCCCCTGCAATCTCAACCCCACCCCTCTGCAGTGGAAAGCGTTCTTGGACCTGGCAAACAGCGTCTCGGATGACACTCTGGACCAGATCATCGACTCCCAGAAGCCCAACCAGTGTTGTGCCGTGTTCTACAACATGGTGACCACCACGGACCCCCCGAGGGCCGTCATGATCAGCCATGACAATGTGGGTCCCAACAAGGGGCGGTGCAGGGGTGGGGTCAGGGGGCTTTGTGGTTCCATGTCTCCTCTGGATGGCAGAGCTCTCCTTGGGGTTGAGAACAAAAAGACCTGGAGGTGACAGCTAAGGTGCCTTGCAGATCACCTGGACCACAGCCGCTACTGCCCAGAGCCTGTCCTTTAAGAGCCCCGCCGAGGGGCAGGAGGTCCTGGTGAGCTACCTCCCTCTCAGCTACATGAGGTCCCAGATCTTTGACCTCTGGATCCCCATCTCAGTGGCTGGGGCCCTCTATTTTGCCGGGAAGGATGCCCTCAGGGTAAGCAGCGCCCCCGGGGCCCCACTGCCAGGGGCATAGGCAAAGTCAGGAGGGTGGCTGGTCGGGGGCCACCCTGAGCTGGGGAGGGGAGCTCAGCGCAGACCTGGAATCCTCTATCTGCACCCCCACTGGCTGTCTGATCCCAGTCCTTGGCCTCTCTGTGCCTCTGTTTCCCCATTGGCGAAGGGCTTGCAGCAGACCCGGGGGATGGAGGCACATGCCATGCCTGTCAGGGGGGAAGCACCGCCTGTGCAGGGAGCAGCATCGGGTCGTTGAAAGTACATGAAGCGGCAGACCCGACAACCCGAGTGCCACAGTGCGGGCCATCGGGACAGCAGGACGCGGTTCAGCCCCAGTGAGGACGGACCTTCTGACCCTGCCCTGGTGTGCCCGGACCTTGAGGAGGCTCAGGGCACTAAGCCAGACACAAGGACAAATCCTGGGTGACACACTCACGGGAGGCCCCAGAGGAGCCACAGCCATAGACAGGACGTGGGTGGTGGTGCCAGGGCCGGGGGTAGGGAGGGGTAGACAGAGTCTCAGCTGGAACTCTGGGAGCTCTGGAAGTGATGGAGGGGTGGCTGCACGACAGCCTGAGTGTGCTCAGTGCCGTGGCGCTGGCGGTTAGGAATGATTACCTTGGCACGGGGATGTGGATTTTACCACAGTAAAAAATCCAGTACACGTCAAGGTCACTAACATACACCGGGAAACATCCGCCATGGCTGTGTTCACCTCTGAAGTCAGAAAATCACGTATTTCCTAAGACAGAGGAAATAGGGCAAATGATGAACGTTATTGATAGAATTTCCCAGAAGTCCCGCTGCCCCAGCCCCGGGGCCTGCGCGCTGTGAAGGGCCAGGCAGTAAGTGACATGGGTTCCTGGGCCAAGAGGCTAAACAGGCTGCTCCTGCAGGCGCTCAGGGACAGAGCAAACTCTGCAGATTTCTTCTTGAAAAAGACAAAACTTTATGGTAACCAAAAATTGAATTTTTGAAATATAGTTCTTGAAATTCTTAAAAACCATCTGAAAAATGTAAAAACCATCTCAGGCCGTGGGGTGGAGCTTGCCGGCCCTGGCCCTGCCTGAGAACAGCTGGTCTGTGGGCGCCTGGGGGGTTCTGCTTTGCCAGCAGCTCTCAGTCTCAGGCATTCATTGTGATGTTTTGTTGTGGTCACCGAGAAGTCTTTCTAGGGAACTAAGAGTATCTGAAAATAATGACAAAGCCAGAGTTTGTCTGTCCCATCCCTGCGCCTCCTATTCTCTCTCCCCCCACCTTTTCCTCTCTGTCTCTCTCCTTTTTCTCTTTCTGTTCTTTTTGTCTCTCTGTCTCTCTCCCCACCCCCCTTATCTCTTTCTGTCTCTCTGTTCTGTCTCTGTGTCTCAGAGTGTCCCTCCACCTCTGTCTCTGTGTTTCTCCACCTGTTTCTCCCTCTCTGTCCCTTTCCTTTACCCCCCTCCACCTCTGGGTCTGCTCAGCATCAGCGAGAGGGTGGACTCGACCCCTCTGTGTGGGGAGGGCTGAAGCTCACAGGCGAGCAGGGGTGCAGACGGGTGGGTGGGAGCGGCTAGTCCCCGTCCCATGGCGCTCCCTCCCAGCTCCCCCCATGCCTCTCAGAACTCTGCTCTAGCCTTGGCGGGAGGGAAGGCTTCAAAGCCCAGTCCCAAGGTGGGTGAGGGTGCCGTGGCCCACCTGCCCCAGAGCTGCTGAGGACGGCTGGCCTGGCATAATGCAGGGCTCCCTGCTGGACACCCTGCGGGAGGTGAAGCCCACCTTGTTCTACGGAGTCCCGTGGGTCTGGGACTGGCTGCTGGACCAGCTGAAGACCAGCCAGCTCTCCTCCGCCCCGTTCCGGAAGAAGATCGACAAGTGGGCCATGCAGCTAGGACTCAGGACCCTCAAGAGGCAGATGATTAAGTGAGGCAGGGGCCCTGGGCTGCCCAGTGTGGGGAGGCCCAGCAGCCCCGGAGGGTCCTGACGCCCAGCTCTGCTCCATGTCCACTTCTCAAGGCAGATGCATCCACAGGTGTGCTTGCGCCTGTTCAGGAAGCTGACCTTCTATCTGGCCGAGAAGCTGACCTTCAACCAGGCCAGGAGTTTCCTGGGCCTGCACTACTGCCGGCAGCTCTTCAACATGGGCATGGGGCTCGCCGGGACCACCCTGGACTACTTCCTCAGTCTCAACATGCCCATCTTTCAGCTCTACGGCACGCCTGAGTGCACGGGGGTGCACACGCTCTCCACCCCAGGGCACTTCCGGCTGCTGAGGTGGGCCCGGGAGAACTGCTGGCTGGGAGAATGGCTGGTGGACCTCAACCCCCTTCTATGGGATTGGGCAGGTGGGGGGCTTGTGTGCTGCTGTCACCCCACTGTTGTCCCCCCCACCCCCAGAATGAGCATCCAGGTAGTGGAGGTGAGCGAGCCAATGTGGCTTGGCCATAGCCCCTCTGGTTGGTTTTTTAGTTTGCCAACCATTATTTTCACTAATGACTGATAATTTTTGACACCCTGGGCCAGTCTCGCGACACAGCTGTCTTTGCTGTGTAAAATGGACACCTCAAATTTATTAGTTTAGAACAACCAACATACAATATCTGTCTGTGGGTCAGCCCCAAACTGGCAGTCAGGGTTCCTCGTGCAGAGGCATGACTGGGGTTCCAGGAGACACTTCCAAGCCAGCAGCCTCAGTTCCTGGGGGCTGTCACTGGGAGATGTGGGTTCTGGGCTTCAGGGCCTGCACGTGGCTGCTTGAGGCCCCTCAACATGGCAGCTGGTTTCCCTCAAACCAGAGGCACAAGTGAGATCAAGATGGAAGACGCACCCCCATTTAGGATTAGGGTTGCCAGATCCAGCAAATAAAAATACAAGGAGAACAGGGAAATGAATTTCAGGTAAATGACTTTTACCAAAAAATGTGTGTCCTTTGCAATATGTGTATATGAAAATAAAAATTTGTTTGGAATCAAATTGAACCAGGCACCTTGTATCTGAGCTGGTAACCCTACTGGGACTAAGCTCGCCTCGGTGCGTGCAGCGTGCCTTCCAGCTCCGAGGCCCCTTCCTGAGTCTCCAGGCAGCGTGGAGGAAGTTGGGTGGAGATTCATGTTGGGGCATCTGGGTAGGAACCTCAAGTTTCCAGTGTCAAGGCACCGGCTCCCTTGTGTCCAAGGAGATGAGCAGGGAGGTAAGATCTCCGGATCTTGCCCAGGTTGTGTTCACTGCTCTCTCTTGTACCCAGGGGCCTTCAGCAACAACCAAGTCCACCCAAAGGTGTCTGAATCTGTGTCTGGCCCCCTGTGCTCATCTGAGGATTCACCGTGGCCAGGGCTGGGTGTGCCGTGTCCATGGACCCTAAGACGTTGGCTTTGAGCCAGGACCCAGCCAGCCCCCTCCTTCTTAGGGGTTCCATTTGCCTGGATGGGACCGAGAAGTCCTAGGGTCTGAACAGTTGTGTGCATGGGGGAGAGGGGTGGTGAACAGGGGGTGTCTAATGTCCTCCTCCCTGTCCACTGCCCCCCGCCCCAGTAGTGGGAAGGCTCTTCCTGGTGCCCACACCAATATTCAGAAACAAGACCAAGACGGCATCGGGGACATCCACATTTGGGGCCGCAATGTCTTCATGGGGTACCTCAATGATGAGGAAAATACCCAAGAGAAGATTAACCTCCAAGGCTGGATGCACACGGGTGACTTCGGTCTCTTGGACGCTGACAATTTCCTCTACGTTTTGGGCAATGTCGGGGGTGAGTGAGACAGGCCAAGAGCTGCCTCCTGCTCTGACTGGGCCCCGCGGGGCTGCCCGGGACAGTGGCGCGGGCTGTGCACAGCTCAAGGAGGAGGGGCAGCTGAAGTTCAGCTCGGGGGAGAGGGCACCTTCCTGTGCTTGGGCTCTGTCTCCAATGTTTCCAGGGGTCAGCCATGGGCCCGTCGTAGTGGGGGAGCTATCTGAGGATGACACCCCACCCAGGCCTCCCCAAGAGCAGACTTGCCACTGCTTTTCAGAAACACCACCTGTCCCTTTCCACATGCAGACATCATCACCCTCAGCTCAGGCGAGAAGATCAACCCAAACCCTATTGAGGAGCGGGTGAAGAGGAACATTCCCATTGTGCGATACGTCATGCTGGTGGGCCAGGAAGCCCCCTACCTGTGTGCCCTGCTCACACTCAAGGTACCTCGGGGTGCTGTCTTCGAGTCTCATGGCGATCCGGGAGGTCGGCAGGAGGGGGTTTCCATGTCGGCAGGGGAACCAGGCTGGGAAAGCAGAGGTGGGTCATTCAGCACCAGCTCCTGGGTGCCATGTCTGGGGCACCACTATGTCCTATTGCAGGGGGTCCCCACCACCCCTGAGATACAGCCGGTTAGGCTGGCCACTGAAGGGAAGGGAGCCCCATCACAGCAGCATCTCAGATCTCCCTGGTGACCGTTGTGCTTTTGGGGGGCACGTCCTCTCCCCCCACACCCTGGGTGGAGGGACCAGTCCCCCCGTCCTGTGGGAGGCCATGCGGGCCCTGGTCTTGACCAGGGGGATGGACCTGAGGTTCTGGCCCAGGCAAGCAGCACAAGCTCTGGGCAGGTGTCTCCCTGGTCAAGCCGACACTTTCTGTCTGCACAGTGGGGGTGAGGAGCCAGCACCCCTGCCTACCCCGGGTTTGAGAGTGATGTGTGAGCTGCACTCCATGTGGGCAGCTGGGCTTGGTGCTGCTGGAGGGTGCAGGGGCAGTGTGGAGACTGCCTGACTGCTGGTCCCCCGACAACAGTGCCAGATCAACACACAAACAGGGGAGCCCCGCGACTCCCTGACCAGCGAGGCCGTGGCTTGCTGCCGGCAGCTCAGGAGCCAGTCCACCAGGCTGTCAGACATCATCTACTACCGGGACCCCCTGGTCTTGGACTTCATCAGCCAGGGCATAGATGCTGCCAATGCAGAGGCCACCTCGGACAGCACCAAGATCATGAAGTGGATCCTCCTGGACATGGACTTCTCCATTGCTGGCGGGGAGCTGGGTGAGTGGACAGGCCTGGGGAGGTGGGGAGGCTCCGGCTGGGTCGCTTGCACCGGAGACCTGGGGTCCTTGTTACGATGCTGCTTCCGGGTGGGCACTCCTGGCCTTTCTAACCTGCACCTCCCATGTTCTCACCGGCAGCAGAGACTGCTTCTCCACTGACTGGTCCATGCACAGGGTTGGAATTCTCCGGGCAGCTTGGGGCGGGCCTGGTGTACCCTTATTGGGGGTCCTCCAAGCCCCCTGCTGGTCTAACACCAGTCACCTCTCTGCATCCTTGAAATAAACTCAGCCCATGGATCCCTGGTTCTGTGGTGATGCGGGGGGCCCCCTGGAGGGATGGCGGGAAGTTGCCATCTGGAAACTGACTTTATTACAGGGCTCAACACAAAACTGAAGAGGGCCATTGTGGCCAAGATGTACCAAACTGAGATCAAAAGCTTTTACAGCGAGGAGAGTTTGTATAGCTGAGAAAGACCTGTGAAGAAGGCCATGTGGACCCCCTTCCCTCGGGGAGGGTCTGTGACCCCTGCCCTTCCTCTCCTTCTGGAGGGGAGGGGACCCTGCTCTGAGAGATGCGCCCAGTGGGGGAGGAGCATTTCACATGTAAATGTAAAAGAATAATAAAAGCAATTTCACTAAAGTGTGGATCTCAGCCCCACCCCAGAGGACACTGGGCAATGTGGGAAAACATTTTGGGTGTCACAGCGAGGCCGGTGAGGGGTAGAGGTCAGGGATGCTGCTCAATACCCTACAGACACCCCCTCCCATGATGAAGAATTGCCTCAAAGTGTCAGTAGTGCTGAGGTGGGTGGGGGGCTTCACATTGAAGGCTCCAGAAATATTAAAACTGGGCTTCTTTTACTTTACAAAATATATTGTTTAAGAAAACTGAAGGGATAGCTCTTGAGAGGTGTGCGGAACAACTCACTGTTTGTATCACTCTGAGGTGCATCCAAGGAAGGGAGGGCCTGAGATCAGTCCCCGTATATATATATATATATATATATATATATTGAGGAGACTGGGTTCGGGGGGTCTACCAGGCCCCAGAATACTTTATCGTTTCCCTCCATATTTTCACACACCAACAGGGTTCCCATATAAGAGGGGTTCTAGAAGGAAAGAACTGCAAACCTCAGATCCCATAAAAGGTGTCTCTAGGGAACACCATGACAACAGGGGAGACAAAACCAAGGATGTCAGAAGCAGTTTTAGACTGTGGTCCCTCCAGGTACAGCAAGCAGAGAACACAGCCGACCTACAGCCAGAGCAACAGAAGGTAACGGCCTACTTACCTCAACTCCTGTCACCCACGGTAGTATGCCCAGTTTTTAAACCAAAATTATACGATATGCTAAAAAGTAGCAAACAGCCCTGAGAGACAGAGAGGGCAGGGATCAGAGCCAGACTCAGCCATGACAGAGACTTGCCATTAGCAGGTTGTGGATTTAAAACAGCTGTGATTAGCAGACTGCAGCTCTATTCAACAACATGCAGGAACAGAGGGGTAGTATCAGTGAAGAGATGGAGACTAAGAATCAAAAGTAAATGCAGCAGGGCCTCCCTGGAGGCGCAGAGGGTTGAGCGCGACACTGTGAAGCTGTCCACAGCCTCTGCAGGCGGGTTTGATTCCTGCTATCCAGGGAGCTACCCACATGGCACAGCAGACCTGTCCTGCCTCACCCACTGCTCCCCTCAGCAGCATATTTTTATTGTCTGCCTTTTCTGTTCCCCGCTGTCTCTGGTGAATCCTCTCACCGCCCCCCCCCACATCTGGCCTGCACCGTGGTTCTTGTATGCAGAAATAAATAAAATTTTTTTAAAAAAGTAAATGCAACAAATCAGGAATTCCTGTAACAGAAGTGAACACTGCCTTTGCTGGGATCATCAGTAGATGGGACATGGCCAAGGAAATAATCAGGGAGGTTTAAAAATAGGCCAGTAGGAACTTCCCAGACTCAAAAGCAAAGAGGGAAAAAAAGACTAAGAGAGAGAGAAAAAAAAGGAATAGAACACGCAAGAGCTATGAGACATTTATAAAAGGTATATTACATATACAGGACCTGGGAATCCTGGAGGTCTCAACCTGTATCACAGGAGGGCAGGAAGGATTAAAGAGGCAACATTTGAAAAGACAGTGGCTGAGAAATCTCTCCTTTACCACATGCCAGCCAGGATACACCAGGATACATTTTTAAAAATTTAAATGAGCAACATAATATTAACATGAAACAAGAAAAACATTCTAAAACCTAAGTTGCTTAGGTTGTATGGGAAAATAAACATGCAAGAATACCTGGGGAAATTCTAAAAATAGAGTAATAACAAAAGGGGGCTGGGCCTACCTAGCGGATGTTAATTAGAAAGCCTCAGGGATTACAAGGGCAGTTATAGTGAAATAAGCCAGAGAAAGACAGATGCTACATGGTTACACTCACATGTAGCACATAAAGAAACCAAACAAACAAACAAAGTAAGGTTGTTACAAACTTTCAGACTATAACAGTAGTGGCCACCAGGAGGGACCGGTAGGCAGGAGAGGAAGAGCATGGGTAAATCACGTAAAGGGGCCAACTGTATGGTGGAGGATGCAGTTTAGTGAACTTACTGTAGCACAGATGTTGATTTATAGTGATGCATGCCTAAAACCCAGGTTAGAATGCAGTATTACTTCAACAATAATAATAAAAAAAAAGCTCAGGCGCCTTCCTGGTGGTGCAGGTAGTTGGGCGCAGCACTGTGAGGCTGTCTGCAGCCTCTGCAGCAGCGCGGGTTTGATCCCGGCAGGCTGGGGAGCTACCCACATGGCGCAGCAGACCTCTCCTGCCTCACCCGCTGCTCCCCTCAGCCGTGTATTCCAGTCCATCTGCCTGTTCTTGTTCCCCAGCTCTGTCTCTGGTGAATCCTCTCAGTCCCTGCACCTCTAGCCTGCACCCTGATTTTTGTATGCATGTATAAATAAATATTTAAAAAACTAATTAAAAAAAAAAAGCTCAGTGATGGGACATAGCGATGGGGCAGAAGAGCAAAGCCGGGGCAGACACACATGTATGCTCACAGTCAAACCCAGATGGAACAAATTGAAAGGTGAGAAAGGGGAAAAATTAAATTCTCGGGAGAAACCATGAGAGAACTTTTTTTTTTAAATCATCTAAGCAAGGAATAACCCCAACAGTCATTTAAAGAAAATCTTAATTGGGCCTCCCTGGTGGCGCAAGGGGTTGAAATGTGGCCTATGAAGCTGTTCGCAGCCACTGCAGCACCAGTTTGCTCCCCAGCCAGGGAGCTACCCACATGGCGCAGCAGACCTCTCCTGTCTCGTTCGCTGCTTCCCTCAGCGGTGTATTTTGGTCAGTCCCCCACAGTGTTCCCCACTCTGTCTCTGGTGAATCCTCTCACCCCAACACCTCTGGCCTACACCCCAGTCCTTGTGTGCATAAATAGGTAAATTTTTAAAAAATAAAGAAAATCTTAATAAATAGACTCATAGGATTTCAGCAGGGGGAGAAATGGCATAAACAAAACAAAGGCAAACGGGGGAATAGTATATATTGCAAAGGCTACATTTCATATTCCATAAGAAGTTCCTAAAATTACCGACACACAAGCAGACATACAGATACCAAGAAACCCAGTAGAAAATAGGTGAACCTTTGCCAAAGCCATTGTTTATAGACCCAGTCACACACCTGACAGTGTCTAGTTACGGATCGTTACTGAAATGAACAAGGGAGAACCATCCGGACTAGTTATGTAAGTTATGGTGCATTTATTTAACACACTAATTTGGGAATGAACTCACAGGCTATGTTAAGAAAAGCGTGTGCATACACATTACCATTCGGTAGGAACTATGTCTCGTTCATGCTAAGATAGCTCTCAAGGGGCATAAGGAAAACTGGAGCAAGAGCAGCAGGAATGAGGATCCTGCTCTGTACATGTCTTTGCACCTCAGGACTTGGCTTGGGGCAGCAGCATCAAAAGACAAAATACAAATTTAAAGGTAAGATTTGAAAAAAAAATCAAAGCAAAAAACATTTAAGGGGACAAATGTCATGATGATACAAACAGATGTCATGTTGATTTAAAAAAACCACCAAAACATAGGAAACTGTCTCCAAAAGACAAAAGAAAATCTTAAAGGCGCCAAAGAGGAAGGCTGCAGGCTGCAGCATCCCCAGAGAGGCTCAGTGAGACTTAACAACTGACTTATCAACAGAATCAATGGAAGCCAAAAGATAGCAAGTGACATTTTGAAAGTGCTGAAGGTACATTCCTGCCAATCTAGAGTTCTAAATCTAGTGAAGATATCCTAATAAAACAAAGATGAAAGGAAAATGTTTCTGGGTAAACAGAAGCGCAAAGAACTCTTCACTGTACTCAGTGACGTGTTCATGAGAAACCTTCAGGCTTATGGAAACGGATCCCGGATAGAAACAGGCGAAGCCAGGCACAGCATGAGTAATTATGTGAGCAAATACAAATAAATAGTGGGAGTGGTAGGCAATGGTAATAACATCCCTAGAAACGTACCTGCAGGTGGGTCAACAATTTGGCTGTTTCTTCATGTCGCTGGGGCTGCCGATAGCAGTTCCTACCTCACTGAGCACCTGTGAAGTGCTGGTGCATGAGAAGGTTCTTAGCGCAGCACCTGTCTGGTAGGAAGCCGTTATTTTCACACTAAGTATCCGCGCACTGGGTGCCACCACAACCCTTTTTCACTCTGTGTGCCTTCTTCAGGTGCTCAGGTCAGAAACTATCCCCCAAAGCCTGCAGCTTTTCTCTGACACAGCAGGGGAGGCCACGGCCCCCATGCTGGAATAGAATGTTTAGCTACTGACCAGAAGGGAGAGGAACCCTCCTGGTGTGGCCCCCTGTCTCCCCAGCTCTTGCTGAGTGCCAAAAATGAGCTCGATCAGCTGCAGCTGCAGCAGCAGACTAGCCACGAGGGTATTCGTTTGCAGTGTTGACCATTCAGGGATGGAACTCGTGTTCATCTGGTGAGGTGGGAGCCCACGACGTGGACAGGTATGCTTCACCAGGGTCTGCAAGAGCTCCCTCCCTGGGGTTCACTCAATTCTGCCACAACTTCAGGGAGACTCACCATGGACACTGGAAGATGGGCACCCCAACTCCTGGCAAAAGATGTCTTTGCCCACGTTTTCCCATTAGTCTTCTATCATCCATCCATCCGCCCACCATGCACCTACCCTTCCACCCACTCATCCATCCATCTTTCTTTCCACCCTCCCACCCACCCATCTTTATTCCGTCTACTCTCCCATCTATCTCCTCAACCATCTTGTGACAATAGGGTTGCTTTTCAACCCACACCTTGCCACCTGCTTCCACGGAAAGAATGTGCCATCCAGAGTGGAACCTAAGACAATCCCCCACCATCTTGCCTGTCTCAGATTTCTAGCAGCACCATCTCTGTTCCTCTAGGATGCCAAGCTCGCTCACCTTCCCTGTGCCCGCTTTCGCTGCACTCCAGCCTTGTTCCCAGTCACGGATCTGGAAGCACCGGGACAAGAGGGGACAAGATCCCCACAGCTCTCTGCGCCCGCACCCACCCACCCACCCCAGAACACAAGGACGCAAGCGGGCACATGAAGCCAAACACACAGGTCTCCTTTCCCGTCTGACTTTATTTCACTTTTTTCTATAAAACTCCTCCATAATTTCACAATTTAACAAAAAGTTTAAAATCCAGGACAAAAACAATCCTGTAACTTATTACAAACACGATTCTCCTTATTCCTTTTATCCAGGAGTTGGTCTCGGGCCAGTGAGTGTCCTAGTTCCTAGTGAGACACATTCTTTGTAAAAACCCTTATGGGTAAAAAAGGTATTCAATACCTTTGCTTTCGGATGTTGGTTTACATTTTGTTCAGGAGATAGCAAAACACAGGGATCTGCACTGGGGGCAGGGGGCTTAACACTAAACACACGGCAATCACAAAGTGCCGGTCCCTTCCTATGGAAGTGTCCCCAGAGCCCTCACTGGCCCAGCTGCCGGGCAGCGGGCGTGAGGTGGGGGAGCAGCTGCAAACGCTGCAGTGGGGGGCCCAGCTACCTGGCATATTGATGAGGTGGTCAGGGGCCGACACTGGGCCCAGAGCAGCTCCAGAGGACAGTGCTGGGGCCTTCTGGCCAGAGGAGGTAACTGAGAAAGGGGTCGGTGTTTCTGAAGGCCCTGGAAACAGCCCGAATGGTGAGAAGGCAGCTGCCACTGACAACAGGTTGGGTAGCCTGGCCTTGCTGCAGCTGCCTCCAGGGGATCCTTGATCCAGAGGGCTGTCCACGCGGCTGCATGGAGCTCAGGAGGACCTGTGGCCCTTCCCAGGAGATCCTCGTGAAGCAGAAAAACCAGCGCCCTTAGGCTGAGGCTCTGCCTGAGACCCCTTGGTGGCCTCTGTGCCCGCGCCAGGTCAGTTCCTTCTGTCCAATGTCTCAGAGAGTTTCCAGAGAAGAAGGGAGCCCCACTTTGGAGTATTGTTGGCCTGCCTGGGGAAGGGGGACAGTGACAGCACAAGCCTGCCACATAGGCCTGCCCGCTTCCTAGTAACCTCAAGGAAGTGGGGTCAGGAGAGAATCAACGCAGATGGTTGAGGAGTCACAGCAGTTTCCTCTGAAAGTTCTCAGGCCTTCCCGAGGGTCCTGGGGATCTCACAGGAAGGCTGGTGCTTGGGAAGTCTTGGAGAGGGGGCTCCCCAGGGAGTGTTCAGGGTCTGCCACGGACGGCATCGCAGCAGGGACGCGCGCGTCAGGAACCGCGAGGAAAGAGACGTGGAGCTCCACATTGGAGCTCATCACCTCGGGGGACGAGGACGTCGTCTGACATCTGGAGAAGTCAGTCCACCTCAGGGCTCCCAGTCCTGTTTCCCGCATCTCCTTCAGGGCAAAAGATGGGGGCGAGGGGGGACTGGAGAGCCTTGAGTCAAGGTTTGGGGAACAGGGGCTGAGCACACAGACCCCCAGTTCCCAGGAACCCACCCAAGGTGGGCTCACTCCATATGGGCATTCTGGCCCCAGAGGGCAGGCAGGCGGGAGGAAGAGGCGGCGGCGTGGCCGTGGAGCATCTCAGGCGTGCGAGGAGTTAAGTCTCTGGGCTCTGAACCTGTGAACCAAGGGTGGGAGAGCCAGGCCAAAACCAGACAGAGTGCCTGGGAGGGTCCGGTCACCCAACCGAGTCAGGCCTGCTGCTGGCCGGGGCCCAGGCACAAAGGGTTGGCTCTGAGCGCCCCGAAAAACTCCACAAATTATCCCGTCTTATTTGGCAAAAGCTCATTTTTTCAAAGTTCGAAGACTCAATCAACGAAAGGGAGGGAAGAGGATCCTGTGGAAGGTGGAGGATGATGAGTCCCGGGGCTGCGCGGGCACAGGTCAAGGCCGGGCCCCTCGGGAGCCTGGGACGCCTGCTCCAGAGACAGCCACTACCTGACCCAGTGCCCGAGTGCGCCTGGGGACCTGCCGCCCACCGTAGTGTTCACTGGCCTGAAGCTGTGCCGTCCCAGCCCCTGGAGGACAACGAGGCATCCTTGGAACCACAGAGGGAGAATTCGTCCCCGAGCCTGCCGAGTGCCAGCTGGGCCTCCAGCCTAACAAGACCAGTGGAGACATCTTAACCTAAAAGTCCCACCTTACTGACCCCCCCACCCCCCAACGTGCATTGCTGCCACGGAAACGCACACCCAGAAACCTCCCTGGTACCTACAGTGCATACATATATATATAATATAGAGAGAACTATACAGCATGGAGCCCCGGCACAGTGGGCGCCGACAGAGGGGACAGGTCCTGCTTCCACAAGGACAAGTCAAGGCCAGGCCTGGCGCAGCTGGCTGCAAACACACAGCTGGAGCCCTCTGAGGTCCTGGGGTGCAGAGGCTGTGTTCTGAACCGTTTGAAGAGGCTGGAGGTGGAGCCTGGCTGCTCAGAAAGACTGGGCAGTGAGCCTGTGCCACACGCCCGGCTAGGGAGCAGGGTGAGGGGCTGGGGGGATGTCCAAGGCCAGGCAAGAAGGCCCTCACCACCAGGCGCTGCCTTCAACACATAAGCCACCTTCCAAGGGGGGCCAGGTGATGGCACCTGAGTGGCAGAGAACAGCAGCGCTGGCTTGGCCCCCCTTAGCCCACGGCTCCCGACAATGAGGTGGTGGGGAGGGTGGGTCGGGAGCCAACGAGGAAAAGTGCAGCTGGCCGTGTGGGCCAAGGACAGGGCGGTCACTAAGGCAGTGCTGCGGGTGGGCGAGTCGAGAGAGGAAGGAGGGCGGGGCCTGAACATGGCCTCCCGGGACCCCGGCAACAGGGGTCCGGCACCCGGCCCAGGGTCATGTGGCCACCGCCTCCAGGTAGCTCTGCAGCTTGCGCACGGTGGTCTCATCCAGGGAGAAGAGGTCGAAGTCGAAGGTGGTGTTAGTTACATTGAAGTGGCCGGTCTCCTCGATCAGGTTCACAATCTGGAAGGCAGTGGCAGGATGGCATCAGGGCACAGGAGGCAGGCTGGGACGGCCCCTGTCCCCACATGGGGTCCCCAAGAAAGGAGGAAGAGACTCCCCGGAGTTGCAGCAAGAGAGTCCTCATGGGCACCTCCCACCCTGGGGACCCAGGCGAGGCGCACACAGTGCGGGGCTCAGTACCTGTTGCAGCACGTTGCGCTCCCGCAGGGCCATCAACCTCCGGTGCAGCTCCACCAGCTCGTCCGTGTAGGCCTGGGGGTGCAGACGGGCATTCAGGGGGCAGCTGAGCTTCTTGTCACTGCCAGTCCATCTCCCTCCAGGCCCAGGACAGAGGGTGACAGATGCTTCCAGGACTAGCCCCTCAACACGGCTTGCCTGGGTCACGGCAGCCCCCTCCGAGGAGCCCATCCAGTTCTGGGGGCTCTGGAGAGTGTGGGGCTCCCCCCCACCACCTGCCCTGCCTGTGCCCACCACCTGCCCTGCCTGTGCCCACCACCTTGTCGTAGGTGCCCTTCTTGAGGATCTTCTCAGGCTTGCTGCAGGACTCCGGGCTCCTCCGGCCTGATGCCTGCAGGGAAACCCAGGTATGTTCTGAGCTCCCGCCTGGGCCCATGCGCCCAGTCTGCCTGTGCGCCCAGTCCACCCATGCCCGTTTCTCTGGTGCAGCTCCAAGGACAGTTCATCCCGGGGAGGACACAAACCTCTGGGGCCTAGGGGTGAACCTAGCCTCCCTCTTCACTCACCACTGTCAGCTGCAGACTCTACTCAGGAAACCCCAGGCCCAGGACTGGCAACGGGCTAACCCACGGGCAGGCCAAGCTCAGGATGTCGAGTCGGGGCTGAGAGCTGACCACCAGAAGAACCCCTTCTGGGCAGGAGCCCCGCGCTTACCTTGCTGCTGGGCGGAGGGGGCTTCTGCGGGGGAGGGGGCTCGCGGCCGGGCAGGCAGGAGTCGGCGCTGTTATCACTCTCGCTGTCACTGAAGCTCAACCTGATCGTGGGATAAGGCACCTGTAGGCCTCCGCCAGCTGCTCCAGGGCCGGGCGGGCGCCTGAGGGCAGCCCCATCACTAAACACCAGTCGGGACAGACCCCGACAAGGCTCGGCCCCCTCCCTGTGGGTCAGGCGTGCAACCCACATTCTGGGCTGTGGCTGCCAAGTGCGGCCCCAGACCGTGGGAGACCAACCTCACTTGGCTCTGGGAGGCTACCGATGACTTAAAACAAAACAAAAAGATGAGTCTGAGCCACCTTCAAAGGGCAAAGAACCCAAAGAGCAGCAGCTCAAACCCAAGAGTCCCTGGGGATCCAGGCAGGGCTCACGTGAGCCCTCAGGGTCAGAGGACCAGGACGTGATGCCACTGCAAGCCAGCCTGGCGTTTATGGGCTGTGCGCCTAGAACTTGGTTCTGGCCCTGAGGAATTCACCCACTCAAGAGCCCAAGCAGCAGTTTCCACCCAAGCCAGGCGCATGTGGATCTGGTCACGGGCTTTCTTCCATGGGTGACCTTGGGAGCCCCATCCCTATCTGGTGGGCCCTGCATGGGGTGCTGGTGGCAGCTCGTGGGGTAAGGATAAGGGCCAGGCTAGCCCTCCGTCTCTGCCTCAGTCTCCTCACCCATACAAGTGCTTCAGGAAGGGCCGGGCCAGCTCACAGTGACAAATGTTCACTATTGTCACAGGAGGAAGCACTGACTCCTCAATGTTCAAAGTCCCAGCAAACTGGAAACTGAAAACCTCCTATGAAGCACGGTCCTATTTCTCTCAGCCTCAGTCTGGGTAACAGGCAGTGATTCCTTTTAGTTTTTCCAGGCTCTCTCCAGCCAGGAGGGAGGAGAGCAAGTAGAGGAAGCAAGTTCCTCTCCAGTCCACCCAAACCCAACCTGACTGGAAATGGCCCTGCCTGCCCCACTGCTCCCCCCGTGTCATCCCCGGCCCCTTGGGCGGTCTATTTGGGAACCCCAGTCCCTCCAGTAAGAGGGAGCCCCAGCAACTGTTTCTTCATAACACACTTCAGACACAGTAAACTCCTCCTGTCCCCTTCCTCCTCCTGCCGCCAACAGGCCTCCACACAGCAGTGCCCTGGGAGGACCGGGTGGCACAGACAATGGCCCTCCTGCTCACCTCCTCTCCCCCATGGCCAGGCAGTCCATCCATGAGGTAAACCTCTCTTCCCGCTCTAAGGCCGAGAGCTCGGCTCTCTCCTGACTCCCCAGCTACAGACACTCAGAGGAAAAGGCAGGCACTCGGCTCTGTGTTGCCCAGGCAACGCCTGCACGTCAGCACAAGGACCTGGCGTGGCCTCGTTGCCCTGGAAGCCCCTGGAAGTCCCCTCCTAGCTGGGGACAACTGGGAGCCATCAGACACTCTGGGCCTCCTCTGGCCGCAGCTCCTTCGTCACAGTCCGTGTGTCCTCTGCTCTGATAATGAATGTATGACGACACCTAGGAAGCTTCACCCACCTTCTACATCTGCCCTAGTACTCTTGTGTGCTAGGCCCCAAGGGGGAGGCCCCAGAGAACAGGACATGTCCATCAGCCCTTCTCATCACAAAAGCATCATACCCCTGCTCCTAAAATCCAGAAGAAGTCACACTGGATGTCGCCTGCACCAAACAAGGCAGGAGTCACTTAACCCTGTCCCAGGAGACATGAGGTCCCCCTTCTTGTCTACTAAGTTCCACTGTCCTCACCTGGAATGCTGGCATGTGTGCAAAACCACTGAGTACTCTCTCAGCCAGAGGCCTTGGGAAGGTGGTTTCCATCAGCAAAACTAACATGGAGCATCTACCAGCACCCACAGGCCTCCCTGTGCCTGGCTGGCTGCAGACACACTGACCCAACCCGTCTTAAAAAGGAGCCACTGGGGCCTGGAAGCTTGGACTCATGGGAGGGTGGGGAGGGGCTGGACCTGGACCCTGCCCATACTTCTCATTCTAAAAGCACCAATGACCTTGGGTCTGGGGTCAAACCCTGACACTGGCTCTGGCAGGAGCCCTCAGCCATCCCTGAGGTACACTAGCACTGAGGCTCTGGGGTGTCCAGAGGAGGTACCATGGCTCGCCATGCTCTGGGGCAAGGCCAGAAGCCACCTTCTCCATGTTGGTGGGAGGCCACAGCTGCTCTCCATACTGGGGTGTCTGCAGGTCCTAGGATAATTTCTGGTCTGTCCTCATCCCATGCTCTTACCCAAGTAAGAAAGGACTGGGGGTGGGGAAGCAGCAGTCCCATGGTATGAGGGCAGAGGAATCACCTGTCCCACACATTTGGATCACCTGGCCACCCCCTTCTGGGATGGTGCTGTACTTCCCTCCCTGAATACCTGCCCATCCCTGCCAGGCAGCCCACACCTTCCAGTGACAGCAGCAGAAATGCCACCCCAGGCCCTTTGTGAGGGGAAGTCCTAGTGTCCCCTCAGTTTCACAGTTCCTCTCCTCAGGAGAGGACTTGGGGCCCCTAGGACTCCCCCTCAGCATCCAGCCACAGGGCATCTGTAGGCTCACGGTTTCCTTTGCCCCACCCAGGGGAGAGTTCCTCCTGGTTCTGCCTCCCAGAGTCCCCACAGAGCCAGGGAGACCCTGGTCACCCCCATGCCACTCACTCCCCACCAGTGGGCACCTGGAATCCCTCCCTGCATTTGTCTTGCCGGAGGCCTCCTCGCCTGACGAAGAGTCATCCTCATCAGATTCCTCGGACTGCAGGTCCTCCACCATGGAGCGCAGGGGTCCTGAGGAGGGTGGGAAGGAGAGAGAAAAGGGAGTGTGGTCAGGACTCTTCCTGCACCTTAAGGGGTGTCCTCCATCTCAGGGTCACATGGAGCCTCCTGATAACGATAACCCCAAACCGCACCCAACACAAACCCACCTAGGAGGTCCCTCGAGCATGGTGGGGCCTGCTGTCCATCTCTGACGAATGCCCCAGGGGCCACCCCCTTCCTAAGAAACCCTCTGGCTTCCCCTGTCCCTCCCTACCTTCCTGGCTCTGCTCACAGGCCTCCGGCCCCTGGCCTGAGGCAGGACTGCAGGACCCCTCCATTGCCAAAGCCGAAGGAGAAGCTGAGATCCAAGTTCCTGCCTGGAGCAGGACGAGCCAGCCCTGGCCCAGAAGAGCAGCCAGAGCCAGAGCCACGCAGCCTTCCCACAGCCTGCGCCCCTACTCAGGCCTGCCCAGCCCCTCGCAGCCCCTTTCGGCTGCTCCCGGCCCAGTCTTCCCCTTTCTCCAGAGGCACACAGTTGCAGTCCCCTACAGACGGCATCTTGGTTTATATTCCTGTTACCAAGGCAACAGAGGGACACAAAGCCCTCAATTACCTTGGTCACATGATGCCGCTTTAGCAGGTTCCCCCTCCCTTCTCCATAGATAAGAACACTTGGAGAGTGTGGGCTTCATACCCAGCCCCCAGGCCTCTCGGTGATTGACTGGGCTTCTGAATTCCTTGCCAGACCCCCTCCCTGCATTCCCTTCCCCTCCCCCAGCTCTCCCCAACCCCTGAGAAAGGATTTCAGGCAGAGGGGGGAGGAGACGCTGGTCCAATCCATAGAAGAAATGCCTCTGGCGTGAGGAAAGGTGTTGGGAGTCTGCTGGGCTGGTGGCCCCTGTGCTGCCCTCTCATGCCTGGGTCCTACCGACTGGGAGCCCCAGGACCACACCCTGCACCCGAGGCAGGCCTGCTCTGCTCTGGGGTATGCCAGGCCGGCCTAGTGGGCTTCATGCCTGTTCCCCCAAAGGCCCGTAGGTGGCCTTCGGGGAGAAGACAGAAACGCAGACTACGGATGGTTTGGGCCTGAGTGCCAGTCAAGTATGCAACAGCCACCCTGGTAGGAGGTGGGATGCGCGGGCTCAAAATTTCCTTCATAGGGACAGACCTGAGAATCCAGAGGATGGACACCAAAGACATGCACTTCCCACCCTGGATGGTGGTCAGGTGACCTGTTTCTGTTTCACTTTTAAATACAGGCCCTCTGAGCTCCCACAAACCTGCAGATGTGGGTCCTGGGGGCCCACTCTGGGGAAGCGGCCATACCCAGGGTAAGTTCAGCGAATACGGGGCAGTGGTGGGGCAGTGGCGGCGGCAGCAGCAGCAGCAGCTTGGGGTGTTCACACAGCATGAGTCCCCATGGAAGTTACTCACTTGGGGAAGTTATTTATGCATCCCTCTGATTCAGTAACAAATTCGGGATCCCAAGGGCCAGGCAGGGGGTTGCGAGGTGGGGGTGGCCCTCACGGTGGCTGCTCGCAAAGCAATGAGCCATGCAGAGAGAGGCTGTCTGTTCCACCCTGTCCCTTTCCATCACGCACCTTGACTGTGGTTCTGAGATGGCTCAAAATCCGAATCCGAACTGGAGTCGGAGCTGGAGCTGGAGTTGGATGGGCTTGACTGGGCGGACTTAACCCCCAACAGGAGTGGTAGACCAGAGAGGAGAGAAGACAAGAACCATCTTTCAATGCAAAGAAGCAAAAGTGGGCACTAAATGCCCCCCAGCAGCAGAGACTCACACACCTCATACACACCTGAAGCATCACAAAGGCGCCATACCCAGTGCCCCCAGCCCAAGGCACTCAGGAAGGTTCGTGAGAACCCGGCTTCTGGGCCCCAGGTAGTCCACCCTCCACCTCTGTGCTCTTTCTCTCCAGGACCAGGAGAGCCCCCAACATGCAGAGAACCTTTCTTTTCCCACTGAGGGGCTATTAAAATCTCTGGTAGACCCAGAGGCACTTCAGACCATGAGCACAGGGAGCGGGGAAGGCTGAAGGCAGCTGATCTTCGGCTGCTCATTGTTTGTGGGCCCTAGTGCTGCAGGGAACAGAGCACAGGTCTGGAACAGAAACACCAGATGCAGAGACCCAGCTTTTCATTCTGATCATTTCTTTTTTCTCCCCTTTCATACCTTTATTCCTTTTCTTTTTTTTTTTTTTTTCACCAGAAGTGTTTTTCTACAAACTAAATTTTGGGCAAACATCATGCAATTCTTGATGGGTTTCCTCCCAGAGAACAAAATTCAGCAGGGGCCTTACAGGGCAGGGAGCTGCTTTCTCATCTCCTTCTTCTAACAGCTACACCCAGATCGGCTGGTGGAAGATGTAGGTGATGGCGACAGAGGCGGCATCCCAGGCGGCCCAGAGTACCGCATCCCAAGTCCCCACTTATCAGAGCTATGGCTCCACTAGGCCAGGGGTGAGGTACAATCAGAACCATCAGCGGTGGGCAGAGGCCGCCTTGCAGCTCTGATGCTGTAAGATCTTCTCCTCAGTGGTTCCTGCAGGTAGCAGGCCACAGACATAGTGTGTCTTCCTCTGATTACGCTAGACCCAGGCCATGGCTTGTTTGTTCATCACTGGATGGATTCCAGGGTCCAGCACAACCAGTTGGTGAGCCCCAGTGAGACCAAGGCCCCAGCCCAGTGTTGCCGCTCAGCATGACTGATTCTCATTTACTCACAGCCCTCAGCTGCAGATGACAGTTACCGCCTCATCACATGGTACTTATAGTATATGTATGATGTGTGTGTGTGTACGTGTGTGTGCGGGGGGGGGGGGTGGAGAACAACTTCGACTGGCTCTGGCCCCACTATACCCACAGCCAATCAAATACCCCCTTCTTCCTGCAGCAGTGGCCCCTTACTACGCCACCAGGGGGCGGTAAAAGCCCAAACTAAGACAATAGGCTCTGGGATACTAGGGGTAACGCCTGCCCCATGGATAGGAATTGGTCACTGACACCTGCCCGAAATGCTGAGACTGAGCCAGAACAGGGTAGCATCTGCACCCAGAGCCTCAGTTTCTGCCAAAGGCACATGCTCAAAGTATAGAAGAGCAGAGTTTAAAGCTCAGAAGTCTGCCCTGGCTCAGCACATCCCAGGGCAGCCAGCTCAGAATCACAAGCCTGTCTTCCCTCGGGGGCTGCCCAGTTCTCTTGCCTTAGTGTACCAACTGGAGGAAGGTAGCGGCTTGAGCACATGGGGCCAGCCACTTTGGGCACAGTCCCTTTAAAGAAGAGGGAGGATGGAGCAGGGTGGAGGCAGCCAGCAGCATCCGCTTGATCCTGGCATGCACCTAGTAAAAGAAGATACTGCATGCAGACCCCAGAGTTCTTACTCTGGCCCCAGGATCCTGGGTTCTGACCCCAGCTTTCTCACCTACTGGTCAACGGAGTCCTAATTTTAAGCCTCAGTTTCCCCATCTGTAAAAGAGATTCCCTGCTGTTGGGTGCTAATAAGTGTGTACCAGCCAAGCCTCCAACAGAAATCCTGGGCTGGAGTGTGAACCGAAGGGTCTGGCTGTGAGGCTGACACAAACAGCAGAACCAGGCCAGGAGCCAGAAGGGGTGATGGGAGACCCCGGGCACGTCTGACTTCCCCAGGGTCAATCTTGCCCAGCAGTGCCTCCTCCCCACCCTGAATTGCCCCACCAAGGACACCGTGCAGGGTCAGGTCAGCAGAGATGGGAAGTGGCGCCATCAAGATGCCTGGCTGGACCTGCCCCAGGGTGGCTGAGCAATGGTACTGTCCCCAACAGAGAAGCCTGATGAGTTCAGAAGCACTTGTCCTTCCACAAAAATCCAAGGGGCAGGAAAAGGGGATTGGAAGTGATCTCAGCCCAAAGGCCCTAGAGAAGTGCAGGTCAGAAAGCCCATGAGTGGACATGGGAAGCCCAGAGGGAGAGTGGGAGGAGGTTTCTGGTCCTGCTCTGCTCCCAGCACTCCAGGGTCTGTGATGATCAGGACTGACTGGGCTCAGGAAGCCCAGGCCAAAGAGATCACGGAGAAGCAGCTGGAGGAGTCAGGAACTTGGTGGGGAACAGATAAGCAGCCTGGCCACTTCTGAAGCACCAGCCTAGGAGAGGAGGCAACTGATTCCATGCCTCAAGGATGGTGCCTTATGTGGCCTTCAGGGTGAGATGCACCGAGACAGAGAGTACCAGTACCTGGCTCCTGCATGGCCCTCAGGAGACGTTAAGGCTCATCACTCAGCAGTGTCTCAGGGCATGGGATACACAGCTCTTGGTCAGGAAGAACCCCCCCAGGCTTCCTTGAGCAACTCTGGTCTCAGGACGGTGGTGCCAGTCCACACAGAATGGCAGCCACCCAGGTGCTTGAAGATCATCGCAGCAGGAGGTGAGGGTGGACACCCAGGGCCAGCATGGCAGAACCCTAGGGAGGCTGCCACCTCACTGAAGTATGGGTAAATCAGCCACGGGTGAAGAAAGGCCTCACCCGGCAGCATCTGGAAAGGAGGGCAGGGCCCTGGCCCAGAACTCTGGGTGCTGGGCAGAGGAGCAGACTGACAACAGATGGGACATGATTAAGCACCATAAGAACCTCTGGCAGCCGAGGGACTGCCCTGACGGCACAGAACTGCTCGGAGGTTTCTAAAGAGGTTTCTCCTGCCATCTTCAGGTTCACTGGCAGACACCATGTCATTTTGGTCATGAGAAGGACTGAATATACGACATCTCAGTCCCAGCCACGTGTGTCCCTAGTCAATGGGACACACTGTTACTCACGAACCAAACTGTCAACCCCAGGCAGTCACTTTCAAAGGGTCACACACCCTGGAGATCACATGCTCACAACATTGTTGCTGTTGATAAGCTTTGTCTCTGGGAGCTCCTTACAGAGTCCAGGTAAAGCTCAAATATCAACACTGGAGGCAAAATTTCTCCCTTTGAGGGATAAAGAAGACTTGGAAATTGCAAAAGGCCACTGAGGAGTTGGTGAGAAAGGTGAGGGAATCCATCACGCAACCATTCTTGCACCCACTCATCCGCCCTTCCGTGCACCTAGCTAGCTATCCACTCAGCCCCCACACGCTCACTTACTAATGCCTTTATCTATGTACCTGTCCATTCAGTCATATACCTAATCCCCTGTTAATCTCTCCAACTATCAACTCACACATCCACAGTTCACCTCTCTCCGCCTCCCAAGGTATTCATCCATTCCTTCCAATCTTCTCTCCACCCATGCACCCATTTATCCGCTAATCTATCATTGTCTTCTTCTTAATCCTTTTCTCTACTTATCCATCCATCCATCCATCCATCCATCCATCCATCCAAGCACCCATTCTCTGACTGCCAGATGTCAAACACAATGCTTAGAGAGGACACTGCCAACGAGGCCTCAAGTGAGCCTTGCCATCCCATTAACTATCTGGCCATTGGATCCTTGGTGGCTCATGCTGTCTCTGACGGCACTCTTCAGAGAGCTGGAAATGCTACTACAGGACGAGCAAGAGCCTCTCAGGATATATTCCCAGAGAGGAACTCTAGCCCAGACTTGTCCATGTGAGATTCCCGCGACCCAGCTGTGCACACAGAAGTGGGTGGTGGGAGAGGTGGTGAGACCTAGAACCCTAGCAGTCATCTTGGAAGTGAGAAAGTGAGGCTCAGTCATCATTGTTGCACTTCCAGACCCAGAAAATGGGATGAAGAATAGTAGGGACACCCCACTGAGCAGAGGGAGTTGAGTTCCCTGACGGACTGACTCTGCAGTAGCTAGGAATGGGCAACACCGAGTCACGACACCTGTCCTGACCCCAAAACCACCACTGAGATCCTGGCCCATGTAGGGGGCTGCCCAAGAACTCGGATGCCGAACTCTCATGCTTTACCAGAACCATCATCTCTGAGCACTGTTTCCAGAGTTCTCACAAGACAGGCTTGCGTACCCCAGAGAGGAGAAACGGAAGCACAGCACGGCGTGGAGGCCGGCCCAGAGCACTGAGAAGCAAGGGGTGCTGGGGCCAGGATCTAGCCGCCTGTGCAAACTCCTGGGCCAGCAGGGATGTGGGTGGCTCAGCACTGGAAGAGGAGACAGAGGAGGGGATGGGGGAAAAGCCACCTCACCTCTGTCTTGAAGGAGGCCTCATCCTCCGAGTTGGACTCCTCTACCTCTGGAGGCTTTTTTATCTCCCTGGACTCGCTTTCGGCCTTGACTTTCTCCCCTTTGGTGCTGCCCTTGTCCTTGGCCGGTTTTTTGTCTGAGAAGGAGGAAGACGAGGTGCGGGGCGAGGTGCCAGGGGCACTCCTGGACCCCTTAGAACTGCTCTTCTTCTGCTTTTTGGCGCTGGGCTTGGGCGAGTCGGCCGCAGCCGGCCGCTTGCTGGAAGACTTAGGCGGGGCTCCCCCCTTTGGGGACATGCTTTCTAGTTTGGTCTCCTTCAGGGCCATCTTGGGCTCCTTGAACGCAGCCTTGGGTGGCGGTGCCTTCTCCTCCTTGGGTGGCCGGCCCTCGCCCAGCTTCCGAGAGGCGTCCTTGGTACTCCTGGCCTGCTCGCGCTCTGGCTCCTTGGAAGGGCCCTTGCTCTCTGAGTCCTTGCGCAGCCGCTCTCGGTGTTCCTTAGTTGCCTTGTGGGCCTTGCAAGCCTTGCTGTTCTCCCTGCTGGCATCCTGAAATGCCGGGACGGGGAAGGGGGAGAGACACAGTTAAATGGCATCTCGGGGTCGCCCTGCTCCACCACCCCCAACCCCTACAAAGTATAATCCACCTGATTCAGACTCAGCTAGAGAAAATCTTCCATAAAGCGAAAAAGTAAGGCAGCAGGTGAGAGTTTTAAATGGAGCTGTCCCTTTAAACTACTAGGAAGTGTCAGCAGGTCCCGGGCGACTGCAGGCTAAGATTCCCCTCTGAATTGAACTGACATTCCCTGAGGGATTCAAGAAGAGTACACGGTGAGTCAGATACGAGAAAGGCAAGCCACATTGACCCACTCCCGCTCCAACACCTCGAAGCTTCCCGGTGGGGCCCAGGGGAAATTGTAGGCTGCTTAGGGTTGGGGAGTGGGGCTAACTGGCAGGCCACACCCTTGTTTGTTCCCACATGGAGCTTGTGTGCATCCTGCGGTCAACTGTGTGGTGTTCCTCCCCAGTCGCCTCCACCCTGCCAGTCTGGCTCAGTTTCCACGGCCCTGTCGCACACTTGGGTGGGCACGGCTATTCGTGGACTGAGGTCCTGCTGGGTTTCAGGCGCTACATGAAACACATAGCTCCTGGACTTCTCAGAATTGAAGCACCCAGCAGTTTTTATAAAACATGAAGATTCTTGGGTCTCTATCATGGAAAATCAGAGGATTTAGGGTGCAGAGGCCTGGTATTCATCAGCAGAATAGTGAAACTCGCACTGAGGTCAGAGGCAGAGAGGCACTGGCTTCTGGGCCAGGAGACTTCAACCCTATGTACCTGTGTTTCCTCTGAAGAAGGACAAAGCCACCTACCTCAATGGGTGATGGTGCCAGGCCTGGCAGACAGCGAGCACTCAAGCAAGGGGGGCAGCAGGCAGCACCAGCGCCTCATGGTTGGTTTAGCCCACGCATCAGCCTGGACTTTCTGTCTGTATATTTATGTCTGCCTTCCTACACAACCAGCATGTCCTGTAGACCCATCCAACCCCTCATTTGGGTTCTTCCCTACTGATACCCCATCATCACCCTATACATCCAGGGGTGCTGAACAGGTGCACAACTGCCATGGAGAGACCAAGGACTCTCCAGAAAAATCTGCCAGGAAACTTAAAGGAACAGACCCAGAGGGTGGCCTGCAACTGATGGACTCCTCTGAGGCAGCCATTTTATCAGCTCACCCCAAGTGCCAAGGGGGCAGGTGAACCAGGTAAACACCTAGCTGCAGGCCTAAGTTTCCCGCTCTCCTATCCCACCTGAGGGCCCAGTGATGACAGAACCTTCAGGGACAGATGGCATAGCCTCAGCCAGCTCTGATCTACTCAAGTCGCCGTCTTCTTGCAAATCCACAACCCATAAAATTGCCAAAGGTTCAGGGACAGCCCCACATAACCATGGGCTCCTGCCTCCTCCCTGGAGAAAAGCTGGGCCCCTGTGCCCCATCCCCACCTCTTATGTCACCAGATGCCTTCAGAGTAGCTGCTCTCCACCTGGGGGAGAGGGAGGAGGATAGGGGTTTAGACAGGCACTGGAACCAAGGGCTCTCAAGTCACAAACTGTTTTGAGCATACATATGGCTATGCCTAGGGGCAAGGACTCACTGCAGTCATGCTGTCAAAGCTATCCATGATTCTCAAATGATGAAGAACTGAATTTGAGAGAAAGATCAATCAGGCCTCAGACAGGAAGAAGCAGGGCACCCCAGTGCTACAGAAGCACAGGACCAGCGGTGCTGCAGATGGGTGGGGACCAGCTGCTCTTGCAGTGTGAACCTTCAGGGGGTCCCACTCCTCCCCCAGGAGGCTCCAACTGGAACTGGAACAGAGCAACCAGGACGGATCTAACTAGGATTCCAGTCGTCAGACTCTCCAAAGGTCCCTACCTGGGGAATCCTGATGGACTCAGCCCCTTCCTCTCCTGCCCTGTAGGAAGCCAAGCTAAAAACCGTTCTCCCCAGGGCATGTGGTCTGGCCATCAGACTCTCTGGCTTGGGGCAATGGAAAAACAGTCGAGGGGGGAAAGCCAGTGCCCAATGAAAGCCCTCAGCTGGAGAACGAGGCTGGCACACACAGGCCATGCCTGCAAGGAGTGCAGTGAGATAAGGCTCAGAGCCAGGACTGTGGCAACAGCCAGAGGGGTTCTCAGAGAGGAGCGTGGCAGAGCATGACATGGAACACCTGAGAAATTGATGCAGGTGCCTCCTAGGTGCTGGAGACTGATCCAGGGAGTGGGGTGTGTGGGGGGACAGAAAGTGAGTCTTCTGGGGGTTTCAATGGAGAGAGATCCCAGGAGCAGCCCCAGCATACTTAATATCTGGAGGGCATTTCTTCGTGGGCTTCTAGGTGACTTCAAGTAACAGGTACGGAAAGAATAGACATTCCTAGACTCTGTAGTTCTTGCACAGACTTTTGAAAAACTGTGGGTAGCTGAGTGAGAAGCACCAAGATCGCAAGCAAGAGCTTTATTCCATTTCATCTCTCCAAGGCTCACAGAAAGACAAGCCCAGAGGCCAGCGTGGTGTGACACCCAGAGTTGTACTCTGTACTTGAAGTTTCTAGCCTCACAAGTCTAAAGGGCTTAAGTCGGATGAATTTGAGGATTTCAGAGATCTACTGGTCTGGTGGAAAGCTCCAGACAGACCTATCTGGATGACATGGCTCTCCTTCAAGCTGCTAAAGAGTAAGACTGGAAGACAGTCTGAGAGCTTGACCTGTCCCACCTGGGGTGCCCCAGGACCACAATCCACAACAGGTGAGAGAGGCCAAGAAAAATGTCAAGATGAAAAGTAGATAAAACTGGAGGGTGAGTAACAGGATGACAAGAAGTTGTCCTGAGAGCCTCCAGGACAGCTGAGTTATAGAGGCTGCAGCAGGGAAACAGGACGCATGCTCTTGAGTTTATAGGAACATGACAACACCATCCAGAGGGCTCAGGTGATCATGGGGACAGTTCAGAGAGAGGTTTCAGGTAGGCCAAGTGCCACCTGTCCAACATGGCTAAGAGAAAAACATCCTTCTTCTTGGTGGAAATCAGCTTGCTTACTTACATCATTCCACCTGGCCTTTCCCAAGTATGCTTTCTCTGCCTTGAGCCTCTGCCAAAGAAGAATTAAAGCCGGAAACACCCCAATGCCTGGCAGACAGGTAACTTGGCTGCACTAGGGAGGCCCAGGAGGGCAGGCAAGGCCACCACATCAGAAACACTGTCCACAGCGGCCAGCCCTGTGAGATGATCTCACGGTTCTGGTCAGAGTGGTCCTCAGGCCCAGCCCTGGCTCAGTGGGGTGGAGGAGGATGGGATAGGGTGGGCTCTCTGGCCTCAAGATGAGCAGGGCTGAGAGCCCACAACCACATGGCTGTTCCTTGCCATTCAGGAGGGTCAACCCTGCCAAGTAGGTGGCAGCAAGCAGCCAGGTGGAACAGAGAGCACTCAAAGAGGAAGATGCCACAGGGGCCAGTCAGGGACAGAAGGTCCAGCTCTGCAGAGGAGGGCGCCCTGAGCCCAGGACCCACCACTGGGCCCCAGTGCTCCCACATGACTGGGCCTTCCACCTCACTAACCTTGGAGCCGTGGGACGGTTTGATCTTCTTGGGGTCAGAGAAGGCAGAGAGTGGAATTGTGGGTAACATGGGGTAGTCAGGACTGGGCCTGGACACCGTTTCTGCTCCTTCGGGCATTACCATCACCTAGTGATAAAGAAGAGACAGATGTTATCAATGAGCAAGGGGGTAGGCTGGAAATCCGATGGGCAAGAGGAAGTCGACCTGTGGGAGTGTGAGCATGGCTGGAGGCCTTTGATTTTCCTTCTGATGGGGAGGAGGGAGAGCTTGAGCATCACTTTCCCAAAAGAATCCAAGGTATTTCCTCCATGAGGCGCTGGGTGCTAAGTGCTTAGACCAGAGCAGGCTCAGGTGGCGAGCAAAGAAAAGCTGGAGTCCCAGGACATCTGGGCCCAGGTGTGGCTGAGCGGCCTCAGGAAGGAGGACCAGAGCCAAGAAGATGTGCGGAGAATGCCAGAACACAGAAAAAGGCAGCTGGGCCAAAGATGCATTTAAGAAAGACCAGACGCAATTTTGAAAAGCGAAAAGCCAGCCAGACATCGACAATGGGCTGCCACATGGTAGAATAAGCAACTTCTGATGGACTTGAACAACCTCGCCAGGTCCTGTATGTCCTGGACTACTCCACTCTCAGGCAAGTGAAGTTGACTGAAATGAGGGAGTGACCAGCAAGTGAGGTCAGAGAACTGCATGGGGGCAGCTTCAGCTCTCAGCGAAAGCCATAGGCGGGCAGGAAGGCAGGCAGAAGCCTATAGAGGAAGGAAGCTGTGTGCTGCTCTTTGTCCAAAGACTACGGAGGAGGAGCAGCTTGAGGTCCTGCCAGGTGGTGCTGTCCAGGTCTAGCCTGGCTCCTATGGCACCTGCCAAAGGGACACAAGGCTTGTGACAAGTTCTCAAAATACCAATACTGTAAGTTAACAAAAGAGCAAGTCATCAGCCACTAAGAGGGAATCTTCCAGATGTCAATGAGAGAATGAAAGCATAAAAGAGCAAGGAAGAAAAGAGAAAAAAAAAAAAAAAAGGCACATTTGGCTTGGTAGAAGAAGCACGATTAATAATCTGTGGCACTGGGATTCCTTGCCAAGCCAAACCTTTCATCTGAGGAAGCTGAGGTAATGCCTGGTCACAGGGACACTGGGTTGGCAGCAAGGCAGTGGAGCCTCAGGGGCTCCCCTAACCAACACCCCACCTTCTGCCCCACTCTAAGGCACTGAAGCCCAAGGTCGATTTACTCAGCAGAGCCTGTATGACCACAACACTCTGAATCAAGGCACCAAGAGGCCAGCAGAATCTGGTAGCCCGGGTAAATCAGCCACTTCTAATTGCCAGGAACCCCCCTCTCCCCCCAAGGCTAGCAATGACACGCACAGGGCTAGAGAAGTAACTGAAAGCCCAGCCCAGGAACAGACTGCAGAGAAAATGCAGAGGATGCCCCTTTGCATTCTCTACAACTGACCCTTAAAAGGGGCAAAGAAGTATAAAACAGATCTCCTTCCAGTTCCCTCCTGGAGCTTCAGAAGGACAGAGCTCACTGATGGAAACACAGACCCTGACTGCGAAGGAGCCTCTGTTCTATGCCGGGGGAAGACAAGACACAACACTGAGGGGGTAGACACCAGCCACAGAGCTGCCTCTTGACTGTCTAGAAAGGTGGGACAGCACTGTGGTCACCATGGAGGAAGTGCCTCACACAGGAATTAGAGTTCTAAGGGACCCGCTGGAAAAGGGGGCGGGACAGCAAGCAGTTCCCATCAACTTACAGAGAGGTCCTCCTCCAGTTCGTCCAGCACTGACACCAGCACGGGTGGGGGCAGGGGTCATCTGCCACTGGGTGGCAAATGCCAGCCCCACGGGGATACCCAGAGCTCCAGAGTGGCTAACACTAGGCCCACAACTGAGGTCTCCAGAGCCACTGTCCCATAAAGGTCTGAACTCCTCCTAAGACCAGAGAACTCGGCTTTGCCATCCGCCCACAGCCTCAAGGGCCGGAGAGTTCCTGACCAGTCAACCAGTACCCTGACAGCCCTCACCCTGGGGGCAAAAGCACCGGCAGAGACCACTGCTCTCCCTCCCAGGTTGGCCTTTCCCGACTGCCAGCTGGACCTGCCCTCTCCACCTCTCTCCCTCAGCACCGCATACCTCCTCCTCCTCCCCCGCCCCTCCAGGTTTTATATGTTTAGGTGATGCATACTGAGCCTTCATCTCTGCAGAGCAAAGCCAGTCAGTCTCCTTGTGCAGGCCCCAAGGTCTTGGAGCTCAGAGGCCTACGGAAGGATGGCTGCAGGTCTGTCTCCTGGGGAGATGTGGCTATGGGGCCTTTGGGTAACAAAGGAACCTCTGGGTAACAACTTGGGAACATAATTTGGAAAATACTTGGCAGCAAAAGTGAGGCGGAGCTGCAGCGCTGGAGAGCACCATGAAACCCAAGCCCCTCCTTGCCAGAACTCCAGTAGACTGATCCCAGCACCTCCCTGTTCTGTTAATGGATTCCACCAGCCGTCACATACTAGATGAAAACCACAGACTAATCTTTTATTAGGAACACAGTTTTCTGCAATAAATAAATGCTTTTACATATTTAAGTTCATAAAAGAGCCAACTTAATTAAAATGACGAGGAAAAGAACAGTTCCCTAAGCCCAAGGAAACTCAACCCAAACTCCCTGGATCTGCCACACACACAAAACACGCGTGCTGGCGTGCGCTCGCACGCTCTCTCTCACTCTTTCTCTCGCTCTCTCTGTCACACCCCGGCCCCATGTCTCCATCGCAGCCATCTAAGCAAATGCTCAGTGACTCCGGGTCACTGAATGTGGCTTTAATATGCCCCTGAGGTCTCGTCTCCTCAGCCTGGATCTCCCTGGGCACACAAGCCCAGCTTGCATTCAAGTCCTCCTCCTCTACAAGCAGCCATCCCACCCACACCCAGCACCCCGCCCCCATTCAGCAAGGCCCCAACTCGTGCTCTTGCTGCTCCACTACCACTCCGAGATTTCCCAGCCACACAACTTGCTGCATACGGCTATGTTCCGGGAGCTGATGCCTGTATCTGGCCTCATAAGGAAAAAAATGCCAGGCAGCATACATTGTCAGGGAACCCCAGTGAGAGCCACTGCTGTTTGCCCATATGACACAGCTCAGCACAGCCTCGCCAATCTGGTTGGAAGCTGGCTCCAGCACCTTACTGTGCTGACACACTGGCCTCAAGCTCATTCCTCCCCACCCCCTTCATGGAGAAACATGATAATTAACCACAGCCAACCAGGATGCTGTGGGAATAACTAGTGACTAGTCATTCACAGCTGACAACGCCTCAGCGGAGACTTGGGACACCTGGGTCCCATCCAGCTCTACCAGGTGCCACCTGTGCAACCTGCTCCTCTAGGTCTCAGGTACCAATCAGGCGCCGGAGGAACCCCAAAGTGTCTCGGCGCCGAGGCCACCAAACACAGGGGCCTGGTGGAACCATGATGCTGCAATGTGGTGGCTGAGCCTCCCGTCAGTCAGAGCAGGGGCAGGGCCACCTGCTGGGGACAAACTCACCCCTCCAGCCATCAACAGCTTGTACCGGAAGTCAATGGTGGGGTTGTTGAAGGTGAGCTTCTCACAGCGCAGATGGTTGACAGGTGGGTTGCCCTCCAGGTTCAAGAACAGGTCATAGGTGAAGCAAACCTTGCGAGGCTCCTCCTTAAAGAAAACAAGGAAGTTGTTTCAGAGGAGCAGGCGGAAGGCTGCAGAGAGAGTCAGGAACAGAAGCCAAGGGACAGAGGTAAACTTGACTCCCCACTGTTCACTCGGGCATTTCTTTCTCGTTTACTTGGAATCCATTCCTTGTCCCCTCAAACCTTTATCTGCTTCTCTCCTTCTGTGCCTCCTTCCTGACTTTTAGTTATCCAAACTAAGTCAACTCATCCTTTGCAGAGGACCCAACAAAGCAGGCTCCAGGACAGAAACAACAATCATTATGGATCAGTTCTTACAGAGTTAACAGAAATACCCTGCTGTGGCACTACAGCCTCAAGCACAGCGCCCACAGACAGATGGAGAAACCGAGGCTCGAAGATATACAGCTGACAGGTGGTGGTGCTGAGCCCCAGTTCCACGTACTGAGGCCCAGGATCCCAAAAGCCTCTACCTCCCACCCCTCTCCTGGGAGGGAGCAAAGACACAGACCCAAGCAACAGGAGCAAAACTCAGAGCGACACGCCATGTGTCAAGGCATAAAGAGAACACAGACATGACCACCATTCACTATCTGCCAGGGCCTGAACAAGGACTGGGGTGTCTGTGGCAAAGGTCAGGGGTGCTGAGAGCAGAGCCAGGTTTGCTGGGAAGAAAAGCTGCAGGTGCTGGCTTCTTCCCAGGCCCAACAGCGTGTCCACAGGGTTGCATTTCTGTAAATCTTGACAGAGCAAGATGCTTTCACGTTCTTTTTAAAGAGTCTCCCCCTTGCCAATTATATCAGCCCCTAGTCCCACAAAAACTAGATATGCTACTGGTGCAAGATATCAGGCTGGTGATAAAGGGTGAGAAGCCTTAACGCGATGCAGGCTACTAAAGGAACGCACTCTTTAATAGAAGCAATGGGCATGGTTACATCTGTGGGCAATGTATTCTTAACAAGGGCCAAGGCAACTGAAGGGGGAAAGAATAATCCCTTCAAAATAGCCAAATGTATAAGGGGTGACTGCACCCCTATCTCCCGTCATATACACAAATTAATTCAAAGTGGATCAAAGACATAAATGTAATGATAAAACTATAAACTCTCAATAGAAAACACAGGTGTAAATCATGGCCTCAGATTAGGCAACTGTTTTTTACTATGACACCAAAAGCACAGCAACAAAAGAAAAATAGGCAAACAGCCTCAGAATGAAACATTTGACTATTAAAAAAAACACTAAGAAAATGAAAAAAGACCCTAAAGATTGAAAATGCCTCTAAGCACTTAGCATATATGAATGCTTCATGGCCCTCAAACATAGGTGCTTATGCTGTCCCCATTTCATAGATGAAGAAATTCAAACAGGCAGATAACCTGCCTGGTGCCACATGGCTGATCAGCAGTGAGCCAGCATTCACCCTGGGCAGGCAGAGTTCTCTGGAACTCCTGATTCTCGGGGCAATTTCTCACACCCACACAAACCAAATAGGGCAAGGAAGAACTCTGTATGACTCCCTAGAGGTACACAGTGCAGAGGAAAGCAGGAGACAGTATAGGCTTGGCAAAGATCTTCCGGCCCCCCCCAGAGCCCAATCTGTGCCCCTCTGCTGATATGTTCATCACAGCACACAGAACAGCTGACCAGGGCTCCTTCTGGATAGGACCTCAGGTCTGCCAAGCTTAGGAACTTCCAAGAGAGCAGAAAACCCCTCCCTGAATGATCCTCACAAGCCAATCTCTTGAGAAAGCCAAAACAGCCAGCACTGCAATGGCCCTGAGGGCCAGAAGTGTATCTGGAAGGGGTGGTCGAGTGTGCCAGGTGGTAATCCCAAGTGTAACATCCTTAGTCATGGCAGCCGCTCCCTACACGCGTCCTACTCTTTAGCAGAGGCAGTAGTGGCCAGTCTCGTGTTCTCAGGCCAGGTCGTGAGCAGCCACCCACTCTTCAGGCTACTGGCTGTGAGCCAGCGTCTCTCTCTGGCCTCAGCAGCCTAAGATGCAGAGGAACTGGCCAAACTGGTGCCTGTCCCCAGAGACGACATTGTGCACACTGTATGCTGTCCAGTACAAGGGAGTCTAAGGTGTGCGGTCTGAGCTGTCAGGCTGGTCCTGGCATGGGGCACATTCAAGCCCCGTGTCCTATGGCCAGCTGACGCACTTAGAATTCCTGACACTGCCCCACCCCACCTTGGGCCCTGCTCTTCTGTAGTTGGCAGGACTGGTCTGGAGGATACAGAGGTTTACTGCCCCATCCTGAGTACCAAGAAAGAACAGGCATCCCTCAGACTCAGAGGGTCTTCTGAGTAGCCAAGGAGGACACCCAGTTGCTGAGGTGTCTCTTTGCTATCTCTGCCCTGCCCACACTTGTTGCAGGGCTTGTTCGAAATTCCCTTGTGAGAGGCCTTACAATGTTTTGCAAAGGGAAATGGGTAAAAAGGGTGAAAGGATGGAGAAAAAGATTTGAGGTTAAGAGATACAGTCATTGACCATATCTGAATACAAGCACTGACCTTATCTGAATCCTGATTTGAACAAATTATTAAAATGTATGTGTGTATGACATGAGACAACTAGGAGAACAGACATTATAGGTATTTGCTGATATTAAAGAACCAGATATATTATGGCTAGGCTTTCTTAAGAGTCTTATCTTTTTCAGACACAGATTGAAATGCTTAGAGATTAAAAGACAGGATTTGATTCAACATAACCCTGGGGGTAGAGAGGCAAAGCCCTGCCGTCAGTGTGTAACTGTGGCCTTTGTGTGGTTTGCTGTTTTTCTATGTCCTTTACCTTTTTAAAGTTTTCTACAGTAAAAAATTTTAAATAAATATGCTTGGCTCCACCCTGCCTCACTTGGGCCTTTGTACTTGAGTACCGAGTGGCTCACCATAGTGCTATGGACAGAGCTGCAGACTGGGCAAGCCCCATCTGCATGGAGTTCTGGGGCCCTTGGCCATCAGGCGCATGCCTCCTTCTGCTCAAGTGCCACTTAGTCAGCCCTTCCCAGGGTAGCACCTTCTTTAACCCTCACAAATGCCCTGAGACTATTGTTCTCACCATCCACAGAGAAAAAACTAAGGTTAGTGTCGCTTAACCATTTACCAAAGCCACATGGAGGCAATAAAGGCCAGACACGGGAGCCTGTGCACTGCAGCCTCAGGCTGTCCAGCACTCAGAGAAGTGGACTGAACTGCTTCCAGGATGGGAGAGAGAACCGCCAACCAAGGGTAAAGAGAACATCAGAAGCAATATGGAAAATATACACCACCAAGCCTGAAATTCCACCTTCAGGATTCTCGTGCACAGAGCATGTATGAGGAGGCGGCCCACCCAGGTCTCCCACAGCAAAGAGAAGCCTGGAGATGCCCAAATGTCCCACAGCTGAGCCAAGGGGCACATTACGGAACATTGCAGAGGGTGAGACAGAACGTATGCACTGACACAGGAAAGACCACAGCTACTTTGTTGAAAAGCATGCACTCACACATGCATTCACACAGATACACTCATGCCAACAAAAGGGTTAAAGGAAGGCCTTACAACTAACAGTTTATGGTGGTTACTTGGAAGTTGCAAAGAGGATTTCAATTCCTTTCAAAAGAATTCCTTTTAAAAGAACAATGTGCAATGTGGGCTAAAACCCAGAGCTTTGGGTCTGTGACCCTCTGGATTACAAAGCAGTTCTGCCACCATCTTGCTGTTCATCCTGGTCAACCCTATCTGCACCTCAGAAAATGGAAGAAAGAAAACCACGCGGTCTGGGTGCATGAGGGGAGCAGGGTGAAAAGACAGTGACTCTGGCTGGGAGGGCAGCAAAGCTGAGCACAAGTCCGAGCCCCCCACATCCGCCTAACTGCTCTATCAGGGCCGGAGGACACTGCTGCCAGGTATCTGGAGTCTAGAAGGGTTGGGCACCGCGAGCTGGTGCTGCAGCCCCTAAACAACAACAGAAGCAAAGCCCTGAAACCATGTGTCAACAAGGGGTATCTCTGGAGGTCAGAGGTGTGAGAGACATTTTCTTTCTGTACCTTCAAATTCTGAACAAAATGGTACGTGTCCACTGCAGCCACCAAAGTGACAAAGGGAGCCAACTGGAGCCACACTGCACCTGCACTGGCTGCTGCTGGAGCCAAGGAAAGACCACCCCAGGACACGCCTAGGCAGCATGCTGATTATTCTGAATTGAAAGAAATGAAGAGGCAGAAGATCCAAAATGATTTCTTGTTGTGGTAAATTATCTCCCTAAAAGCAGACATAAATTTTCTCTGTGGTGGTTCAGAAGCTGGGAGAACGCCTTGCAGCCTGATCATCCCAGGTTAGCACTTGCAAGGTGCTTCGATGCCTAGGTAGTAAACTCAGGAAAATTCCATTTTCTTTGAATTGTGAAATTCCTGGTTGCTTTTCCCTGCCCAGTTTAGTGCCCCCCTTTCTAGAAACTATACAACCTAGGTGGGATAACGGGGTGCCAGGGTCCCTTTTCTACGTATGGACCTCTTTGTGCACATAACTGAACTTTGTTTTTCCTCCTGCTAATTATCTCTCTTGTGTTGGCTTAATTATTTTCCAGTCATCTGGCCCTAGAAAGAAAGAGGAAGACGGGCTTCCTCCCCAACACTGCGTAACCTTGAGCAGATGACAGCACTATGACAAAGCTTCCTCACTCGTAAAATAAAAACACCAGTTCCCACCCATACGCAAATGCTCAAAACTGCTGGCCATCAGCACCACCCACGTGGGAGGAGCGTGGGGGGGGAGGCGGTGGCGAGCTGTTGAGAAGGTATGTAGCAGAATCCCAGTGCTTTGAAGACTTTACTTACACGTGAATGTAGAACACAGCGGGAGAAAGCCCAGAAGAGACATCTACTGTTCACCCCTTGAGAATAAAGACATTTGGGGGCAGAGGCGGAAAGGAAAGCATTCTGCTTTTTTACTTTGCAGGCTGTAGTAGTATCTGAATTCGTGGTGACCTCAATACATTCCTGTACTTATGAGCAATTAGAAACTGAAACAAAAAGGC